AAAAAGATATTGTCATATGATATAAATAATATGCTTATAATAAGAATAGCAGTTTATAGGCTTAGATTCGAGAAGTATAGTTTGAAAAGATTTGAGAAGTACCTCGGTTTCCAGTTAAATTGATTACTCGAGAAGGTGTTACCTCAATTCGGAGAAGGTATTATTTGGGTAGATGAAGTCGAGATATGTCTTCTCGAACACTTCGAGTAGTAGTAAGGTGCTCGAGGGATGCTTGCCCTTTCGAGGAGATGTATCTCTCGAAACTCCAATCTTCGAGATTGCCCTTTGCTAATTGTTCTCCTCGATCAGCTGTGGAGCAAGTGCAGCTCCTCGATTATTTGTGCAATCGAAAGCTTCTTTGTGCTACTTGTTGGATGACGTCTTCTTGGCCAAACAAAGATAATTTTTTTGCATGATCTTCTTGTTGCAAAATCGGAGCAACGAATTAACACCGTGGCTGCGAAAAATACAAAAGATTTCGTGCTTCGCTAAGAAATTTATTTGATTGTGAAGACCAAACAAATCGGTCCCACCGAGCGTGCCACTTGACGAAGCATGGATCTGCACGGTTCCTTAGGACGGGTGGCAATGATGATCTAGGCGGCGGCTGATAGCCTAAAACCTGCAAGACAGAGCCTCGGGTGTCTCCCGAGGGTAGACTCTCCGATGCTTAAGTCAATAAGGGAATAAAGAGAGTAGAGAGAGAAGGATGTGTATTATGTGTAGAAGGTGTAGAAGATAGGTAGAAGATATATATCATGGGAGAGGCACCACCTCTTTATATAGAGGTGGTGTTACCTGTTTCCTGAAACCTAGTCGTATTAGGTTTAGGCGGTGACTTAACCTCCAAGATAGCTGGCCCAAACTCATTAGGGTTAGGGTTAATTTATGACTCGTCAGAGCCCAATGTTGGTCTGACTTATACTTTGTATGATGCTATACAATGGAAAAGCATGTAATTAGTGAGGGTGTTTTCATCATGGTAATTTGAGTAAATTATAAATTTAAATACTTATGACCATCTTTATGTTGTGATATATTTGATTCAAATAATTATACTATAAACTAATTAAGTGCTTTCTTGTTATATTATTGAGCATGGAACCTTGATGAGATTGCTAGAATAAAAGTCACTTGATGAATGTAAAACTCTTTCTTGTTTTGAAAAGATTATGATAAACTATCAACGGTAAATGGTTCTTAGATGATACTGAGACTGTTGGTCATTAAAAATTTAAAATAGCCCCTAATATAATTAAATAAACTATTCCTTAACACGTTAAAATAGTTCCTGACATATTTTTGTGGTATATATATTACTATTCCTTATGCATCATGTATGGAGTTTCTTTAGGTGAAAAAATATAAATGCACTATTATGTCTTTACAAGTAAAAGGGTGTTAAGGAGATTTAGATTCTCCATAATAGTGCATATTATTGAGAATACAATGGCTGGGCTATTGTACCTGCGGATGACAAGTCAAAGTGAGCCTACTATATCGAATTATAACTGTGAATGGCTTGAATCACCTAAAGAAAGTGAGATATCCAAACAACATCTCCTATCACGGAAATTTGGTTTTGATGATTCTGGTGAATATATGTCTCAATACAAGAATGAGAATAGTTGAAAATTGAACACATGTACAAGCAAAAGTGAAACGATCTAGAAGAATCGTTCATGAAATGTGTTCCACAATTGAAATCATTATTTAAAGGAAGTGAAACCTCATATATAATTGAGGACGAGCATCAATTATATGCACAAGACCAAACGGGTCATTTTAGATATTCTCCCAAATATTAGTTTTCGATCAGAAACTATCCATATTCATCTTCAAGATATGTAACTGTGCAGTTTATATATTATTATTCCTCCACCACAATGCACACAAAGATGGATCCTCAAGGAGAGTTTAAGAATATATATTGGATTTTGAAATTCCAGTTTTCCATATTAGTGGTGATGGGTTTCTTACTTGATAGATTTGATATTAGTTTGACGAGTTAGTTACTCCGAAAGGGAGATTTATTAACTGCTCGATTGGTTAATCATTATTTTAACAAGTTATCCCAACATCAGGGAGAGAAATTAAAAACAGCTGATTCATAAATAAAATGGACAAGATCATTATCTCATCAGATCCTCCATGATATGAACCTGAAGTTCAAGAGATAATGTTTAAGACCAGATGTTTATCTGACCAAATATGTAAATATATCTTATATAAAAGGCTGTTAATACTTCAAATTTGATGTTATGTCCCTGAAGGACTATATGCTCTATTGTTTAATCGAATGTCCATTTGCTGAGTGGTAGACCATCGATTCCAACAAAGAATCCTCGTAATAAAAATATTTGAAGATATAGAGGACAAATACGAGTGATTAGAATTCAAATAAATCTTTGAATTTGAATAGTTTCCCACTACGATAAATCAACTTCCAGAAGAAGTATAAAAATACTTGAAAATTTTAATGATTGTTGAGATCTCATTATCAAAGAAAGATGAAATCGATCAGCAACAAAATGTTGACATAAAATTTGTTTATGTTGCAGCAGTTAGTAAAATGAATGACAATGAGGATTATGAAATGAAAGTCTGTTGTGGATACAGACATTAAACTTATTGGCCACAGTAAATGGAATGACAGGATACACACACATGAAGATGTGTAAGTTGAATTAAAACCTCTTGAAAGACAAGGAGTTTTAGCAAGTAATACGCCGGCTAAATGTTGTTGGTTGATTGTGCAAACGATAAATGAGCAATCGACTTATTGTACAAGTTTTCCCAAAGTCCGGATATTAATAATAAAGAGATGAAAATCTCTTGCGGTGGATGAAAATATTTATTCTTCTGTTATTTGCTAAATCTGGCAGCAAATGAAGAAATAAAATGCGTCTAGTGAATATAGTGATCACTTGAAACGATACTTGATATTTGTCATTTGAAAATGGTGTTTATATGAAATCCCTGAATGGTTAAAAAAAGGGACATGATCCCAATTCACGAGAAATTAATTCAAAGGACTTTCACAAGTTATAATGTCTTCATGTGTCTAGATATTTAGGTTCACATTTTTTAATATAATAGATATGCTATGTTTGTTTTTATCTAGATATGTTATACTTGTTTGTAACATGATTTTCTATCTGTTTTTATGATCATATTTGAATGATAGGATGATAACTAATACTAGAGTGAGTATTTATAAACCATATGTGCATTTATAATTTTGTTAGTATTCAACTCTTGTGAAGTATCAAAAGGTTGAATATTATCGAAACTTATCATGAAGTTAGAATAGTTTGAATATAAATAAAACTCCTGAAGAGTTATATCATAGTTATTAACACTTCTAAGGAAGTTCAAAAGGTTGCTACTTGCCTGAAGCAAGGATAATGAAAGATCTAGAGTAGAATCTCGGTCTAAATAGTTTTACCTTTATACATTCAACACCCACTGAGTGCACTTGATTAAAATCTTGATGTGCATATAGATCCTTCTTCTTGACTTTCTATTAATAATGTAGACAAATTTGGTCCTGAAGTACCATATAAAGTTTCGGTTTATTTAATTAGTTAGTCAAAACTTGGATGTTGTATATTAGTACCTTCAAGGAGGTATGATGGTTATGCATCTCCATTATTATAAAACACTCAAGATTACACAGGTATATGAAGACAACCATCTACATGAGAAATCGAAGTAATCTGTCTATTATTGACTTAAACAATCATGAACCTGGTCAATAGCTTGTCATGCAACGAGAAGATTACAAGTGGCATACTTGACAGGGGGAGTAACCCACGCTGTACTCTTTTTCCCTTGATCGAGGTTTTGTCTCAATGGGTTTTCCTGACAAGGTTTTTAACGAAGCAGCGCCACATTTGAAGTGTACTCTTTTTCCTTCACTAGGGTTTTATCCCAAAGGATTTTTCCTAGTAAGGTTTTAATGAGGCATTATTTCACAAAGATGGACATTCAAGGGAGAGTGTTATAAAATATTTGATTTGATTGAATGTCCACAATTAATATGTATTATTTTATTCACAATCAAGAAGATATGATTCTGTAATATTTAGCATTGATGATAGGTGATTCATTGCCCACAGTTCGATCCCCTACTTCTTGTATAAAAAAAGAGCTCATTCATGTTTCAAAATACATCTCAATACAAGTCTCTCATCTCTCTCTACTCTCTTGTCTTCTCTCTCTGATTATTAGTTCATATTAATAGTTTAGCATTAATTTTATAGGAAAATATATTTTATTAGTTTTTTTTTTTGAAAATTAGCTAGTTCTGTTAAATATCTAAGTATATGTTTTCCAAATGTGGACAAGTAAGGACATGATAAAATTGTTTGGTATTGCACTTTAAGTAGTTTAAGATAATTTTTTGAAATTTTTATTTTTGCCTATAAAATTCAAAAACACCTAAAGATATGAACATTTGATTTCCATAACAAAATTATATCTAAAGATTCCTCCGAAAGGCTAAAAAAATTATTTTTCTCTGCCAAAAAATAAAGAAGCTACTGAATCGACCATTTAGATGATCATCAATTTTTATTCTTACATTGTACGTATTTTTTATACAAGTTCTATTTTGACTTTTTTTAGACAAAAAAAGTAGCTTTTATAATTTATGTTTAAACTTAATAGCGTTCTGGATAATCTAAATAAGCAAATGATTATATTTTCTCTTACGTGATTCGTATTACATTTTAATCACTCGAATTACTGTCCGTTCACCAGTATACAGAAACATAGAAAGAGTATGGGAATCATCTACCTGGTTCGATAGATTTTTGTATTGGCCTATAGACATCATGGGCCCTGTAACAGTAACAACCCAAGAGTTACTGGTCGTGTTTGACACACACACTGGATAATTCCAATCTATTAGCTGTCCTCCCTCTCAAATGTTTTATAACCCTACTCCTATGTATAATTTAAATGTCCAAGTAAAAATATTGGACTTTAATGGAACCATGTGTGTAACAGATGAGTACTATATTACTCGTCATCATCATTTTCAATTATGGGCATGGGATCCGGAGACCTCCACATGGGATTGCAGATTCGAGACCCGTGATTTTCCACAAGTCAACACCAACATTCCACCCAAAGGTGCAGTATTCCATCATGATTGGCTATATCCAGTGTTTTTAAGCCATAAATCATCTCCAACAGGACAATTCATTGTCAAAGAATATGATAATCGGCATTTGCTTTTGTACAGTGTCTCCAGCAGGGAAATCACGCATTTCACTACACCGCCGGATCTGGAAAGTAGCTATACATTAGAGCATGTTACTTCTGAGAAACATTAACGCATTTGTAGAACTTTTCAATTATTTTTCCTTCTTACCTTTTGTTTTTTGTAGAACAAACTTTCAATGTAGTACAACTTTCTATATTTATGCATGGATCTTATCATAAGGTTAAATTATTTTCATGATATTTTTAATCGCTGAATTATTTCCGCATCTAATTTCAACACAATATTCAAGATTATATCAAATTCAGTATGTAATTACTTATGTTAATAGATACATCATATTTGACGAATACTTCAAGAAAGAATAAAATAATGCAATAGAAAAAACCAACATATTCATTCATTATAAATCATACAAATTCACTTACATCGGTGCGTGACATTTATCCCTTCACTAAGCACCAAATTTTGCCAAGAACAAAACCACAATCAAAATGCTTTTGGAAAAGGTGCACACTCGATTTTAAAACCTTTGATGTGATTGGTAGGCTAAAGAGTTAGGAATAAATGACGTAGGGAACGGAACGTCTTTCCTTTTAGAAAATTGCAACCCATGTCCCCATAACCACAAATTAACCGAATTTACATCCACCACTTTATCTTCCCCAAACTATCTCCCCTACTACCAAAACAGAACAACCAGCAACTATTAGAATACTTCTAAAAACCATAGCCTAGATCAACATGGTCAGAACCAGACTACATCCAAGATGAAGTGTTGTCTTGTTAGAGGGAATGGCATTAGTTCCGCCATACCTCCAACAACAACCAACCAGAGATTAACGAGAGAACCACCGGAACATGATCCAGAATATAGAAAGTCCAAGGTTGGTCTCTAATCACGAAGCAGCAGAGTTCTTCCTGCGAAACTGGGAAAGATAGGCCATTGTAGAAAGAGGCATGGAGGTCACCCAGATCCAAACTCCTATATAGCTATACATAACTGGGAAGGGTTGTTCACCGTTACAACCAAACCCAATCTCAAATAATGCGAGAATTCTACAGCAACATGAGGGGGGTGTCGGGAGATGAAATTACAGTAAGGGGCCGTGTTGTCGACATCAGTATAGAAGTTATCAGAGACATTCTACAACTCCCACAAGTCTATTTAAATTATGCAAATGGGGCATACAATGCTATGGATGCAACTCCAGAAGAAGAATTACCTGATGCACTATACTCTAAGTCTGCAGATGTGATTTGGACAACACGCCATGTCATTCTTAAACACTTCCCAGCAACAGATCTAAGGCCAGAATACAAGCCACGGTACCATATGATATGCAGTAACATCATGCCTCTGAGACATTGCAATAAAGTACCTTACGAAACGGCACTGTTGTTGTTCGCTTTAGTCCTCAACATCCCAATCGACGTCGCTGAAGTAATCAGACCACAGATGAATATTTGTGTGGCCAATGTAAGGGGAAAAAACTAGGTTTTTCCCAGTGCTTGCTACAAGGCTAATGCAAAGAGCACATGAACAGTTCCTCGACACAGACATCAAAGGAGACGTCCCACCACCGCTCCAACTAAAAAGGCCACCACACCCGTATATGGACTCGTAATCACTCGGGCAGGTACTCTATTTTCTTTTCTTCTCTTTTCCTATTTCATGTACAACTAAAACTGTATTCAAGAGAACTGTATTCATTAGGAAGGTTTCTCAAGATTTTTGGTCTGCCTAGTTTCAGACAATTTGTCATCGAGAATGAGTTAGAGCTGGGACAAAAATACGCGTTTGAAATGGTAAAGGATGAAAAGATCTTCAATTCCTACAAATTCGAATAAAAACACCAATAAAAGAATCCTCTGTTTTCTCCCTTTTATTCCCCTCTATGTCTTTTAGTTTATCTACCCAAAATACATTGTTACATATGTCTTTAAGTTTATCTATCATTTACCTTTTGCCAAGTTAGATGAAAGAATGTGTAACAATGCATTTCTATTCAGTACATGTTGTTCGAAATGAGATGTTTATTGTTAGATTATGCATTGCAGAACTCTGATTATAATAGAAAAACACTGGAATCTGCCTTTATCGATTTATTTTAAGTACCCATTACAAAAATTTTCAATCATAATTTAACAACCACATACAATCCAAAGTTACTCCTTTTGGACAACATTGGGCAGGATCAGGGTTCCGCTCATGCGCGTATCGGTTGCGCTAGTATTTTATAAAACTGCGTCGGCCAATGATGAGAATCGGAATAATCAATGGACTAATAATTTATTCAACGGCCACGGCTTTATAATGGAGTGGGTTGTACTCTATCATTCAAAGTAAGAACTCCAATCTGGGCTGTCTCAGCCCGAAAGAGTAAAATGGCTAGTTACAAGTGGTCCAGCAATCATCAATCATCATCGCCCATGGCATTGTAATTGTAAATTATTATTCTCTCCACTTTTTATTATAAGCTATTTTAATGTTTATTCAGTAGGTTTTTCTAATTGAAAAATAAAATTAAAAAATATAATAAATGAACAAACATATTTTTAAAGTTTTATTTTCAATTGAAAGAATATTTTAAATGAAATTTAAGACAAATCAAATTGTCTTGTAATAAGAACGGGAGAGAATACATATGCTAAGTTATAGACTATTTTTTGTGAGACGGGGTATAATTTTTCATTAGCATGTCTTTGGCACATGAAAGCAGTGCTAATTGATGACTAATTAGTAATTAGATCTAATATATAGGTTCAATCTTCAATCTATTAGTATCAATCTGTCTGTCCCACCCGCCATGATTATGCCATAATGTTTGGTCCCAAATTTCCTTCTAAATTATAATCATTTATGCCCTCTTTCTCCTTCTTTAATAATGAAATCTAAATTGATTGTCAACTCTTTCTTTCGTCAGAGCCCATGTTTAATAGCCTTTTATTGACATGGTTTCCGAAATGGAAAATGATTGAGATTGAATCACATGCCCTAAAGTGACCACTACGAAGTGTAGATTAGATTGAGTCATCTATGTTTTAATTTTCTTTAACCCTCTATTACTATGGTTCTAAATTAAATCTATAGATATTATACCTTTTATACACGTATATGGTGTGAAATCTGAATCTCGCTTTTACATTGAGAAAACTACCTAATGATGAAATCATACGATGTGGTACATGCAGCAAAAAATGAAACGACACAAATGACATCGATGCATTTCCCACAACTAATGTATAAAATAATTACTACGGTATTTTGTATTTATATTTTTTACTTATATCATGTACGAGAATGTAATACTAAAAAATGTTAATATCCCGTACATGATGTAAAATAGTGAAATGAGAAGGAAGATGTAAGAAGTATTTTATGTCATAAAATAATTGTGCAGTTTAAATTTTTATTTTTATTATAATTTGAATTAAAAATAAGAATTCAATTGGACAGAGAAGGAAGTAATTAGTTTTGATGATTTTATACACCATTCGATTCTTATGTGTGTTTTTATTTGGCTCTAACCATTTACTCTAAAGTCCAATCATTATAACCTCGCAATTCGTCGGAATGAAGGGAATTATTATTATTATTTTTTAACACAAGGGAATTATTGATTTATTTCACATTGTAAAATCATCCAACAAATAAACCCTCCATTACATAAACACCTAATTAATGTCAACATTGTTTTTGGCTTTTTGCTTCATCACAAAGTAAATATATTTATGGGCAGACCTAAGATATGGTTGAACTGGTAGTTTCCACTTTCCACCATTATAAAGGGCCATTTTTGTGAATTTTCTGTGCACCTTTTTTTTTATAAAAAATATGTCTTTAAAGAAATAATTTGTTTGTTAAACTAAAATAATATACTCCATCCGTCCCAAAATTATTGTCCAGATTGAGATTTCACTTTTAGTACAATTTGAATTAAAAATAAAAACTGAAACTGGACAATAATTTTGGGACGAAAGGAGTAATAAATTGAATTTTGTTTGGAGTAGAAAGAGCAGGACTTTTATTGTTTTTTTTCTTTCATAATTCTAACAGAAAAAATACATACGAAAAAAACGTTACAATTAGAGAGTGATTTAACCTATGATATGAAGAATGAAAATTCAGAGGCATTTGACCAAATCCAAGAAAAAAATTAATTATAAAGAAGGACATGGGAATCCACTAAACATTCCCCTTTAGCCCCTCCATTCCCACCTGGCTTTCCTTCTCTGCCAGTCTGCTACACTTAGGAAACTGCCAAACTGCCAACCCAGATCCTCCCCACATTACACTGTCTTCATCCCCAAAAAACGACGCCGCATCCCATCATGGAATAATCATTCTATATAATTCAATTTTTATTTTATTTTATTTTTTATTTTTAATTTTACTTCCTCATAGGAAGGCAATAAGAAAGATTCGTTTCTCTTACACGCTCACTAATTTGCCGCATCATTTTCAAACCATTTTTCCCTTCATCTTTCCTTTCCCTTTTCCCTTCCGTTTCGTGTTCCTCGTCTTTTCAAATTCAGATCTCTCGTCTCCTTTTCCGGTAAGCGTATCTTTGTTGATTCCAAGTTTATTTTTCTGGGTTTGTTTCGTTTTGTTGTGTTGATTTTATAGATCTGGAATTACAATCATAATAATAATCAAAGTTGTCGATCTGTTTGTGTGTTTTTTTCCTCTCTTGCAGGCGTGGAGGGAAGAGATCATTTGATACAGAAAAGGAGTGAAAAAAAAGAGTACGTAGATGGCGAATAGAGTGGACCATGAGTATGATTATCTGTTCAAGATCGTCTTGATTGGCGACTCTGGCGTTGGAAAATCCAACATTCTTTCTAGGTTTACTCGGAATGAGTTCTGTTTGGAGTCTAAATCTACCATCGGTGTTGAATTCGCCACCCGTACCCTTCAGGTTTTCTCCTCTTGGATTTTTCATTAATTTTGATTGATTACTGCCGTTGATTGTTGGAAGTGTTTTGTTCTTGCTTGTTTGTTTATCATATTCTGTCGTTCTGGGCGGTCTTTATTTTTGAAGAGAATCTGCTTATAGATGCATGAGGGTATGGCTTTTTCCTACTGGTGTTATTTCTCTGTTTGATTCTGTTGCTTTCATTTATGATAGCTCCCGTGTTAGATTGATGGTTTCAAAGGCATTTTTTTTTCCTAAGTGGGATGTCTTACGGAGTTCGTTATTAGCAGAGTCCTGTTTTTTTGGGTGGAAGTTGATGAGCCGGTTTTGAATTATTACTTTAGGATAGGTTTTTTTTTTTTTAAAAAAAAAACGTCATTTCCTGGTTGTTGTTTGTGGATGTAAACTTTGGGGTTGGAAGTACGATTTATTGTGGTTATTTTTTGGGGTCACTGCAAATAATACAAGGGGTGTATGGTGAATTCAGTAGGAGGTGTTCATTGAGGTTTGGATTAATGTTTTTATTGCGTGATGTCTTTTTGAAGGGGATTTGGTGGGGATTTCTGTTCGTAAAAGCTCTACAAGTGGGGTAGTAATTAATACAGCTTCTAAGATTGAGTTGGTTTCAATTGTTTTTAATGAGATGGGGCTCATCTTTACCAGATCCCCAATTTTTGCAAACTAAGATAATTGCTTGTGGAAATGCTTTTCCCTGCTAGTATTATGGAGATGTTGCACTTTCTTTCTTATCGATGAAAGAATCTTAGTAGTATTTTGATGGTCTTTTGCTAAACATATGTTACAGATAGAGGGAAAGACAGTCAAGGCGCAGATATGGGATACTGCTGGACAGGAAAGGTATCGGGCTATTACCAGTGCCTACTATAGAGGAGCTGTTGGTGCTCTTCTTGTCTATGACATAACCAAGAGGCAAACTTTTGATAACGTCCAAAGGTGGCTCCGCGAATTGAGGGATCATGCGGATTCCAACATTGTCATCATGATGGCTGGAAACAAGTCTGACCTCAACCACCTCAGATCCGTTCAAGAGAATGATGGCCAAGCTTTGGCTGAGAAGGAAGGTCTCTCATTTCTTGAGACTTCTGCGCTAGAAGCTCATAATGTCGACAAGGCTTTCCACACTATTTTGACAGAAATATATCACATTATTAGCAAGAAGGCATTGGCAGCTCAGGAAGCAGCAGCAACCACGGTGCTTCCTGGTCAGGGTACAACCATCAACGTCAATGATTCGGCTGGTAACACAAAGAGAGCCTGCTGTTCTACCTAAGTTAGAATTTCTAAGAAATGGGTAGCAACTACGGATTCCTTTTGTACTCCTTTCGTAAAATTATTCCCCTTTTTGTCGGGTAACAGCAGCGGATTGTAGAAATACTTCATTACTTCACCGTGACGAGAAAAAGATCTTACTAATGGTAAAAAGTATGTAGTGATTTAGAAGGAACTTGGATCATTGATATGATACTTGTTAGTTTTGTTCATTTACACTGGTAATTGGTTTGCCGAACTGAAACAAATTCAACATTTTATTAAGGAGGCCCTGAGTGAGTAGCATTTCACTCATAGATTACCTTCTTTGTTTACCGCTTCTATTCGCATCTGGTATGAAGGTTCATTTTTGATTGTTTGATGGAGCATTTAGGTCTTCTTTTTCTTCCATTTGACTTTCTGGGAAATGTGAAAATGAACGGGAAGTAATCTTTGGCCATATAAGAACACTGTACGGCCAACACGAAGAAACCAAATTTGATGTGGACATGTAAGAAGTTGAATATTAGGGGTATATTTACGTACAACTATTTTGACCAGGTCTGTTGATGTAACTATTATGCTTTGTGTAATGGTATTATTTACTTAAGAAAATGAAGGTTTTCCTTTGCGGTCCCTCTCCAGTCTACCTGCCTTTTGTCCACTCATGAATATAATTTGCCCCTAATTTGATCAAAACATAAACAAAACAATTATTGACTCATTTGTACCCATGTAAATTGCAAGTGGTAGTAACATTTTGTCTAAATGCATAAGGACTGGATCTACAATTTGTGTGTTCTTATTTTTATGTTAATGATGTTTCCTTAGTCAAATTAACATAAACCCAAATTGTATACAGTAATTTTATACACTGTCTAAAAAGCCAATGACAGAAAGAGAGAAAGGAAGAGAGACAAAAGTTTAAAAAAGAAGAGACAAATTGCAAATGGGAGAATGGAATAAGAAGGAAATGCTAGTATTTAGCATGCTTCTGGTTCAATTTGGATAGTAGTATGATGAATTCTGAAAGTTTTCTCACAATATTCCCTAACATTGTGTAGAATTTCATTTTGATCAACTCCAGTTCTGATCACTATGTGGCATGCTAATACAAATTTTCCAGATGTAATGGACCAAACATGAAGGTCATGCACATCCTGTACTCCCTTGATGCACTTCAACCCATTTTCGAGTAGAACAATGTCAATCTCGCTGGGTGTCTCCTCCATCAATATACTGAATATGCTTTTCAGCATTGGAATGGTTGTGCTTAGTGCGAAAATGGCAAATATGAGAGTGCAGAACAGATCGACAATCAACCAATCTGGCTTCAGCCATATGATAAATCCGGCTATCATCACCCCAATAGATTGGATCAAGTCAGTCATAACATGCAAATACGCCCCTTGAATATTTATGTTTAAGAACTTTGTCTTGGGTTGGGAATCTGGTACAAGATGTTTAGCATCTTCTCCAGACATAGAGCACAATCCCTGTGTTTCATGATCATGATCATGATCATGGTGATCACCTCCGCATGCATGATTATGAGAATGAAAATGATGAGAATGATCATGTCCAAGCCAGAAAATCATGACAAAATTCACCATGAATCCGAATGCAGCAATCGCAAACATGAGTCCCCCATCCACTTTTTCATTTTTGTGGACAATTCTGTTTACTGCTTCGTATATCAGGATGGCAGAGACGATCCAGATCAGCTGTACCGAAATAAGAGCTCCAAGAACTTCGAGGCGACTAAATCCGAATGACTGTTGGGGAGTTGATGCCCAACCTGCTACACCTACGGCAAAAAGAGAGATGAAAAATCCAGCAATGTCGGAAAGCAAGTGTGCTGCATCAGTGAGTACTGCAAGGCTGTTGGCTTTCATTCCTCCCACAACCTCAACTATCATGACTATTGAGTAAAAGATTATGAGCCCTAAAAGTTTAACCTTTGACTTCGATCGTTCTGCAGATTCTGTACTACCATGTTCTTCATTTGCAAATGAACATACATGACTACATGAAAACTTAAGCTGATGAGAGTGGTGCTTATGTCCGTCACAGGCTTCTGGCAGCTGGATTTCCAGATGTGGCAATTCTGTTGAATTTGAATCCAACACTAATTCCATTCTTTCTGACATTTTTTGTCGCTGGAAGTAGATAACTCTAAAGAGAAACAGTAAGATTACAGTAGTTAAGCGTTGCTGATGGAGAAAGAGTTTTGAAATGGAATACTTAACTAAATTTGAGGCATAAAAGCAGCATGAAAACAGATGAAAACATGATTACAACTTCCTTAATAACAATACATATTCAAGCAATGTAACCAAGCAGATTCGCAAGTTATCAAAGCCGAAATGTTTCCATTTTCATCCAAGTTTCTATATACCCCCAAATTGCCACCATTGTAAGGTACAAGAAGTGAATAATCCGAACGCCTCAATGCACGGATGCGCAGCTATCACATCGACCCTAACTCAACTCAGAAAACTACAGTATAAGAAGGAACCACACCAGCAGAAACTTAATTAAAAGGCAATGTAAGACTGAAAGTTTTCCATGGCCCCATGAAAGAAGCAGAGTACCACTTTTTCCCTGTTATATAGGTGCAGTCACTAAACAAAACTTTTCCAAGATATCTGGAAGACGAAAATGTACACTTTTTATTTCCACTTCTTGAATGCTCAAACATGACAAGCAAAGCTTTCCAAGGTTCCTAAACTGCCAAAGTCTAATTTGTCTGGCCTCATTACAGTGCATTTCTGAAGACTCTGATAAAATTTAAAGGATAAACCGCAAAATTGGTTCTCTTTATCTATAATTTTGCAAACAGAATCATCCGGGATAGAAGCACTATTAGTGTGAGAAAGAATCACAATGGTTTCTCAAATGAAATCAGGCCATCAAAATCTACAATCATCTTGAATATGGAAGTGAACCCTTCAAGTTAATAGTTTAAAAACGTGAAAGGGATTGATTAAAGGAATGCCTTTGAACAAAATCGATAGAAAATAACAACCCATAATCACAAATTCATTAACATGCATGAGAAATAGTAAAGGTGCCAAACCAAAAAATAGACGGCCATGAACATACACAAAAAAAAAAAGGCCACACAACCCATTTCAAGCAGAGATTAAAACAAAAGGAGAACATGATATTTAGATGCAATAAAAGTAACACGGGGGAAAAAATAAAACAAAATCACAGCAAAATTGATACCTTCAATTTGCTGACGGGATAAGATGAATAAGAGAATGAATCGAACTGGGTTTTTTTTTTAATAAGGTTAGGATAAATTCTATCGACAATGCATCTTGTCGGAAATGTTCTAAATTTCTAATAGGATTCCAAATCCATCGGGAATCAGGGAAGTTGGGAGCAACCAACAAAGACAATAAGCCAACAGAAAAGAGATCGTGGAAAGCGAGAGCTGAGAGAGGTGGTCAAATTTTGCGTCAATTCTTTCTCTTTGTTAAAAGTTTATAAATATGTTTATTACGAAAACAAATACGGAGGAGCCAGTTTATGAGAAAAGGCAAAAATAAAAGACACGGCCATATAAATTAGGAAATAATTTGTTTAAACATATATCAAAATCATAATTCACAATTTTTTTGCCATAAGAAGCTTGCAAATGAAAGAGTATTATTTGTAACAATGATATGCCGTTGTACTGTAAAGATTTTTTTTTAATTATTATTAGTATAATTTATGAAAATGGTAACAACCATTAATACATCATTAATTCGACAAATACTTCCGTTCATTGAAGAATTCTACACTACTCTCCAAGGCAACAACCATGTATAAGTTGTAACAAACAAAACTTCTAAAATTTACAGACGACAAAGAGGAAAATGAAAGTGGAAAGAAGTGCGACAGTTGTGTTTGAGATGTGTATGAGTGTCGAATTTCATATCGGTCGAATAGAATAAGGACATACTCTCTCCTCGTTATTATATGACATTTTGATTTGTCTTAATGTTTATTTAATATATATTTTTCTATAAATAAAAATTTTTTAAAAAATTATTCCAATTTGAATTTTTAAGTTTTAAGGTTTTATTTTTAATTGAAAAGACACACTAAGTGAAATTTAAGACAAATCAACCTAACAAGTATTTAGTACTATTAGGGGGACATCACATCACAACTAAAAAAAAAACTAGATAATAGTATTTCGTCTTCAATTATTGTCCAGTTTAATCTTTTACACCTTTAATACTATTAAATTAAAAAAAAATCAAATTCAACATTAATTTTGGAACAAATAAAGAACATAATCTTCCAAATTTAAAATTTTGTCCATGTAATTTTTCCATTCAATCCTTTTAAGAATATATATATATATATATATATATATATTATAAGAAACCAACACAAATATTATCACTTGTTGTAACTATGTCATTTAGTGTTTAGAAATATAACAGCTAATAAGATAAATATGTAGCAATATGATCATGACATTGTGGAACTCTAGACACATAAAACTGCAGTGGAAGAATTTACTATAACTCTAGTCACAATATTAATACAAATAGTTAATAGTAATAGTAGGCATACCTTATAGATTCTTTGTACTTGAACCGAATCACCAAAGAACAACAACTAGCAACCCTCCTCTCAAAAATACACTCAATCAACTGAGTGGATTTCAGACTACTATCTCAATTGGCGTGCTAGCGACAATATCAAGAATAAGGACTTATTTTTAACTATGTTTTAGGTGTAAGGTATAGGGTTATCCATCATTACATATTTATAAATGAATAGGAGAGAAATCGTAATCGTAATCCTAATAGTCACATTACTGTTACAATCCTTATTAATCCCTATTAAATTAATAGGGAGACTTAAGATCCCAACTTAATCAGTCTATTGATTGTGGCCCAATAAGTTCTTATAACACTGGCGGTAATTATAAAATTTGGAGTCAGGATAAATCCAACACACATATTATGTAATCTTAATTTGTGTATGGATATTGAATACATATAAGTGTGTGTCTATAAAAGTAGGAATCTAATTTATATGGTCCATTTTAAATTTTTTTTTTTAACAAACAAAACAGATTAGGATGAAGAAAGTATAATAAGAATGTACTATCTCCGTCCCAAAAAAAAAAAAATAGTCCACATTGAGTTTTGAGATTTGTACTAGTTTTAATATAAACTAGATGCTTAGTTCGGGCAGATGCCCGGGAGCCCCTCTACTTTAATTTTGTGTTAATTGATAAATGAATTCTTGATTTGGAAAAAATAAAATAGCTACACATTTGATTTTTTTTCCTTTTTAGCCAAAAATAAAAATAAAAATAAAAATAAAAAAATCATCTGCTAAAGGAGAAAAAATATTGAAAAGTACAAAAGAATGTGGAGTAATAAAAGGGATAAGTTTATGGGCAAATTTAAATGCTATTTTAATTTGATTGATAAATGATAAATGTTAGAAGTTAAAATTCTGTAGCTATTTTTGTAAAGTAGCTTTTGTTTCTCTGGATAAGAATTTTTTTTCTTTTAAAAATGTATGATACGTGGCAGAATGGTTAATGCAATATGGTACATTTTGGAGCAAAAAATTCTTAATAAGAAGTTGCCACATCAACATCCTGTATTCTGCTTTAATAGGGTAAAAGGGATTTGAAAACTCAATGTGAACTATTTTTGTGGGACGGGGGGAATAATATTTAATCAGCACCGATACTCTATATTATTTTTTAAAATATCATTTTTTTAATCAACAAATTATTTTGAGACCAAAAAAAAAAATCGAATCAAATCTTAAAACTCAACCTAACTCTTCTAAAGGCTTTGCTTTAAATCAAAACTCAAAAGGAGGGAGAGAAGAAGTGGTGATTGCAATTTGCAAAGTGCACATGCCCATTTGCCCACACAACACAAGTGTGATATTTTCTTTTATTTATAACATTATTAATTTATTACATGCAACCACACGAGAGCAGCGGAATTATCGACTCCGACGAACCTCTTCTTAAAAATTTAAATTATTTACTATTCTTGTCATTATTATTATTCCCTTATACTCAAAAAAAAAAAAAAAAACTTCATCTCTTTTTATAGTCATCTCCGCCACATCGGAGTTGCAGCCCCGCTCTCACCGCCAGCCCTTATTTTCTGACTTTATCTTTTTAATCCTTCATATCGTTATCCGTCTCTCGTCATTGTGACAGAGACTTTATTACTAATTTCATACATATAGCATATATAGTATTATTACTTTTAATTTTATTGTTATTCTTTTTCTTTTTTGTGGTTCTGTTAATTTAATCGGAAATTTTTGTTTCAATTAACCAAAAAAAATAAAAAAAATTTGAAGTTTGAAACCCTAGATTTTCTTTTTCTTTTTCACCTTGTTTTTTTAGGTTGTCAGGGGGCAACTTTATAATATTTGTTTGGATTCAAAGAGGTGTAGATTGAGAGAGCGGAGATATATATTTTTTTTTCTGGGTCTTTTGAGGGATGGCTGCGAATGGGCAGGGCATTGAGCCTGCCGTGCTGGATGACATAATCAACCGGTTGTTGGAATTCCGGCAAGCTCGTACCGTGCGTCAAGTCCAGCTCTCGGAGGCGGAGATCCGCTCTCTCTGCACCGCTTCCCGTGAAATCTTCCTTCAACAGCCTAACCTTTTGGAGCTTGAAGCGCCTATCAAGATCTGCGGTACTCTTTCCTTCTCCATTTTTTCCCTTGTTTTTCTCTTTTTTTCAGTCAATGTGTTTTTCCGACTCTGGATTTGGTGATAAGACTTGCTGCGAATATAAGATGTTTCCACGCATCCTGTTTGTTTGTATATATATATGCTTAGATATTGAAAGCTTATGCGTTCATATCTGCATATTAGAAGGGGTTGTTCGAGCTTTGTTCTGTGCCCTAAGTTAGGTGTGTTTTCTGTGGGTGGTTCATTCTTTCATGTTTTGTCTGTCTCTTATGTATGCAAAATCTGAATATATGTGTTTTGGCCTTTCATATTTTCAAGTTAAGAGTTGAAGTTCTCTGAACAAAAGATGAAATTTTGATTTTTGCCTTTCAAATAGTCCACAGTGAATGTTCGGTATCTTTTTGTTAGAACTAACCTTGTAGGATTACTAATGAAAGAAGTTTTTACTGTCTAAATATATATATCAATTCTGGGTCGATTGTCTTCAAATCGAAAAGAAAATTTCTTTTTGATATTTGCTTAAAATTCTGAACTTTTAGTTTCATATAGGATAGTCTATTTTCGGTTGGTCCTTGGAAAGCTCAATCTCTGTCGACAAATCCACCTTTTTTCTTGATTTTCGTTGTAGAATGAGTTTTTTGGTCTTTATACCTTTCTTTCCTACCTGCATTTGTTGAAAATCTTTTGTATATGCCTGCCATATATTTGAATACCTTGTTCAATTCTTGATAAAGAGAGTTCTAATGTTGCGTTGCAAATTTTTTTTGAAATGTTTGAATGCATTTTATGGTGTTTCGAAACTCACTTCTCTCCAACAAGTTCCTTAAACTCATCAGGTAAATGTTTAGTATCTGAAGCCTTTACAGGATATCCCGCAGAACTGTTAAATGGGAGATGTATGTAGATGTCCCAAAAACAAAACTTTCAAGACACGGACCAATATAACTAATCAATAGGATCACTTTATGACTTTGATATTCTAGCAGACAATTTTAGACAGATTTTTAGTATTGGAATTTATGACAAAGGCAGCTATTGCAGCCACCTGTTAAACCCAGTGGAACCAGTGAACAACTGTGATTCCCTCCCACCAGTGCTGTCTGGCAGTGGCTATACTTTTCTTTTGACGGGAATCCGGTTGTTCTTGAGATGAGTGGGAAGATGTGTCTGCATTCAGATGGGTAAATCAATGTTTGAATGCATATCAAGGTTTTCAATGCAAATGACAGTTTGTGCATTGGACTCAGTGATTGAAAAAAAAATGTCTGGCCATTAAAACCTGTAGTGAATTGTGTTTTCTAATGTCATTAATCATTAGTTTGGCTTTGGCTACATAAATATACATTCCAACGGAAATCCTGTAATTGACCCATTACAAATCCTGTAATATACATTCCAACGAAAATTGTATTCTGTTTCTGCGCTTCTTTCCTGTTGGTTTTGTATCACTAGAAAATAATGAGATCTATCCTTTAGGCCTAGCCTATTTCTTCCGTACTTGATGAACTTAAAATATTATTTTTTTTTAGTTGCAAGTTATCTTTAACATTTGGGACATAATTGAAAGAAGCCTGACATTTAGCTTTTATGTTTATCTGGGTTCCAGGTGACATTCATGGGCAATATGGTGATCTCTTGAGACTCTTTGAGTATGGAGGTTTTCCTCCCGAGGCCAATTATTTATTTCTTGGGGATTACGTTGACCGTGGAAAGCAGAGCCTTGAGACAATCTGCCTTCTTCTTGCTTACAAGATTAAGTATCCTGAGAATTTCTTCCTTCTGCGAGGAAATCATGAATGTGCATCGATTAATAGGATATACGGGTTTTATGATGAATGTAAACGCCGGTTCAATGTCAGGCTTTGGAAAATCTTTACGGATTGCTTCAATTGTCTTCCTGTAGCTGCTTTAATTGACGACAAAATACTCTGCATGCATGGGGGTCTCTCTCCAGATTTAACGAACTTAGATCAAATAAGAAACTTGTCACGTCCAACTGATGTTCCAGACTCTGGCCTGCTTTGTGATTTACTTTGGTCAGATCCTTGTAGAGAAATTAGAGGTTGGGGAATGAATGATAGGGGTGTCTCATTCACGTTTGGTCCTGATAAGGTGGCAGAATTCTTGATGCAGAATGATATGGACCTTGTTTGCCGTGCCCATCAGGTAATTTTTTCTGTTATCTTATTTTGTAACACTAGCTTGTGCAACTCCATATTTCTGAAAGGTTTTTTAATTACTATCCTCTGAACTTGCTAGGTTGTGGAGGATGGATATGAATTTTTCGCCGACAGGCAACTAGTAACCATATTCTCCGCTCCAAATTATTGTGGTGAATTTGACAATGCTGGTGCAATGATGAGTGTAGATGAAAGTCTAATGTGCTCCTTCCAGATTCTGAAGCCAACTGAGAAAAAGCCTAGGTTCTTGTGAGGCAAATATCTGTAGCCGATAATTCGAGTTTCTGAGGATGGACAAGGTTATGTTCGTTGAATTATGCTCTGATTTCATATTTTTGAATATATGCAGGTGCTGTACTTTGTAGTCTCGATGCGCTAATTTTTTTGTTAATCTTGAATCTGTATGAGCTACTTGTGCTCCCAATTGTTTGTTATGCCAGATTCGAGAGTCTTGAATCCTTTTTGCTAATGCTAATAGAGTCTTAGACCTTGAGCACTTATTCATCGATTCAGCTAAGTTAAGGAATGATATTGCCATTATAAACTTTGGAATCCTAAAGCACATTTGTTTCTATCGTATTTCCCAACTTTTATGTCTGAGATGGAGTGACACTTGTGTAAGCGTCTAAGAGATGCATTATCTGAATCTTGTCGGAACAGTTGTTAAATGTGGCGACGCTGTTTGCATGGTCACTTGGTTTATAGCACATATTGTCATGTTTTGGTTATAATATCTAATTATTCCCGCCTTCTGATTAGGATGCATTAACTTATCATATGCAGTAATCCACCTCAAACGTGAACCAAACAGTTTCTCTCGCTTCAGCTTAGCTGGAAGTTGAACCTGGATAAGGAACATACATTTTGTTTTGTGTGGGATGGGAGATTCGTAACCCTGCCTGTGTAGTCATTCGGGAGGCAGCAAGTGTTCTCCGAGTGGCGGTGATTCAGAAGTCTTTTTCATTTTCTTTCTTTTTTGATGTCATGTTGAATCTTTGATGCAACCTTACGATTTGACTGTGTAAATACATTGGCTTTGTAAATCGCTGGGAATTCTGGATTATTGAATAATCATGCATTTGAAGATTGGCCTCCGCAGTCCCATCGCCTTCTTACTTCTGTTTTACATCTGAGATCTTTTGAGACTTTCTCTTCGTCGAAGCAATCTCTTGATAACGGTAGTGAGTTAACTATTGGAATAATAAGCGGTTAAATAGACCACTATTTTTGGTAATAAGCCTTCCCTAGGGAATCCATGTTAACACAACATTCCTATATTGTTAATCATTTTCTTCTATGAGGAGCTGATCCTGGTGTTGTTTATCTTTCAAAAAGTGCCCCGAACGATTTATCTTTGTATTATTCTTTTTAATAAGGACCGGAGGAGGGAGTAGTTTCGTTGGAGTAATAGTTTTCATCAATTTATAGAGATCAGGATACGAAAAAGAAAAAAAAAAAAAGGGAAAGAAAAGAAACGTTCGGCTGAAAAAATCATTTTCTGAACATAAGTGATTAAATTTAACTTGGTAATGCAAAGAGAAAATAGGATAGGTAAATTTAGTGAATTAATTATTAATCTTCTAATTTCACTCTAAAATTCCCACCCGAATTAGAAAGTACTAAAATAAAATGTACTAGTATAGAACATGAATTCCTTAATTTTCTCATTTGAGCGCCTTAAAAAAATTTAAAAAGATTATTTTACCCTTATTTTTATTTTTTTTAAAAAAGGGAGGGGACGACAAATAATTGCGCCAACCTTTCACGGCTGGCGCAGGAGAAACACGCCACCCGTGAATGGGTGGTGTGCAAGAAGGGTGGCGAGAATTTTTTTTGCCCCTTAAAAGGGCGCCACCACCCCCTGTTTTGGCGAGCAAACTGCTCGCCAAACCGATTGTTGGACCGCCACCCTTTTTTTAAAAAAATTATTTAATTTATTTTTTAAAAATTTATTTATTTATTTAAGTATATTTATTTATTTGTTTGGCGGTTATATAAATAATTTTTTAACTTAAATATTTGAGGAATGTTGCTTAATTACGTAGTAAATTTATCATTTAATTATGTAAAATTTTTTAAATTTAAATTAAAAAATTATCATTTAATAACAACTAAAACTTATAAAAAACTATAGACAATGAGGACTTAGTTATTTCGTCATTTTGAGCAACTAAGTTTTAGTTTAAATAAGTTGAAAGATAATTTCTTTGTATTAAGTTGGAAGATAATCCATTATAATTATCTTTTATTAATTAAATAAATTAATTAAAAAATAAATAAATTAAAAAAATTAATTAAATAATTTTAAAAAAAATTAATTTCGGTTTGGCGAGCAAGGAGTGGCGCCAGATTTGTGCGCCGCCCCCATTTTGGACACAAAATTTCTTCTTGCCTCCCAATTATGGGACGCGAGAAAATTGTGCGCCACTCTTTAAAGGGTGGCACCTTTCTCCTGCGCCAGCCGTGAAAAGCTGGCACAATGTTTCCTCGTTCCCTTCTTTTTTAAAATATATATATATATATATATATGTGAGAGCAAAATAATCTTTTTAAAGTTTTTTAAGGCGTTCAAATGAAAAAATTAAGCTCCTAATAAAAAGAACGACCTCCGAATTAGAAAGCCCACCCGAACAGGCCGACCGGGCCTCCTAATTGCCCATATAAATCAACTCTCCGAACTTTCCCAAATTCCTTCTTACCCGCCAGCCGTCTGACAGTCACTGGAGCTCTCAATTCCGCCTATTCCTTGATCGGAATAATGTTTTTCCATATAGTGTTGGAGCGTAATATGCAGCTCCACCCGCGCCACTTCGGTCGAGACCTCCGGGATAAGCTGGTGTCGAAGCTCATGAAGGATGTTGAAGGGACCTGCAGGTCTGTTACCCTAAAATTCCTTCTAAATCCCATCCCGTTTTGTGCTTTCGGTTTATACTTTCGTTAAGTTGAGCAAATTGAGCTTTTTTTTTTTTTTTTTTTTTCTTTTTGGTTTGTTTCAGTGGTCGACACGGGTTTATTGTGGCGATTACTGGAATTGAAAATGTGGGCAAGGGTTTAATCAGAGATGGCACTGGGTTTGTGACGTTTCCCATCAAGTATCAGTGCGTCGTGTTTCGGCCTTTCAAGGGGGAAATTTTGGAAGCTGTTGTCACCATGGTAAACAAGGTAAAAGATCTTACCGTTTTTTTTTCCCTTCCCCCAAATTGAGAAATTGTTAAAATCTGTTCTGAGTAGTATGGTTTTTGGAATCGAGTGCAGATGGGATTTTTTGCTGAAGCTGGGCCTGTCCAAATTTTTGTTTCCAATCATGTAAGTTACTTTGTGTTAGCTTAATCTCCCCCTCTTCTGCATGATTCGTAACTTATTTGGTCTCCTCCACATTGGTAGGTTCTTGGCCTTGTTCGTAATTATATGTATGTGGAGACTGTAAAACATGCATTAAACATTTAGCTTTTCAGTTCTTTTAGGTTCATTTAGTAGCTATTTGTTGAAATCTTGCACATTTTATACTTCTCTCTCTTTCCCGGGTCAAGGCATTTATATACAGCCAGGGGCTAGCTTGACAAAATGTTGAAGTTTTTCCACAAACAACTAGCATCGGCTCTCCTTCTCTAGAAGTCCAGAAGGATGTGCTTCAGCCTTCTCGTTAAATGGGAACGATTGTCCGGTTTGCATTTTTTATTTTTAGTACAAATTGTACTACAAGTAAAAATCCAAGCTGGACAATCATAGGGAGTACTTAGCTTGGAAATTGTCTTGGTTTTGATTAATTTCATCATTTTCTTTTGTGAAGAAGTGCCAGAACCATCTATATATTACTTGGTTACCTGTAATGGGGTACAGAGTATTTGAACAGTCACACCTCCATTCGCTGGTTCTTATAATTGTTCGATAGTTTATAGGTGAGCATCTAACATTTTTCCTTACGGGTGTTTGACACTGTCTCAACAGCTGATACCAGATGACATGGAGTTCCAATCTGGTGACATGCCAAACTACACTACTTCAGATGGATCTGTATGTATCATTCTGTTGCCACTGCTATGTTCTGATTTTTTTTATTGTGTTAATGGAATTTGTAAATACATGCTGCGTTTCATGGCGCCTTATGTCAATCTGTTTCGCAATAGGTCAAGATCCAAAAGGACAGCGAGGTCCGGTTAAAGATAATTGGAACACGGGTTGATGCGACAGAAATTGTATGTCCATGTCTTCCTTTTATTTTGGTGATATAATAACTCTTAAATGTTAATTTGTTCTCATGTCCTGTTGCTATTGTCTTGCCTGCTATTGTTTGTAGTGTTCTTGTTACTTGTCATAGAAGGCCATTCGTGTTTAGTTGATGTAGTGGGATATAATGCCATGGTCTAACCAAATATCAGACCTACTTTGATGATTTCCTTTCCGGTCATCAGTCATGATTGTATGGTAAAATAAAGACTGTAAAACTTTGATTCAAAAGGAGAGGAAGGAGAAACTGTCAAAGCAACTTAAAAGAGTATGATGCTGTGGTTGGTTTGACAGCTGGAAAACATAGATGTTCATTTTGAACTCTTCACTTTATTGATTCTGGTCATGCATCTTCCTTTGTTTATTCGTAATATATCATCTCTTAGAAAAACTATGCTTGATCCTGGTGAGATACCATGGAACGTGACCAGGCTTTATGTTTAAAATTGATCCTTCTACATTCATTAGTCTAAATGCTTTTCTGTTGTGTGGTGGAACTGGTAACTATGTGTTCTTACCATTCATTGACCATTTCCTTTTGCAGTTCTGCATCGGCACAATCAAGGATGACTTTTTGGGCGTCATTAGCGATCCAAATGCAACTGCCTAGAGTCGGAGAAAATTGATTTATATGTGAGACAGGCGGATATCTTCTTGCAGAGGATGCACAATTTTTAGTCCCTTGCCTTGTAGTTTAACTACTGACTGTATCAGGATGCGTGTTATATTTCATGCTGTGATGTCCATAAACCAAATGGTTAAGCTTGAAAGTTACTTCGATCTGATTGCATTATCTTTCTAGTAGCTATGTTACACTGAGAAACTACATTGACTAATTTAATTGACGTAGAGAAATGGAAGCCAAAGATGTCGAAACTAAGGCCAAAACACAGGATCAAGTTTAACAGAATCAACAAGAAGGATTCTTTGGGGAAGAAAAAAAAAAAAAAAAAACCTCAACTGCCAAAAAAAGGGCTAAAACTGAACAAGATTCTGAATAAGTTTTTGTTTGTCTTTTTTTTTTTTTTGGTTTTTTCTGTTTGAGAAAATAAAAATGGAAGAAGTTGGAAAGCAAAAATCAGCTGCCAATTTTAAAAAGCGTCACTCAAAGGAGGCGCAGTGTACTAAACTAATACTGAATTCAGTGAATTGAGTGAAATGAAAGTTCTCTTCTTCGCCAAAGCTTTTGCAGCAGAAATCCCTTCCATCACTCTCTAAAACCAAGCAAATCAACCGAGTGCTGTTACTCCTCTTGCTATGTCCTAACAACCCAATCAGAAGGTTTTAAATGTGGACGATACAAACTGCCAATACCTATCAACCACAATATCGTCCACTCAATTTCCGGGCGTTTTCACTCTCAAACCACCAAAATTCCGTCGCCTTCCGCCCTTCTTCAGCCGGTTGTGACACTAAACTCAACCAGTTAATTCAATCTCTCTGTGAAAAGGGTCGGCTCAAACAAGCTCTTCAGCTCCTTCCTCATGAGCCCAGTCCGACCCAGCGCACTTACGAGCTTCTCATCCTCTCTTGCAGCCACCAACGTTCGCTACCCGACGCCCTCGATGTTCACCGGAAACTTATTGATAATGGGTTCGATCAGGATCCTTTCTTGGCCACGAAGCTCATCAATATGTATTGTGAATTAGACTGTATTGATTATGTCCGCAAGGTGTTCGATGAAACTCTTAAGAAGACTATTTATGTGTGGAACGCTTTTTTTCGAGCCTTAACCTTAGCTGGTAAAGGTGAAGAAGTACTGGGTTTTTATAGACGGATGAATCTGATTGGAATTCCATCCGATAGGTTCACGTATACGTATGTTCTCAAAGCATGCGTGGCTGTAGAATCATTGACTTCGTTACTTCAAAAGGGGAAGGAAATTCATGCGCACATTTTGCGGCATGGGTATGAGGACCATGTCCATATCATGACAACATTAATGGATATGTACGCAAGATTCGGTTGTGTGGCCAGTGCAAGTAGTGTGTTCAACGGGATGTCGTCGAAAAATGTGGTCTCTTGGAGTGCTATGATAGCATGTTATGCAAAGAATGGAATGCCGCTTGATGCATTGGAACTTTTTCGGGATCTCATGCTTGAAAACACAGATACAGTGCCCAATTCAGTGACAATGGTCAGTGTGCTTCAAGCTTGTGCCTCACTTGCAGCTTTAGAGCAAGGGAAACTGATACATGGTTACATACTTAGGAAAGGTCTTGATGACATTTTACCGGTTATGAGTGCCCTCATAACTATGTATGCAAGATGCGGCGATCTTCAAATGGGGCGACATGTCTTTGCTCAGATGGACCGGAAAGATGTTGTTGCTTGGAATTCCATGATTTCAGGTTATGGTATTCATGGTTTTGGAAGAAAAGCTATTGAGATTTTTGAAGAGATGATATCAAGTGGAGTCTCACCGAGCCCAATCTCATTTATAAGCGTTTTGGGAGCCTGTAGTCATTCTGGTCTTGTTGAGGAAGGAAAATCTCTCTTTGAATCTATGGTAAGGGAATATAAAATAACTCCTACCGTGGAGCACTATGCTTGTATGGTTGATATGCTTGGTAGAGCTAATCAATTAGATGAAGCAGCCAAGATAATACAGGAAATGCGGATTGAGCCAGGACCCAAGGTCTGGGGTTCTCTTCTCGGATCATGTAGGATCCATAACAATGTTGAACTCGCAGAAAGGGCAAGCAAGAGGCTTTTTGAGCTTGAACCTGCAAATGCAGGCAATTATGTGCTCTTGGCTGATATTTATGCGGAAGCTGAGATGTGGAGTGAGGTAAAAAGAATAAAGAAGCTACTAGAAGATAGGGGCCTTCAAAAGGTATCTGGCTGTTGCTGGATTGAAGTTGGACGAAAGATTTACTCGCTTACCTCAGTCGATGAATTTAATCCGCAGATTGAGCAGATACACGCATTGCTAATAAGATTGTTCGAGGAGATGAAGGAGAAGGGGTATGTACCAGAGACAAAAGTCGTTCTTTATGATCTTGAAGCAGATGAGAAAGAGAGAATTGTACTTGGTCACAGCGAGAAATTAGCAGTTGCCTTTGGGCTAATTAATAACAGTAGAGGGGAGACCATCAGGATCACCAAGAACTTGAGGTTATGTGAAGATTGTCATTCTTTTACGAAGTTCATCTCCAAATTTGCAGGTAGAGAAATATTAGTTCGAGACACAAATCGGTTTCACCACTTTAAGGATGGAGTTTGTTCATGTGCTGATTACTGGTGAAGCTGGAGTTTGTAATGAACTCTTTCTTCTCATCATTCTGTTTTTCTGGCTCCTGAGTCCTGAGAGCTGATACAAAAAAGAACTTTGTAAAAGTACAGTTTGGAGAAGGCTAAAACTATACATTATAACTTTACTTCTTTTTTCTTTTTTCTTTTTTTTTTTTCCTTTTTTTCATTTTTAATGTAGATTAGCTCCAAAACATGACAATTTCTCTAAAATGCAAGAATTGACTAAGAACAACATTGTTGTTTAGTGTATGCTACATAGAAACTTTAAACGTTTGTGAAGTATACCATCTGCTTCAATCGTTGGGTTCTCGCTCTCTTTTTTGGTGTCCGGTAAATCGGTTAACAAATCAATATCTCCCCATATTAATGTCCACATTATTGAACCGATTTGGTTATACAAGATAGATAATTAACAATAAAAATGGATTATTAATATGGAACAAGGGAGTAACTTCGAGATATAGGTTTTGATGCAGAACTTCAGAAAAGGTGTTCGATAATTTACATCCATGAAATTTACAACTACAGTAACAGAATACAGAAAAGAGAAACAAAGAAACAAAGAAACCGTGTTGTATAGAACCACCAATAGATAAAAGAATGTTCCGCAGCAAAACTGATCCATTCTAATGCCTTGTCATATTAAGATTTTGTTAAACTTAAAGGACATGAAGCTCTCTGCCGATCCATTACGCAGCAACTGAACCATCTTGCTTCATCTTGATGAGGCTATTTTCAATGTTCCGTAGCACTGGTTTATATCTGGATTAGCAAAAGAAAAGGTTAGGTAGCTAAATAGAAGAAACACATGATAATTATGCTTTCAAAGAGTGAGAATTGCATGGGGAAGAGGCATACAGGCGAGCAAGACCGTTGTAAGCCTGAGTTGCCTGTTGTAGTCGTGCTGAGAGCTGCAAGGTTTCTGCAGAAAGTGCTTCAACTCTGCTCTGCTCATTTGCCAGTTGAGTCTGTGCAAGTGAAACAGAAGAAAAGTGAGCGGTATACATATTACAGATACCGGTCCCAAAAAGGGTGATGAATGAATGGAGTACTGACTTTGAGAGATGTTATCTCCGGAGATAAAAGAGAACCATTCTCTTCCTTGCTTGATTCCGTGATGCCAGCGTTCCCATTGATCGTCGATCTCCCTGCCTGTTCCATTCTATACTTGTGTAACAAACTACGGAGCTCGTCATTTTGTGTTAGACAATCTTTGACCTGCATAAATCACAGATAAGGAAAAATACCAAGATCTATCAGGGAAATTACGAACTTGTAATTAAAAGCAAAAAAGCGAAGATGAGAGTCAGTCTGATAGTGAGCACAGTGGAACCTACAAGGAGAATCCCATACACGAAATTTTACGGAATAACAATTACCTGGTTTTCCCATTGTTCCACAACTTTGTTGGCCTCTTCATAAGCGGATGATAGATTTGAGTTTTCCTCAAAAAGTCTTTCTATCTCAGAGGACTGGGAATCAATCTGGAAGCCAGATAAGAGAGGAAATGAATTTCAATGCTATGAAACCCACAATGGAAAAGCTGGGGTGCTTTAGTAAAACACCAAAAAGTAAAAGACACTACCTCCATCAGAAGCTTTTGCCTACTAATTTCTAATCTCTCAACAGCAACTGCCATCTCATGTAATTGCTTCTCAAGTCTTTCTTTATCTTCCTGAAAAGACGGAAACTAGTTTGTTTACTTAGGGGTTGAAACCTTGACATAATTAAGTATACATACTATAATGCTCATTGATTTAGTCAGAGTATGAACCCAATAGACAAGGCAAAAGGGAGAGCATGCGAATTGAAGACGAGAAGAAGAGGACTGCAAAAATTTCTCAAAAATCTGCCAAACTACAGAGTGGATACAATAACAATCTGCAATAAGGGGGAGTGGGGGAGGAAACTCAATGCTTTTTTCATGAAATAGCTCACCTCTGTGAATCCTTTGATGTTAGCATTTTCAGTTGTTTCACCTACATGGACAGCACACAGCAAAAAGTCAACTCTGGATTTTAACAACATAGAAGTGCAGAAGTACAAACCCCTTCTGAATTTTTAGTAGACTTTATCATTTAGGATATAACATATTCTATAAATAAAACTAAGAGATGGAAACTAGAAAGTACTTCAGAAATGAAGCATGCAAAAGAAAATCATAGGGACCAACATTCTTGCGAGCGATTCTGTAGCAACTTATGCATGATTATATCTCCACCTGTGTGACTGTGACATAAATGCTTCTCAGACATGCTTAACATGTAAAATGCCAAATGTTTCATAATATTTAATGACAATCCTAACAACGTATTCATCTGCCAGTTAGTACAAAAATTAATCAGAGAAGCTTTTTCCTAACCTGACACCCTCTGGGCACTTAAGGCAAGTTTCTCCTCTAAATCCTGCTTTTCAGAGATAAGGGTAGATATTCGAACCTGCTCATCAGCTAAACGTTGCTGATCTTGCTGCCTTAACCGTGACTCTTGCTGACAATACATCATCAATTAGACTAAACATAAAGCACAAGTATAGATGAAAAAACAAGCAGTAAAACCCAAGTCTTACCTCGAGCTGAGTTTTCAAATTAGATAATTCCCTTTCCATAACCATTACATGATCTGGTGAATAGCTTGTTGATGGCATTCCACCGGTAGGACCACTCATAGCTTGTTGGTGCAATGAATTCAACTCGGCTCTCAATGCTGCTGCATCCTCCTCAGCCTGAAGAAAGAGAGAATCAGAAGGAAAGTACCAACAAGCTTTCACTTTGCATTGAAAGCAATAACACATACTCTGTATTGTTCTTCTTCAGCCTCCTTCAAACGTTTCTTAACGGCTCGAAGCTGAGCTGACAGGTCTTCCTACAGAAGGAAAAAAGAAAGTATGATTCAGAAGGAGGCATCTTCTTGTTGTTGTTCTGTGTTCATCAGAAGAAGCTTCACAAAGTATTGCGACAACTTGAACGCAAACATGTAATTACCCGAGAAACAACTGCTGCATCCTTTTCCATAGCAACATCTTTGAGAGCTTTTCTGAGTGACGGTACTGTATTTTGGTCCTGAAACCAGTGTAAAAGAACAAGGCGGTTAAAAAGATTCAATGATCCTTCCTACCTGCCAAAAAACCAATTGCTCTAACTACATAACCTTACGCTTGACATCAAGCTCAATCAAAGTTCAGAATAGTAGTAACATATTGAGACTCAAAGATCCACAAGTAACATACTGTGTTCAAATTAGCGGTAAAGGAAATAGGTCTCTCTACAAACAAATGCAAAATATTTCAAGCAAATATTTTCTGATCCCTCACATAAGCCAGAAAGCTATACTGCAAACAAATTACCAGATCATTCAACCTCTTCTGTAGCATGTCGTTCTCAATCTCCTTGGACCGCAGCTGAAAGATCAGCGGGAAATAATTAGCAACACGAAACCACACTGGTGTGAAAAGAACGAAATGAATAACATTAGAATAAACCTGTGACGACAGTGACTTGTTTTCCTCATCAAGATCATTGTTCCTCTTTTGCAATTCTTTGAGTTGAGATACTAAGCTACTGATATCAACCTGCACCAAACAATGATCACATTCCATGTCTAATCTTTGATGACATTTAACCTAATTGACTCTGAATACAAAGAAAATAATTGCACGCACTTCCCCCAACCGTGTTCCGCTCTCTGATTTTTTGATTGAGCCACCATCTTGCCCAAAAAAAAAAAAAGAAAAGAAAAGAAAAGAGATCATAAATGCATCAATCAAATGATCAAGAAAATAAAAATTCAGAAGCTGAAAGGAAAATCAAAATTCTGAAAGGTTGATACCAGATGCACTTGAGCTTGATATAGGGACTTGGGTGAGATCAGGTCCGGATGCCGCTTTGCTCAATCTCTCTGCCGCTCTTTTTTGACGAATTTCTTCCAGCTGAATATATCAAGCATAATATGCCGCGTTCAAATTATTTTTTAACGAAATTTCTCTATGCCTTAAAACAAGCCGGATAAATGAAATTGAGAGATCTTTACCGTTCGCCGGCCGAGTGAAGCGTGATGCTGACGAGCATCCATAATTCTCCGCTAAGATTTCAAAAACTCAGGTACCTCAATCAAACAATCCACCCCAATCTTCGAACGATATCAATGGAATTGCCTAAATTTCAAAATTCGTCGGCGGGGCAGCCATCCGGTCTGATTGATTCGGATCTTACCCGGGTCGAACAAGAAGATGACAACTTGGGTTCTGGGCTTCCTCCAAATGGATCCATAACTCTCTACAATAAGTTGAGGAAACTCCCGGACCATTTTTATGTCTATACATAATAAAAATGTAAACTTCCCTATCACAAGGTCTGGGTGGTGTAGTCGGTTATCACGCTAGTCTCACACACTAGAGGTCCCCGGTTCGAACCCGGGCTCAGACAATTTTGAGATACCCCTTCATCAATCATTTTTTTGTAGTTTCCGTGTAGTAAAACATGTAAGACTTTTTTTTATTATAACCGAAATTGACTGTCCATCAACTAAATATGATTAATGAGTTTCTTCTTTGATACCAAAGGTACTAAACAATGCAAGTAGTTGTAAGATAGGATGTATTGTAAGAAAATGGTGAGAAAACATCCAAATAACAAGTCTTTGTCCAGAAATTGTAACAAGTCTTTGTTGCAAGAGTCAAAGAATGTGGTGATGTAAATGCCATGAGAATCAAATATCGGCATTTTTTCAATTTTCACTATTTTGGTTACATACGTTTCGGTATCACTGTCTTCATATTTAGCGGTATAAGCTCTCTAAGTTGTGATCTTTCTTGAATTTGAGTGGTAAATTGTAATTACATCATGTATCGAATTGGCATGTTGGAGGTCATGGAACTTCGAAATTTTCGCTTTTCTCTACAGTAGGAATCATGCAGCTCATTTAATCAGTAACTATAACCCTGGCTTCTACTAAGTGCTAAATGCTCATAACACATTCCTGTATCTCTCTATAACGCATTGCATTGAATCTTATAAAACTATAACCCCGCAATCGTAGCTGTTAATTAACTTTTATATCGCCTTCAATCTGGTAGAGTACCAAAATTCGATCCAAATTCCAAATACAGGGCCCATTTTCTACTTTAGTGCCGATATTACCAGACATGGTAACTTCAAAAGATTGCTGATGCAAAATTAGGGCCTCCATGATTTCAGGTTCATCTTATCTTCAGTGAACTTTTCTGGGACAAAAAAAGAAAAAAGAAATGTTAATTAGCTGTAAAGGCCAGGGAGGAAGAATAATTTAAAGAGGATGTACTGTTGATTATATGATCAATCAAACTCAAATAAAAGCAGAGCCAATGATCATTAGACAACTAAAAGAGGCAATTTATAATGTCAGTTATATCAAACGCTTCTTTTCTGTAATTAAAATTTGGCATAAATTGAGGTTTGGAGTGAGAGTTGGGCTGCTATGGATTTCATCACCAAAAGACGGATCCGGTGAAGTAATTTTGTGGGATTTTGCGGAAGAGACGATTCGTTTGGCGATGCGGAGGGCCATTGGCGGATGGTTTTCCATGCCATGCCTGAAATCAAGAAAATCGAACGACCGAAATGTGCCGGAGAAATCTCCCCGGAAAAGAAATTCAGCTTCAAAATCAGGTGCGGGAAAGAGAAACAGGGGAAATAACGTCGCGACGGGGGGTGAGCACCATGGTCATAATAACTCTGCAACCGCCACTCATAGTACGGCGACATGCAACGACGCCGTCGGCATGGCGGCACTGGTCGTCGCCGCCAGTCATGTATCTGAATTCGGCGGCAGTGCGTGCGGAGGCAGTTCACATGGCGGCGATGGAGGCGGGGGATGATTTGAGGTTTAGGAAATTAATTCACTACTTCTTCGTCAGTCTCTCAACGCTGTTCTTTGCTGGTTTTAAATAGCCCTACAGTAATTTTAATGTAACAGAAAGTGATGTGGCTGTTGCTTCACTAGTTCACTGTAATGTTCTGAAATTTGGGAATGAAGAAAGACAATGATGCTTTGATTGTTGTTGTACCAAGCCTATCACAATTTTAATTAAATATATATTCTCTGTCTCAAAATGATTACTATTAAAAATAACCTACATATTATTCAACCTTACTTCAATCGTATTACAATAATGAGTAAATTCTAGTTAAGCTGCATAATGGGACACCGAAGAATATATGCTTTTGAATTATGAAAAATGTAGTCTTTTTTTTTTTCAAATGTACTATCACTCGAAGTGAAATAAATGAACTACTGCTGAATGCTGATTGTGTTAGGATAGGGAAAAAAAGGTTAGCTAGAAACTTATTGGTTAAATGTAAATCTGGCCAGTGATAATACCCTGTCATTTACTTTGAAAATGTAACTTATATTGGTGCCTTCGAAGTTCGAGGTGTTTGAACTATATTACAAAAAGAGGCGAGGTATTGCAAAACGAAATCTATCTCCTTAAAATGATAGTTTTGTTTGTATTAAAAATTTGTATTAAATATAATTCTGTTTGTATTAAAAGTCAATCATTTTAGACCGTAAAAATAGTATTGTCATTCGAATCCACATTTTACTCGATACTTCCAGTTTATGAGATTTAGATGTCTGCCGCATGACTCGATTCTTACATAAACGAAATCATAATGGAAATGAAATTTCTTATGATTATGAGGTGTTTTTCTGACTTAAATTTCGTTTCAAGATTGTTTCGTTTATGTTATCAGAGGGGAGTATATAATTTTGAAATATTGCATCAAAGTTTGTAAAGGGATCCTCACGTTTACATATGATGTTTATCGGGGCTGGTGATGATTGGTGACGGCGACATCTAAATTCCTTTTATGTAGTGGTTGTGGCCACGATGGATGCTACCAAAGGCAAATAAACACTGGACCAAATTGTCTTGACATTGACATCATTTATGGCTGTTAAAATCTTTGCCCTTTTTGGATTCTGATATTATCTCGGATTTTATTTTTTTTTTTCCTGAATATTAAAGCCATTTTTTACTTTTTTAATTCCAAGCTTTTAACTATTTTTCAAAAAAAAGTACTAAAGAAGAGAACATCCTCCCCAACATCTGTTGTCGTCCCTTTGTCAAAAATTCTTTTTCTTCACCTTTTCTTTTTTACTCTCTTTCCCTTGTTGGTGATGGAAGCTAGTGAAATTGTAGAGAGTCTTGCTCCACGTAACAAAGTCCAGAACCAACCATTGCAATAAAAGTTTTAAGGTTTTCTTCTTTTTTTTTTTTTTCTTTTGCCCAATTTATAAAGATAGTGATTTTGTTCAGTTTAACGATTCAGTAACACAAAAAAAATGGTAATACTTGAAAATACGGAGTACACGTTATTTACCATTCCAAATGTCGTATACATGTTATTTACCATTCCAATAAGTACCAAAATAGGACACTCACCAGTGTAACAAAATAAGTAACTTTTCTATGGATTTATTTTTAGAGGTTGATAATATACAAGTTTGAAATCTGTTAGTTGCATACATGTATTTTTTTTCTTATTAATTTATTGCTTCAGAGCCCCCTCCCAAAAAATCATGAGTAAAAAAAAACATTATAAGTATGTAAAAATAAAATTAAAAACTCTCCCAATCTGTTAGTTGCATAGATTTTTTTTTTTCATTTTAGGAGTTAAATGTTTTAGAATTATATTTCTAGAAAGTATTTGTTGGCCTCTCATTTTAGCTTGGAATCCAGATGATTATGTTTGTGTTTTGTTTTTTTTTTTAGTTTAAATTTTTATTAAGACAAAAAAAAAGCATTAAGCAAACAAAAAATAAATAAATAAAATCTACTTACGTTTCAAAATCCCATCTCTATATATATCATTTTATATATATATTAAAGGAAAGAAAGATAATCGACACGTGTCGCTCACTGAGACCATCAAGCCTCAATTAACACGTGCCATTTGCTAATTGGTTGATCATTTATCAGATAAATTTTTTTGTAAACAGTTAATAAATTATTTACTAAATAAGATTTTAACAGATATTACAAATTCCTGATTGTGAGCTTGAAAAAGAATATTTTCAAAAATTACTGAGAAACTCCCGACTTCATAAGTCCTTTTATTTACGAGTTTAAACTTTCAATCTATTGTCATTTTAGCCCTTAAAGTTCTATTTGTGTGCTACTTAGTCTTCAAGTTTATCGATTTTACATTTTCAAGTACGATTAATTGTGTCTCATATTTTATTAGAACTACATTTAATCTCCCAAAGTCCCGTTCCCTATAAATAGGCCATAGGCATCTAGACATAATTTACGCATTTTTTAAATATATTTTTTAATCCAAACATAACATTAGTTAGTGGCGATAATTTTTATTATACAACTTTTAAAAATCTTTGTTGTAATATTTTTGACCAAATCTTACAAATATACCTCTCATAAATAATATCAGTATACCTCTCATTTCGATCTAAAATTGATTAATCAAAAAAATATTACAGTTTTAAAAAATATTAGTAATTATATTTTTTTAAGAGAACTAGGACGGTATATTTGTAACTACATTATCTAATTAATTCTTTTGAAAGATAAATTTTCAACATTGACAAACCCGCGCAAAGTGCGGCACACAAACTAGTATATATTAAAGGAGAGATGATGAAATGTAACGTGTTATTCAATTAAACTATCAGTAGATTCAATTTACATGTGTCAATTCATTATTCATCCATTAAAAGATAAAAGTATAATATTAAAAATTTATGACATTATACTCATAATAATGTAAATCATTGTGGATACTCTTATAAAATAACAATAACAATAACTACGAGATAAAATGCATTAAACATGATAATTCTCATAACTGGAATTAATCTTCATTAACTTTTATTTATTCTCTTAGTTCAAAATCCAAATTAATACTTTTTTCCACGCATATCGCATAACGAGCAGGAGTAAAGCTAATAATGTTAACAAAAAGTTGTTGAACAAAAGGACTATTACAAATTTGATTAAAAAAAAATATAACCAACTGCCTCAAAGCTACAAGGGAACTACATATATGATCGTAAACTTTTGTACATAGTCATAGAAAGAAACGAACGCTTAATTGGACTCGATTTCTGTGGGAGAAAACAACTTCAAGTTCAAGGAAAATCTGTGGGGGAGGAAAACCCCCAACTCCATCTTCTATAAGGTTTTCCCTTATTAAATGGGTTTTTTTTTTTTTATCAGCCTCTGGTCTTATATTACGGCCATTTTATGCTCATATTCCTTATGCTATAACTCAATCGGCATTGTACCATTCCTCAACTTTTCTCAATACATGTATGAATGAAGGTAAACAAGTCATGAATACCAAAATATCGAGCAAGGTTGTATTTTCATTCTCTTGTAGTACAGTATGGAATTGAATCTTACTAACTGTAATAACGTAATATTCCCTTCTAACCTGTTCGAAAATGTATCGAGGGAGGAGAAATTAACATTTAACAACACTTCTAAAGTTAAATTCATAATATTGTTAACTCTCAATCATCTTTAGGACAATAAATCTAGATTAATTGTGAAATTAAAAAAAAAAAGAATTATAGATTAATCGCTTAGACCTTCATAAAATTGTATGTTTTATGTTGAATAAAAATATCCTTCTTATTAGGATCAACATATAACTTTGATGTGAAAATTACCATCTTTCCTTCATGAAAATTATCATCTAAATGATATGAGTCATGCATTTTTTAAGAACAAACGAGAATCGAATTTGAATGAAATTTGGAAACTCACGATAATAACATGCATCTACTGAACAGCATTGCTGTCTTAAATCTTAATCTCAACTCTCAAGTAGCTCTGTGCCTCTGTGGCTCTGTCACGCGTTTGAATCCATAGAGGCTCAATGGGAGGGAAAATAAAAATTGAAAAAGCAATTAATTGCAAGTTATCAGACAACCATGATTAAATTACCAGATACTCCTTCAAATATTACATATTGGTTTTTAATTAACTCAAAGTTCTCATTGTTACCGGACTTCTTTTCCCAACAAAACAGTAACTATATGATTTCATTACCTTATTGAAGCATGATTACACGTAGCCATGTTCTGAAAATCAGATAACATTTTTTTTTAATTTTTGTGTAACTTGATTCGTTCTATTCTAACTATGTCGATATTGTTAAATATATGTTTAAAATCTAGACGATCGGTCATTACATATTTATCAGTTTATTGTCCGTTGCATCCTAAATTGTATTCCAAAATTATTGTCCAATTTCATATTTAACTTTTAGTACAATTTTCAACTAAAAATGAAAACTCAAAATGGACAATAATTATGGGACGGAGGGAGTAAATTAGATTCAAACAATTTAGGTCAAATTTTACTCTTTAAAATTTTTATCGGAAATTTACATGTACATATAATAGAATAGAAAACCATTTCCAATGATGGATGGTCCTTGAGAAAAATTGATTGAGTTACTATATTAATTAATATCTATATCTTTTCTGAGTTAATGTATAATCCTTTAAAGGATCTACAATAGGATATCCAATAAAATACTAGTAATAAATAACAATATGGCAAAAAGATATGGATTACATGATAAGAAGAAAAAGCTACTCCCCCCATTCACAAATAGATGTCGTTGGAGGAAAAACCAAATATTCCAAAATAGATGTCGTTCTCGCAAATCGATGCATATTTTGTCAATTTTTTTTAATATTATCCTTACATTGAAAATTGTTGTGATGTTTAATATAAAATTGTATTATAACTGAATTTTATTGGGACTACAATTGAATTAAGAATAAATGAGGGTATTATAGTATTTTAAAAAGATAATTATTACCTCCTTAAAATTTGTAAAATTTCTCCAGCGACATTTATTTGTGAATGGAGGGAGTAGAAGGTAAGACACGATAGATTGATTCTTTTGTGAATAACCAGACTTCTTTTACCAAATATAGTGCATCAATAAAGATTTTTTAGTGACAAATATGTCGAACTCGTTGTGCGCTCATGATCCATAATCCCCTTAGGTGGGAGAATTGATGAGATGGTAATAATAGAATTAATGTTGTAATCACGAGTTCGTAGGTTAAACACGTTGTTGACGCAATTCATTTTCTAAAAGAAGGATAAAAAGAAAAAAGAAGAAAGCGGTTGATAGACAAATATACAAAGAGCTGAAGGGGTATCTTGTTAAATTTTATGCTAACCAATGATATGCCTGAAACGAGGGTAAGGACGTAAGGTCTTCTTATTAGCAATGATTAAGATTTAATACTACTACTAGTAATTAATAATGATACTATTAGTAGTAGTTAACCATTAACTAAATTGAAAGAGATATTTTTCTCTTTGCCAGTATATCAAAATCTGGAAATTAAATGTTGTCCCCTTTTAGTACACAACCTCCCCCGCTCCACTTTAATTTTGCTTCTTAGAAAATTTTGGTTTTTTTTTTTTTATTTATTTTTAAGTCCATACTTAAATGTGGTTAAAAACTTTACATGAGAGAATTGAACCCAAGTCTAATACTAAAAAGTACAATATTCTAATCGCCTGACTGTTATACGGCCAAAGTTCGAAATTATTACACAGACTAATCCTTGCTACTGACTAATTGAATTCAAATCGGATAAACATTTCTTAAGAAGTAAAACTGGTTAGCTGGTATATTACACACTTATGTTTTAAATCATTGGTTCGGGCCTTGGACTAATCCAATATTTTAATCAGGATTTTAGTCATTCAAACCTTTCAAATTTTTATTATTTGGACCTAGTTTTTATTCTAAAATTTCAATATAACAAAATAAATTATTAAAGTGAGACCGAATTATAAAATGTTATAGTACCAAGTATGCCAAACCAGGAAAGATTAGCGGTAAAAAAGGGAAAAATAAAAAAAAGAAGTAAACAAAAGATACGAATGAGCAGAGTATAGCGAGTCAGTTATAAAACAGAGACATGAATATAAGAGGCCACGAGCGCAGATTCCCGTGACAGTCTGTCTCATCTCATGCTAAATGGACCCCTCTTTTCCCCTTCACAACTTGTTCTTCTTCTCCTTCTCCTCCTCCTTCTGAAGCTCTAAAAAAACCTGAAACTCACTCTCACAGTCACTCTGCTCTAACTACTCCGCGCTGTCGTTTTAGCATTTCTCCTCTCTTTCTCTCTCCTGTTCAATCATCATCACCGTCATATATATATATATATATATAAAAGGTGAGAGTTACTGTAAAACCGGCCTCCCGAGTTGAGATCATCGCTGTCCACTCCGGGTCAAGAAAAAAAACCAATCGAGTCGGTTCGTTCGCTCACATCGTCATCCATGGCTTCCCTGATTGAATCTGGCTGGACGGTAAGCAATCATTTCGTCTGAATACATTGATTTGCTGTCTTTTGTTTCAGCTGCATTCTCGCTGATGTTTTAGCCCTAGCTTTCTGCTTCTGGCTTTCTCCCACTTTCGAGTTTGGAGTATCGGATTGCATTTGTTTTTTTGTCTAATTATTGCCGCCATTTGTATGTTTGCGAATTTCTGAGATTGCTTCCTCAATTTGAAGTTTTTCCTGGTATTCCGAGCTGGAACTGCACCGAGTTGTCCTTGTAGCTTTAGCCGCCATTGAACTTGAGATTTAATTTCTCGGAATCTAGGATCTGCTTGTTTAGACGTCATTTACCTTGTGCATGTTCACTGCATGTAACGCGGTTACTGTTAATTGAGCTAATCTGCAACGGAGCAATTTGCGGATTTAACAAGACGGCGCCAGAGGATGGGTAAAACCTGCTGTTGTCTGTATGAAATAGGGCGAGTCCTTTTCGCGAGACGATTATTTTTAGGAATCCGCCTTTTGATTACTATTACCTTCCTGATATATGAACAATGGAAATGGAATTTGAGTTATTCTTGTGAGATTTGTCTTGGTTTTTCATGGGTTGTGAGGCCTGCGCCTGAATGAAAATTTTAATTTTGTTTTCTCAGATGCTAATATGCCTTACCCCGATCAAATGTTATGGCTGTACTAAAACTTTATCATTCATCTATAATCTTGAAAACCTGAATATCTATTGGTATTCATAGTGCGTGTCACCAGCAGACATTTGTTGAACTATTGGAATGAAATGGAAACCTTTTGATAGCAAGAAATGGGATGATGTGTCATTTGAAGTGGACCAAGAATATCTGGATGGTGTTTTTGCTCGTATTGGATCTTGGAGATGTAATTCGTGCCGATTCTGTCTCCAATCGTGAACTTTTTACTATTACTTGTTTTTGTGTCGTTTTCCTGTCTGAAAAATATTTGTCTGGAAAGTTTGTTTCACTAACTGAATTGCCAAAAGGACCATTGTCCGTTGACAGTTGTCCTTCCAAATGGCTGGATTCTGTGTGCGGTGGGGTAGGGGGCGTCATTCACGTTGTTTGGATTTTTTGAGTGCGTAATTGTTGTTGTATCTAAATGAAATATTGCGAAGTACACATTCAAATTCCTTTATGAACGTGGCTATCGTAGTTGACGTCCATTGGGTTACATGTGGCTTCTGCACCCTTCATTTGATTGTTTGCAGGCGTCATCATGGAAATTTTGTATTTTGTTCTCTGATATTGATTTAATAATGAATCTAAAGTCATTATGATCTGTGCAAGATTTTTTGTCATTCGAGTACCTTATTTATTTTCTTCTCAAATAGGTGACAAGTTTTCTTTTCCCCTTTTAACTTCACTATTACCACGTAGATGCATCTAGAATGAAGTTCAGGTTCCTTGTCATCTAAGGAGAGGGCCTCTTAAGCATCTGAGATTGGAGAGCTCTGAAATATCATCACAAAAAATATAAAAATCATAGGCTTCTCTGTGAAATAGATAAATGTAGCAAAATAGTTGAGGCCAGCAAAATGAGGCAATGTTCTGATGGACACATAAAAATGGCAACAATGATGAAGGTTAAGCCATGGATTTCTGGAATGGGGAGGAATTTTGTCCCCATTAAACGCCCTCAATGTGACTTATATTACAAACTTTCGCTAGTAAGGCACTGAAGACTGAGAAAGTCAGCCTCAAAATCCCTTTACTTTTCCTAGAAAACCTGTGAAATAGTCTTTGACATGTTATTCCTTTTTTAAGTGCATTACGCGTTTGAGCATTGACAGTTTGACTTAACTAGATTCTACTTCCTTAATGGACCTGCTACTATCTCTTCTCTATCAATATTTTTTGCTGTCACTGAAGCAGTAAAATTCATGAAGTGCCATAAATGAGTCTTATCAGTGTGGTGATGCAGCATGGTTTCAATATTCTGTGTGTTATGGGTTAACGATTACCCCACATCGCCTTATATCAACCTCTCGACATCCATTGGTGATTATAATCCTTGGATTTGAACTCTTTAATGCAAATTGGATAGCTGGTGGGCTTAAGTTGGATACTTAGTTGAAAAACAACCTAAACATAATCTGCCTACCTTACCTAAGCAATTCATGCCTGTAACACTAATGTGTTGAAACTTTTCTGATTAGTTATGATCTCACCCTTCCCTAGACCTCGTACATGCAGAAGCTTTGATGCGCTGGGCTGCCCTGTTAGTTTGGCAAATGTCTGAGTAGTTGTTTTATGCATTTCCCTTTTTGACCTTGTTCTTTTAAATAAACCACAATTATGTTTTGCAGTAGCTTTTGGTGACACAGTACGTTTTGCATTTGTCTCAGTACTTCCAATTTCTCATTCGAATGTTTATGGTTTTGCAGTATCTCATTACTCATTTCAGTGACTTTCAACTGGCATGTCTTGGAAGTTTCTTTCTCCATGAGAGTGTCTTCTTCTTGTCTGGCCTTCCGTACATTTTCTTGGAAAGGGCAGGATGGCTGAGCAAGTACAAAATTCAGGTTTTGTTTTTCACAAATTTGAGTCTACTGTTCGTAGAGCTTACTTAAGTAGTAGATTTTAGACATGATCTGGGGCTTTTTCCTTGTTTATATTTTTCCATGTATGTTTTCCAGATAGCTCTATCAGGTGAACTTTAAAATAGAACTGTTGTGTTTCATCTTTTTTTATTTATTTTGATAAGTCTGCCAATATTCACTTTTTACAGACTAAAAACAACACACCTGCTGCTCAGGAGAAATGTATCAGTCGTCTGCTGCTCTACCATTTTTGTGTGAATCTCCCTGTCATGTGTTTCTCTTATCCTGTCTTCAAATACATGGGAATGCGGAGTAGCCTTCCTTTGCCGTCCTGGTATTCTCAGGTTCTTTATGCACTAGAGCTTAGTTAGTAGAGATGCTTTTGCATGGTTCTGTCTTGATAAAATGACCAGTTGGCTTAATTTGTCCTCCATTTTGACACCTTATTAGTGCTCATTCTCTAGTGGAATTTTGTATCTATCTCTACCGGGTTGAAATAGTCTTATTAATTATCATTTTTCTCATTTCTTGATGTTAATTGGAACAACTCCTAATGCAGGAAAGTTGTCTCGACTCAAATATTGTTCTACTTTATTCTGGAGGATTTTGTTTTCTATTGGGGACATCGGATTTTGCATACTAAATGGCTCTACAAACATGTCCATAGCGTCCATCATGAGTAAGTGAAATCTATGTTTGTACTTTGAGTTTTCTATTTTTTATTTATTTTTATTGAAATTTCTTTTGTTTTTACTTGCTGTGGGCGCGTTTATGATTTTAGTGGTATTTCAAACAGGTATGCAACCCCATTTGGACTGACCTCTGAGTATGCACATCCAGCTGAGATTTTGTTCCTTGGATTTGCCACAATCATTGGTCCTGCCATCACTGGACCCCATTTGATAACACTATGGCTGTGGATGGTACTGAGAGTCCTCGAGACTGTCGAGGCACATTGTGGATATGATTTTCCATGGAGTCTTTCAAAGTTCTTGCCTGTATATGGGGGGTCGGTGCCTGTTACTCTCATCTTAAGCTTAAACACCTGGACACAATTGTAAGTTTAGCATCAAGATTATATATAATGACTTCTGTTTGTTTCTTATTGCAGTGCCGATTTTCATGATTATCATCATCGACTGCTCTATACAAAATCTGGCAACTACTCATCGACCTTTGTTCACATGGACTGGTTCGTGTTATCAATCTTTACTGAATCTGCTACTTGATCTCGAGCATTTTTTTCAGAAGACTGCTGAATTTTTGCCATTTCAAGCTTCCTGTTCTTGTAGTGAAGTAGTAAATGGAATAACATTTTTGGATTGTGGTGTATAATAATCAGGTTGTTTGATTCCTTTATTTCCATTTGGGCAGGATATTCGGCACGGATAAGGGTTACAGAAAATTGAAGGCACTGAAAAGCATCGGAGATGAAGCAACGCACAAAGAAAATTGATGACAAATAGAAAAGTAATGTTTTCTTTACTGATTTGAGAGGAATGGCAATGAATTCTTGTGGTGAAAAGCATATTGGCAAGGATCTTTGTTTTAGGTTCATCAGCACCTTTTGTTCTTACTGCTGTTGTGATCAATTGCTGCTATGTAGGGGCTTACATGTGTATGATTTAGTGTGGATATTGTGTAAAACTCGTTTCGGATTTTTTTAGTCCTCTTGCTGCTAGTAGTTAAAAATGAATGAAGTTCATTTCTCATCTTTGTGAAATTCCCTTTTTGGAATTTTCCGACCAAATTTCATATCTGCGAGGACAATGTGGTTGATTTGTCATTTTCATAGATACACCACCACCATTCGAGCACTCACAGAACTTCGAGTGCTTACTCTGTGTATGAAAATTCATTGATTTTGGGTGGCTCTGGTTTCTTTCGATCAAGCACCCAATTCGTCCCGAATGTTCAGTCATGTTTGAATGATAAATATCTGCAAATGTGTGGGGCCCAAGGAAATCCCCATTAGCACAATGTGACTATAAAAATCTAGCAGGCCTTCCAGCGGCTGCAGGGCTGGTTTGAATTATGGCCAGGTTGGGGTCTTTCATTATAAGTGGATATTTTGCCTTTTTGTGTACCATTTATAAATGCTTGTTCTAAGATTTATGTTGAGGTTATCGTTAAAATTGTTGGGTCATACTTCTTGTGGTAATCATATGCAAGTATAGTAGATTTGCTTAGTCCCTTCTCGGAACGATTGGCTATTATTTATTTTACGTTTAGGACAAATAAATAATTTAATTATCTTCTTTGTTAACGTTTGTCAAGTGTCCAAAAAGTGAGACCTTCCCATCTTAAAAAACATGGTCCATTTCGTTCTATGATATTATTAATTCAATAAACTTAGTTAATTTTATGGGACCGTAAAGGTTCATTTCATTATCATCTCAATGTGGTAGTATCAAAACTCTATAATAATATGATTTTCATTGAATTACACAAGCCACGAGGCCCACGACACAACCGGACGATTGCAAAAGCCTGCTACGCCTGCATGCACAAGAAATTTACATGCAAATGGATCCCCTGATAGTTTCTATAATTTTTTCCGTTCTGTAAGACATCTTATCTTATATAGTGTGACATATTTATTTAATTAATGCTAGCACTCTAGTAAATTACGAGTGTCAAAAGTTTAAGAAATATTACAGAAAATGTTACTCCCTCCGTTTCAAAATGTAGGTCGTTTTAGGTTTGGAGAGATTTTTCAAAATGTAGGTCGTTTTACAAATTCTAGGCGAATTAATGAATTTTTTTTCTAACTTTACCCTCAATAAATGATGCTAATCTATTTTTATTTAGTCTTATTTATAATTTCAATGTAATTAATGAGGGGTAAAAAAGATATTTAACACATAAATTAATTGTTGGATGATTGTCTCCTTAGTTTACGTGACAAATCTAAGAATACTTACATTTTGAAATGGAGGGAGTACGAAAAGAATTGTCACATTACATTTAGTACTTTCTTCTCACAATAAAATGTTATTTGTAATTTGCACATTCTTCATGAAATGAGTTACTCCGTTTTCCATTGTACAAATTCACGGTTTTTATCATTTTCCATAGAGCATATATCAATGTTGCAAATTCAATGTTCTCTAGGTATTTCACGTCAAAAGGCAGACGGTGTCTCTATTCAAAACCAAAGCCCCAAAAATTCGAGACCTCACCTCATACCTCCCATAAAAACATCTCGGACCGATTAGGGGTTGTCAGTCAACTTGCCGCTGACATTTTGTTCAAATTTGGATTTGGTTGAATATGTTCAATGAATGATAGAAGTCACGTTTATACTAAGTTGGATGTATTGGATTGTTCTAGAATGGCATCTATTGTTTTAATTCAACGAATGAGAATACTATTTTGCAATCTAAAGAGAATTTATTTAATCGGATTGGTCGAGATGTCGCTCAAACAATACTACCAAAAGTAAAGCTAAAAGATTCGAATTAAGGTGGCAAAGATATATGTAAATGTACAATTGTTGTAGTTTCAAATCTCTGGGTTACAAAATAAAATAAAATATCTCTTCTATGTAGTTATTCGGTTCCATTTTAATTTTCCTTTCATCTCAAAATAGTTGTTTAATTTAATTTTTTTTTTAAGTTTTAACACAAATTGATTAAAATGAATATTTAAAATAGATATTATTTTGGAATAGGGCGAATAGGCTACTTCGTTAGTTAAAAAGAGTGCAACAAAACTACCATCTCTACCAAAATTTGGCGAAGGGAGTAATAAATCAATTACCACCATAACAAATTTTCGCAATTTTAGATTTAAGGGGTCATAAGTCATATTTTATCCGTTCCCAAATTTTTGTTTGATTTTAGATTTTTTTTTTTTAGTTTAAATTGACAAATTCAAATCAGAAAATAATTTTAAAACGGAAAGAAAGTTAAAGTGCAATTATAATAATAAAAAAATAAGTTGTAGATGACATGTGTCGTGTCCTAAATTAAAAGGATCAAAAGCGCCACAAAGTCTAAATTTAGTAGTATCAAAAGTGCAAATTTTGCCTTATGAATAAAGAAATACCCGCCTAAGACAAAATACAAAATTTCTACCATACCTATGAAAACTGTTTACCCACATAAAATCTAAAATAAGAAAAGAACCGAATTGGGGAGAAAGCACTAATTATTAAATAAAACTTTGTATAATAATAAAATATTAGACAATAAAAAAAAAGAAAAAAGAACAAAAGGAAAAAGTCTATTATGATCACTCAGACTGCGAACTCCTGAAACGTGTCATATATCTTCCATACCAACCAAGACACTACAGCTTTAAATTATTTTTTATTTTCTTCCTTCCTGGCTTTATTAATCTGTCATCACTATCGTAGATTTATTTATTATTCCTTCTGTTTTCACAAAAAATAAAAATCATATCACTTGTTACATTAAAAAATTATTTTATTTCTCTCAAATATAATACTACCTCCGTCTCAAAAAAATTATTGAGTTTTGAGTTTTGTACAATGTGAACTATAGTTTTGTACAATGTGAACTATTTTTGTGGGATGGAGGGTGTATTATATTTTAATAGAAAACATAATTAATTAAGCTCATTTCTTAATAGTTTTATAATTTTTAATAATTATTTTGTTTTGAGACGTGAAAAATTATACTATTAATTAAGAGAAAGACAATAATCTTAGGCCGGGAGCAAATTAGTCTTCGTAGTGTCCGAGTGTCAACGACGTCGACACAAACCCTTGCTAGGACCCATCAGAGGCCCTTTATCCAATCCAAACAGCACACAATACTCTACGTGAAGGATTGTGATTGGACCCCTTAATATCTCCATCCGAATAAAGTATCCCAAAAAAAAAATTCACGAATTTTTTTAAATTCCTACAGAAATACTCCTCCATAATCTCGTACTTCAGGATCATGACACATGTAACCCTCCTCCACCTCAGTCCTACTCCCCCCGTCGGTAAAATTTGGACCATTTCAAAAAAGTGGAGAAATTTGATATTCCCTCCGACCCCTCCGACAATCTATTTTTATACAGTGGCTGATTTATGTTTACACGCAAATTCAATATTTATAATTATTAACGGTTAACCAACAGTTTGTTAAACCAAAAAAAGAGTAACAAACAACAATCAGGACTCATCCCTCTTCTAACTAGAAAAAGTCAGTGACTTGGAATAGATTTTAAGTACATAATATTAAAAAATAACTAACTATTTCACTTATTAAAATATTTGTAAATGTACGAGATAATTAGTCACTATTGATAACAAATCAGCATCTTATACATTTAACAACGATAGGAATGATTATAACACGTCTTTCAATCAAAGTACAGTATCATAACTAGGAATGAGAAAATTTTCGCGCATTTCTATAAATATTAAGGAGAATTTAGTCTTCATTAGTTAGAAGATGTACTCCCTCCGTCCCATAATTATTGTTCAGTTTGAATTTTTATTTTTAGTTAAAATTGTATTAAAAGTGAAATCTCAAACTGAACAATTATTTTAGGACACAGGTAATATAAGTATAGAATCCCTTCCATAGTGGCAAACTGGAAAATGAGAGGAGATTATTGATCTTACTTTATTATGTACGTGTTTCATCATGTTATTTTATGAGATAGTTTTAAAAAAATTTTCCTTCTCGGCATGAATAAATGTGTCAGAAAATTCAATTTTCCGCGGGTACGTAAGTACGTACATGTATGCAGGTTTTACTATTTATATTTTGAAAAAGAAAAAAAAAAAAAAGGAAAAGAGAAAGAAAAGAGACATGGGATGGAAAACTTGGAAAAACAAGGAAGAAACGTGGCCACTGGACCACAGTCGTGTCAAGAAAAGAAAATCAAAACAATTGTCGTGTTCCATCGTAATTGGTACCCACAGGTAGATGGGCCCCACCTTTGGTACTTCTGTACACGTGTTCTTTTCAAATCGACGAGTAGAACGTTGATCTCCGACACTTGAACGGCTCCAGATCATCTTACGTTATTTTTAGGCGGGCACGCACTAAAAATCCTTTCCCGAACCAATTTTACTTTTACCCCTTCAAAACCGGTTCACCCCTGCCCGGCTCCGAAAAAACGACACCGTAAGGCTATCAGGATACGTACGTGTAATCAAACAAACGTACGTATATAGATGGTGTGGCAGGGGGGAAGAAATTTTTATATTTCTTTATAACCAAAAAAAAGGGTCATAATCTTTGTCCCCCCTCCACTGATCTTTTCTTTAGTCTGTACAGTCTTTTTATCATTAATATTATCATTCTCCCGGATCTTCTCTCTTTTCTTTTGAATTTGTGTATTTTGTATGAACGGAAGCGTATTTTTGTATTTTCTGGGGTGGATTTTGGTGGTAGTAGTAGCAGTAGAATACTACTGCTATACTCTTTTGAGTTAAGAACTCATAAATGGCGGAGATATGTTGCGAGGTAATGAGTGATCAGAGCGAGGGATCGTCTGTGTGCGAGACCACTAGCTCCCGTGCTGCCCGGAAGAGGAGGATGGAGATTCGGAAGATTAAGTTTGGTGTTTCCGGTCACCCGGTGGCGGACACGGCGGATAATTTGAATTTCGGTGCTAAACGAAAGAGGCTGGATGTCTGTCCGGAGGCGGAGTTCTCCCGGGAATGCGATAACGCCGTGGAGAATTCCGTCGGCGGAGATCATCATCATCATCCGGTTATCCAGCTGCAAGGAACGCCGGTTGGTATGAATAAGACCTTGACGATGGTGAAGCCGGCGGCGGTGGAATCGGAACCGTTTCCTAAATTTGGAATGGCGTCGGTTTGTGGACGGCGGCGCGATATGGAAGATGCGGTGGCGATTCGCCCTTCATTTTGCTGCGGCGGAGGAGATGATGAAACCTCCGCCGCCGCCGCCGACGACGTCTCCACCGGGTTGCATTACTTCGCCGTTTACGACGGTCACGGCTGCTCACATGTGCGTTTATTAATTTCCAGATTCCGGTCATTTTAATCGTTAGCACCCTTTTCCCCTTTCTTCTTTCTCCTCCTTGTTTTTCTTGGGATTCATAATTCTGAAAGCAATTTTTTCCGAAATAGGTTGCGACGAAATGTAGAGACCGGATGCATGTGCTGGTGAAAGAGGAACTGGAGGTGGAGAGCAGAGAGGAGATTGGAGAATGGAAAAACGCCTTGCAACGGAGTTTCAGGCGGATGGACAAGGAAGCGGTTACTTTTAACACCAGCTTAATCGCCGCCGCCAACTGCCGCTGCGAGCTCCAGAGCCCCGAGTGCGACGCCGTCGGCTCAGCCGCCGTCGTCGCCCTCGTCTCGCAGGACCAAATCGTCATCGCCAATTGCGGGGATTGTCGGGCCGTTCTTTGCCGCAACGGCAAGCCAATCCCCTTATCAGTGGATCATAAGGTATGTTTATATTATTTTGTATCAGAAGCTAAGAGTAATTTCAATGCATCTTCAATTCTGACAATCTCGATTTTATTGGTTATAAACAGCCGGATCGTCCGGACGAACTTGACCGGATCCAAGCCGCCGGTGGCCGTGTTATATCCTGGGATTGTCCACGTGTCGAAGGTGTTCTCGCCATGTCCAGAGCCATAGGTACTTAGCTAGTTATAAACTTGGGTGTAATTTTTTTTCTTGATATATGCATGTTAAAAATTGTATTATTAATTGGCTAAATTTGGTGTTTAATTTAATCTCAGGCGATAATTATTTGAAACCGTACGTGAGTTGTGAGCCGGAGGTAACGATAACGGAGCGGACAGCGGAGGACGACTGTTTGATACTCGCCAGTGACGGATTATGGGACGTAATTTCGAACGAGACGGCTTGCGGCGTCGCGAGGATGTGCCTCAAGGGGAAAGTTCCGGCGGGAAATTCGGCGTTTTCAGTCGCCGCCGGGGAGGCGGAGAGCATCGGGAATGAGAAGTCAGACAAGGCTTGTTCCGATGCGTCGATGCTGTTAACGAAGCTGGCTTTGGCCAGGCGGAGTTCTGACAACGTTAGCGTCATCGTGATCGATCTCAGGAAGGAACCAAGTGTAAATAATTTTTAATAATTTTTTTTTTCTTTTCTTTTTCTTACTTTTTTGACTAATCCTTCGATGCCAGCAAATCTCAAATCAACCTGTGAATCTTCGTAGTTTTTAATGTTAATTCCTTAAACTAGTTTTAACCTTTGTTTTCTAAAGGGCTCTCCTCCCTCCCCCAACACACACACAAGAATTGGAAGGGGGGAATCTTTTGGTACTATGTTTGCATTTTGCCATTGTTTCCTCCGCTATTTTTAATGTTTGTTTGTGTTTTTCGGCGGCAATAGATATTGGATTTCTTTAGGAAAAAAAAAAAAAAGTTACTATATTCAACTTTAATACATATTAGGGGTTTATTTCAACTCCACTCTCGTGATTTGAGCTTATCAAAGTCCTTTTTCCTTTGTACAAACTACAAAGTGATAAAGAATACCTTAAACTAGACAATTAAACTTTAGGTACATTCTATCACTATAGTCTATACTATTTGAACAATTGGTAATGTGCTATTTTTAATGGTCTCACATTGTTCATCACGTAGTAACTAAGTCTCAGTTTGTTTCGTTTTTTCATGGTTTTTTTCAGAATAATATAATAATAACTGTTCTATTCCAGCATAATTTTTTGTATTTTTAATACATTTTTATATTTTCAATACAAAAAATACCTAAAAACACACATTAAAAAAATGAAACAAACATAGTTGTTTCAAAAAATTTGCAATAGTCGATATTGTCGTTTAAAAATACTATATACTTCCTCCGTTCTATAATTATTGTCCAGTTTAAATTTTTATTTTTAGTTTAAATTGTACTAAAAGTGAAATCTCAAAGTGAGCAATAATTTCGGGACAGAGGGAGTATAATAATTCTTTGATCGATAGGGTTGAATACCATATAACAAATTCGCCGTGAACTTCAGCATTACAATAGTGTCTAATTCACCTGCCTATCTAGATTCCGTTAATTCCCTTATTAAGCTTGGTTTTATAGTTGAGATGCTCTCTATTTGCTTTGATTTCTGTTCTTGTTTAAAAATGTTTGGTACGTTTCTCAGCCTCGAAAAGTAGGCTTAAAGTTGGAAAACATAAACCTCAAAAAAAATGAAAAAGACTACTGTGGGTAGGCCTTTAGTTGCAACGTGTTGTTTATGCACCATATTTGGGAGAGCGAAAGTTCCTCGATGTACGACTGATTTATTTTATGCACTGCACTATAATATTCAACTTCAAAGGGATCTGATGAATTGGATTAAGAGTGCAATTGCTAAGATTCAACATTCAAGACATGCTTTGTGAGGAGGAAACGGGGGAGGAAATTGCAGGGGGGACTTAATACAATTGGTCCAAAAGATAAATGTATTAGTAGTAAATTAGTTTCATTGTAAGAGAAACAATGCATTATGAACAGAGTTATATCAAGGACATGGATACATATAACATGTATGAATGATTAATTGTTTTAAAATTTTTGTCAAACCAATAAGATGATGTATCGAATTTGATTTGGGGCGGTAAATTTAAGCATCATATCTATCTAGAGGAGGAAAAAGATTTTAGCAATTGGAAGAAATTAATTTTATTATTTTTTTAATCTTTGTGAATTGAAAACTGTCCGAAACCATAAAAAAAAAATGAACCCTTGATTTTATGTTTCTCTGTTGAGCACGCAATCCTCTACAATCTACTCTGATAAAGCAATTAGATTGATGAGGAACGAAAGACTTGGGTGGATAATTTGTTAACACCGCTCTTTAGAGTGCGTATTGAGTTTAATACCTCTTACATGAGTGACAGAGTGAATGTTGGTTTCATATATGTCTATAGTTTTTCATGAAAGACTCTTACATGAATTTCTAATTTTAAAGTTGAAATTGATTCGGACTTGCCTAGAGTGATTTATATAGTTTTGATTTTGATTTGCAATAATCATAAGGAGTTCAATAGTACAAAGTTCTATGATTCGTAGTTAGTAACGTACAATAAACATATTGAGTACGGCATTTTATTGTGTGATGTTCAAATTTGTTTAATTTACTCTACGATTTTATTCATACGGCACCAAAACAAACAGAGAAAAAAATTTATCGACAAATGTCAATAAAGATTTTCTTTTCTTCTTTTTGAATGTTGCAATGTGAACGAACACTTTCTACAGTTAGGAATTTAGAAATTGAATTTAGTAATTTAGAAATTTCCCGGCCAAAAAAAAAAAAAAAAACGAACACTTTCTACAGTTAGGAATTAAGAAATTCCTTTTGTCCCAAGCAAGATTTATCTTTACTCCCTTTTTTTCCCCCCTTAAGAGAGAATAATGTATTTTCCATCAAACTTGGCGAAACAAACCTTGAATGTCATAAAGAGATTTGTCGGGAAATTTCTACAATACCAGAAAATAATGAAACTTCTTTTATTGAAATGAAGGTGCAACAAATCAATTCAAATAATTTCTTTTTTTTTTGTCAACAAGAGATTAGTCATTGTTGTCGACGGTAAACACGTGTTTCTTACAAGCATATAACAAAATATTCACCATCAAACACAACTTCTAATCACTTTGCAAATTCTAAATATCACAATAAATGATATAATTACTTCCTCCATATACGTTCCGTTTTGACGGGAATCGAACACCCGACCTTTCGTTCCGTATTGCTTTCAAAATAGAAAGTACAGTAGGTTGGTCCAGTAAGAACAGTAGGAGAAGCCATAGGAAATGTAACACCTGTGAATTTTGGCTGGCAAGCAAATCTACTGTAATCTGACACTTGATGTTGACACCCCATCCTATCCCCTTGCCACGTTTGCTCTCTATTCTGCTCTCTATTCTGGCTTCTTCTTCTTTTTTTTTTCTTTTTTTTTTTTCTTTCCCTTTGATTTTTTGTTACCAAATTAAGCAAATACTACTACTACTTTATTTCTCCTAAAAGAATATATTTTAAAATCCTCTCTCATTTTCAATTCCAAAATCCACCAAGATTTTGATTTTTCAGTTAATCGGCTCCCATTTGTAATCATTGGGAATTTGGGGTGACTGGCTTAAAATGGCTCCCAGGTGCCAACTCAAGCTCCGATCAACATAAAATTTCAGCAAAGTAATCGCTAACAAGGAAGTGGCTTAGTGGTTTGGGTCTTAACATTAATTTTGGGAGACCATGTTTCAACTTTCATTAACAACACTTTGAGTGTTGAGTTGTGCAAGTTTCAATTTGCACCTGTTAGGAAGTCTTTCAAGTACCAGATCGAGGTGTACGCGCGTGAAGTCTCTCCTAATAGTACTATTCTCTTCTCCATAGATCCCACCTACATATAATAGACTAAATGCTTGTATAATATATGTAAAAAAAAAAGCAAAGTAACCGTTAATGCGTAATGGTTACTCTAGTGCAGTTGGGATAGTTCTGTCTAATTACAAATATCATATCAAACTAGTTAGTACTAACTATGACCACGTTTCGATTTTAGTATGGACATACATTAGCGATTAAAATTGTTGTTATGAAGAATTTGCCTTTTAAAATGAACTTGCCTCAAACTCGAATTAATCCAAGTAACAAGAGAAAATGCAAGTACACCCTTTGATTTCTCTCATCTACTGGATCTAGTACCTCATTTTGTTCATATTGTATTCAGAGTTCAATCTCATTTAGTATAATTTGATAATAATATTATCACAACATTCTCATCTTTAGTTTGACACTGCCTTGGGCAACACACCTCCTCATATGAGAACCTTACATTTTTTTTCCTTTTCAACATTAGGGATACTTTAGTTCACAAATTTTGACGACGCATGCACTTCGTTATTTTCTCAAACTCGTTTAAGTATAAGGTATCTTTTATGTTTTTTCTTTTAAAAGTACAATAACAATTATTAGAATTATTGGGAAGTGCTCAATTGCATTTGACAAAAGGGAGGTGGATTAGACCACATTACGAATACTGAGTGTTATTTCTTCATGAAAAAAGCTAATTCGTGAGTGACATTATGTGTCGATCTACGATTACAAAAGACACCTAAACAAGTAAACAAATGTCTTTTATTTTTGTTTCACTTTTCTTAAACAATAGTCCTAGTAAGTATTTTCAGATTGTATTTGATTCAATTCCTAGTTAATGAGGAATTATTCTTACAAAGTTATAAGAAAGGCAGACATTGTCAACGACTAATTTAGTCATTTAAACAAACAAATTCTACTCTTAACATGAGACGACCGTAAACTCTTCGAAAGGGGCAAAAAAAAGACCCCAACCAGAAGACATAAAAACCATTCACCAACCAAACCAAACCAAACCCAAAAGTACCAAATTATTTTTACGAGCCTGCATAAATTACATCTATCAACATCATCAAATGCCCATAAGTCTACTCTATTGTACAGCGTTTTTTTCCCTTTCAAGTACCACGTCATCAATCCCTTTTTCCTCAAAGTCTACGTAGTACGTACAGTATTAACAGTGTGATGCTGGGCATGCATATGATGGTGGCAGGAGAAGAAAGTACTCAGAAAAAAAGAAAAAGACTCTGATTAATTTTAGGTTAAAGTGTTGTGAAACGGACACCACACCACACAGCTCCGAACTCACTTTTTCAGAAACCCTAGCCATAAGTCGACACGTGGTTTTGGATTCTTGACAAAGCACCCATCGAACGAATATTGTTGAGAGACACTCACTGAATGCAAGGAACTCATTCATCCTCCTTAATCTATTAACTGTGTTTGAAATTCATAAATTAAGTATAACAAGTTCTTAAATTGTTCGACCAATATAATTTATCAAATATTTGAATTAATCATAGCTTAACCTAACAATTAGAGTCACTGTTGACAGTAGTCGACATGATGTAATGTAAGGAAAAAACAAAATTCAATAGTTACGTGGCCATCAAACAAATAATTCTCTCTTTTTCTTTCCCCTCTTTTTTGTGGCATTTCCTTTCGAGTGTTCGTCGCTTTCAGCCTAATCAGTGTTAATCAGTCACTTCGTCGATTGTCATTTGTTGGACTAATCCACTTATTTAATGGAAAAGTTCATTATTTATTAAGAGTATATTGGAGTAAGTGCCTTCCTCTATCGGGAATTCGGGATTGATGGCTACAATTTGTTGTCTCTATTCTCTTTGATCTTTCAGTTTAAAAAGGTTGCTGAAAAGGTGAATTTAACACGTTCTTGATCTTGTTGCTAATCAGCTACTACAATTTTAAGGATGTTGTTTGCGCAAAGTGATCGAATGAATGTTGTGTCGTGCGTGCTTTAGGAATTGGACTTTTGTGATAATCATGTGGATATCAATTCAGAATTTCATGGCCAATTACCTAACATTTCTGGTCTCCAAATGTGGAATTTCGTGATTAATTATCTCAAACTTCCTCTGCTTTCTTGGTCAGGGAGATTTTCAGGTTATAAAGATAAACATCCCCGAATGAATGTTTGAGGATTGAATATGAACATTTTAACGAAAATGTACGAAAGTATAGGTTAAAAAGATACGATAAACATCTACTTTCTGTTACATAATTGTTCAAAATACCAAATGATGATCAAAATTCATTTGAGAGTGGTACTAGCATTTTATTGCCTCCATTTCCAACTTTCTAAACTTCCATTATGATAGTACCTTCGTGTGAAAAGTAGTCATTATTCGTTAGCATAAAGAAGACCAATACAAAGTTCTTACGGACAAAGCAAGTAAAGTATAACTACTAATTACACTTGTTAAATTAAACTAGGGAGTTAGCCTAAACGTCATATTCAGTTAGACAAAAGGATCGGACTTACGACTATATGTGTGCATATGCTTTAATGGAATTTTCCCAGATTAAATTTGTCAAACTACATTTTGGATAGGTAGGAAAAGAGAGGGCCATAACAAAAGCAAGGAGTTTAAAGTTTCAAATGACGTTAATATTGTAATACAACCAATGCGAATATCATTTTGGGACGAAAAGCGGAAGAGAAAAATCAATTAAGTAGCTGTCATAACTTCCGTGCCCAAAGAAAATAATAAGATATTACTTGGAACAAATGAAAGAGACGCAGATCGACATGTTCTAGACAGGCGTCAAAGTAGTTACCTTAAAAGTTTGTCTAACTTGGAAGCATAAAAATCTTAAATATGATCATTTATGGCTACCAATGGAAAGGATACATGACTAGTAGCTCATCCATATTCAATTATTCTCACATCCAAAGCCGCTCATCCGACCAGCTACGGACCATATATAATGAGATGAAGGCTTTCGTAGCTGTAATGTTAATCTACCAGGACATCTGAAATACACATCAAATCGCCGTGCTTGCAAGGTCAAATTAAGGTAAATATATGCACTGTAGATTTGCTGGTAGTCAGGGTAGCAATATGATTCGAGGGAGAGGTACATTCCCATCAAACCAAACCAGCTAACAGCTAAGCCAAGATAGTTTAAATTGGATGTTTATCGTTGACAAATGAATAGTGGGCCAAAATGATTTCAGGACTTCTAAGTACATCTGATGACTGATCTGGAATCCTAGTTAAGAAAGTATAAAAACTGCTGTAGGCTGCAGTGATGTTTATCATGCATACAAGGAACAATCAGAGTAAGAATGGTGGAAATGATACACAAATCTCATGTAGAAGTACCTAAATTGCAAACCATACAGTTCTTAAAACTATTTCTTCATTTCGAGCATTTATGTTGCAAACCAAAATGGCACAACTTCATAAGAATCACATGCAATGCAAGCTTTTAATCTCTGCCAGCAAAAGATTTCCAGTGAACTTATCATCTCTATCAAGAATAAGTTGTTCTCCTTATCTTACCAACAATAAACAAGAAAAATGCTCATTGGTGATTCGGAGAGAAACCATTCACTGACATCCCTCCATCTACACGTATTATCTGACCCGTAATGTAAGATGATGCTGGTAGACATAGGAATGCAACAACAGATGATACTTCACTAGGATCTCCAAGACGCCGAAGTGGAGTTCGATCATAAACCTCTTCAAGATATTTACTGTTACTCAGCACCTGAAATTTAAGAGGTCAAGATCAATTAGGTATTATACACTCATTATCTTCCGGTAGAAGGAATTAATCTCCTTTTTTTTTTTTTTGATAAAAGAAAGAATTGAATATTAGGTGCACTATTACTTGTTAGAATTTGATATAGCAGGACCCTAAGAGCAGAAAGCATGTGTATATACTTTTTTCTGCAAGCAAAATCCTTACTCTGCAATTTCTTAAATCCATAACCTCCATTTAGTTACCATATTTTTTTCCCCCTTTACCAGCTAGCTATTTGTCAATTTAAATGTAAATCCAATAGTTACCAAGACAGACGGAAAATATGTAACCCCTACGAAGAACCAAAATAAAGCAGACACCAAAAGATAGCTCAAAACCACTGCAGAATTCTCACATCCCTAGGAGAAACTTTTCCAATAGCTCTATTCTGAGGCTTATAGATGTTCGCTTTCAAGGAAGTTCTACTTGAATACTGCACCTAGTTCACTATAAGAGGATGGAGAATAGCAGATTCCAGCAGTTCTCCCTTTTTTGAGATGGGAATCTTATATGTTTTAAGTCCTCGAAGGTACATTTGCAAAAGAAAAGGTCCTTGAAGGTGATAATCAAGATTTTTAAGGAGAATAGGTTATTACTTGTTCCACCATTGATGTCTTGATATACCAAGGTGCAACTGCATTGCACCTGATGTTGTCCTTCGCCCACTCACATGCCAAACTTCTGGTCAGTTGATTAATAGCGGCTGCAAGTCAATATCAGATAATGTCATTTCAATATCTAAAGATCTAAACTAAGTATGGAACCTTTGGCCACAAAGGAAAGCAAACTACCTTTAGTCGCTCCTTGTAGAGACATGGACTTCAATGAAACAAAACCTGAGACGGAAGATGTAAACACAATGCTTCCTGATCCAGATGCTTTCAGAAGCGGATGGGCCAGCTGGCACAAGTGGAAAACAGATTCCAAATTGGTCCCAACCAGATCAGAAAATTCCTCAGCAGTGAATTCGGTACTTGGTTTCCGGATGTTTTTACCAACATTGTTTACCTACTGATACAGAATATTGACAGACTTGTTTTATCAAACAAGCAAGACAAATCAGAAATCTAAGTCGACGGCATTGTGAGTTTATCACTACAATATTCTGAAATCACAGCCACTTGTGAGTTTATCACTACAATATTCTGAAATCACAGCCACTTGTGAGTTTATCACTACAATATTCTGAAATCACTGCCACATATTTCTTTTCAAAAAGAAAAGCATAGGCAAAATAATGGAACCTAAAAATTCAAAAGGCTATATCCAAGTGGCTAGACACTGTAAATTGGAGAGATTAAACAAGGCCATGACCTCCAACCTACACAAAAGACCTGGAAAACTAGCCAAGGCAGTAAACATTACACCTGGCTGGAACCTCAGTTGAGATTATTCAACTCAGTGAGGGATTTCTGAGATGTCACTGAAGTAGAGGACACTATGGTTAAATTTTTATTTTTTCTTTTTATTATCAAAACAAGTAGAATTCAATCCGTCTTGCCAAAAGGGGTCCAATGTATTCTAACTGAGTGAAAAGTTATCTAATGCTATCATTACTATGAAACCTGAATCCTGTTATCTGCAATTTCCGTGACTGGAGTATGGATTATAACCAGACAACGTTGAGTTCAAATGAATTATCAAATGACATTATTCCACACCTGTAACCATCATTTTGATTTACCCTTACAGAGCCACATTCCATAGCTTAACCAAAATAAGCAACAATTTACATGTTCAAAAACAAATTCAGCAACAATAAGAAAACATGTCCACATCTATAACTTTGAAGTTTTAAAGCATAATTGCAATCATCTAAAAGAGTCAGATTTGACATAATACTTACAAGAATGTTAAGCTTTCCACCAAAGACAGAAGAAGCAGCATCCATCAACTTCTCCCGATCAGCTCGAGAAGAAACATCACACACTGAACCAGTGACCCGAGAAAACTCTTCTTCACCTTCCCATTCCTTCAAGCATCTAGCGAGCTCAGCCTCATTGCGGGAACAGGTATGCACAGTGGCCCCAAACACAGCCAATTCCTCCACAATCGCATGCCTGGCTTATTTCAAACACAATTTAACCCTAATTCAAAATCGCAATCATTTCGCATAATCTAATCAGCACATCCCACGAAGCAAGATTCCGGAACAAAATCTTTTAAATAATCAAAGATTATTTATCGTGACTGACCCGATGCCTCTGGTGCCGCCGGTGACTAGAGCCGTCATGCCCTGTAGGGACCACCTTGAAATCCGGCCGGTTGACTCCACGTTGGCGGATGCTTGGAGACTTAGAGATAAGTTGCTGGTAACTGATAGTTTTGTGCGCCGACTGCTTGAACAGGATGTGGTGTTTGGTCTTTTGAGATGTTGAAGCTCGACCGGACCGGAGGTAATTGTCGGCGGCGGTCCGGCAAGGTGTGGTTGCCGGACTAGGCTTGAGTACATGTTTGAATTTTTATGAACGTTTTTTTGCGAAAACTGTTCGCCGCCGGAAAAACCTGATTGATTTATGTATGGATGACGTCAGCAGGAAATTGGCAAGAGGTCAACTGTTACTTAGGTAAAATATTGCCTATGACTTTCCTTTGAGTTGATACGTAGGAAGTGTTGTTGGGCGGTTAAGAGGGGTTGCTAGCAAGTGTTGATGATTTGAATCACGGGTTGGAAGTGACTTGAATGTGTGCAAGAAGGTAAAGGGAGGCTGAATGGAAAAAAAAGTAGGTGGTTATAAATTAGTTACAAACTACATAGTGGGTAGTTATTTTAGTAGTTTGCATTTGTAAACCATTTAACTTGTATTTCATTCTTTATCTTAGCTAGTTGGGGGTGTCAACTATTTCATCTCTATTTATAGAGATGTAGAGGGGCTGAAAACTAGAGAGAGAGGAGAAGAGAAAGGAGAGAAGGCGAGATGTAAAAATACCTTGAGTTTTGAGAGTTTGGAGAGAAGTCTAACCCAAAAGTAGACTTGTGTGGGAAAATAGCCAAGCCCAGAAAATTGTTGACTGGGGAATAAGAGCCTAGAGTTAGGTTTCTGATCTCATTTGAAACGTGAATCTCTTGTAATTTTTGTGTTAAGTAATAAAATTAGAAGTGATTGGGACTTCGGTCTAAGATATACATGTTTGTGTGCCTTGAAATGATTACTTGGTATGTTACTAATCTCTTCCGCTGCGTGATTGCTTAGCGGGCTGGTGGTTTTGGTTGGGTAAAATCCACGCCGGTAGATTGCCAAATTCGTAGGAAGAGATTTGGGGAAACAAGTTGGTATCAGAGCCCCGGTTGCGAGGGATGGGGCTAGCATCAAGGTGATTTGTGCATCACATGTTGTTGTTCTTATAGAGAAAGACATGCAGTTGGGATCAAGGACTTTGTTCGTTGCTGTTTGGTATGGGACAATCAGTAAGTTTTCATTGTTCTTGATTGCATTTTGAAAAAGGAACTGTAGCAATTTCTTTTTCATTGTTGGTTTCTTGATGAAACGTGTGGGATCTTGAGGGATCGTGGCTGAATCTTGGTGGAAGTAGCAGCGAGTTGTGGGTTTCTTAGTGAAACATGTGAGGATCTTTGATGATCGTGTGGATGTTTATCTATAATGATGCGGCGTGTGGAAAATTTTCAGGTGATATGGGGATCGAGTTTGATCGGGTACTGCTTTTGAAAAAAGAAGGGCAGTGAAGGTGGTGGAGATTGAGAATCTTTGTTGTTGTTGGCTGGTTATGGGACAGTTGGTGATGGCTTTGATTCTTGATTGCATAGGAAATGGAATAGTGAAAGCTTCATTTGCGAGTAGGGAACCTTTGAAAGGTTGAGGGGCAGAAAGTTATTTCATGCCTTGGAGTTGCATTGAGTTTTGTGAACTTGGTATATCGAGTTGTTTCTCTAAGTGTAAGAGAAACGTTTAGAGATTGTTGGTGTTGTTCAAAGAAAATCGATGGCATTTGGAGGAACTATGCTGGTTTATTTGATGAGGGTATCAAACATTTCAAGTGGGGGAGGTTTGTTAGGAGGTAAAATATTGCCTTAGACTTTCCTTTGAGTTGATACTTACGAAGTGTTGTTGGGCGGCTAAGATGGATTACTAGCTAGTGTTGATGGTTCGAATCACGGGTTGGAAGTGGCTTGAACGTGTGCAAGAAGGCAAAGGGAGGCTGAATGGAAAAGAGTGGGTGGTTACAAATTAGTTACAAACTATTTAGTTGGTAGTTATTTTAATAGTTTGCATTTGTAAGCCATTTAACTTATATTTCATTCTTTATCCTAGGTAGTTGGGGGTGTCAACTACTTCATCACTATTTTTAGAGATGTAGAGGGGCAGAAAACCAGAGAGAAAGGAGAAGAGAAAGGAAAAAAATGCAAGATGTAAGAATGCCTTGAGTTTTGAGAGTTTGGAGGGAAGTCTAACCCAAAAGTAGACTTGTGTGAGGAAATAGCCAAGCCTGAAAAATTGTTGGCTGGTGAATGTCTTGTAATTTTTGTGTTAAGTAATAAAATTAGAAGTGATTGGGACTTCGGTCTAAGATATAAATATTTATGTGCCTTGAAATGATTACTTGGTATGTTGCTAATCTCTTCCGCTGCGTGATTGCTCAGCGGGCTGGTAGTTTTAGTTGGGCAAAATTCACGTCGGTAGATCGCCAAATTCGTAGGAAGAGATTTGGGGTCTACCATCAACTATGGTTTAATTGTGATAATGATCCCTAAACTTGGTGGCTCGCCATAAATAGTCTCCAATTATTCAAAAAGCTTCCATGTAGTCCCTAATCATGAGAATTTGATGGAAGTAGATTGTTTCGAAAATTAAGACGAACACAAAAATGAATACAAGATCGTTGTCCATCTATATTACAAGTACTTTTGCATATTAAAAAATGATGAAGTTAAACGTCACAAAGGGTCCTGTTAGTTGTTACCATGATACAATAACTTGTTAGCATATTTTCTCTTAACTAAATTATATATCTATGTTATGTACAACTGATACAAAATTGAATAATTTGAGAAAGATAGATGGACAACGTTGACATTGTGCTAGTTACCTCGTATGAGCGAATTACTTTAGATAATGGTGTTAGACGCTGGTGTCATGGCGTGTAATAGAACCAAAAAATCAATCATTGTCTATATGTCTTAGGTTATACTTCTTCCATCCCAAAAAAAATAATTCACATTGAGTTTTTAAATTTGTACTAAAAACAGTACAAAATTTAAAACTCAAAGTGGACTTTTTTTTTGGGACGGAAATAGTAGTATTATTGCATCAAAATCGTCCTTAAAGATCCAAAGTTGTGTAATTAGGAGGAATACTATAAAAATGTTAACGGCTAGTTTTTGTTCCTTAGTCACCGTAGAATTATCTACGCAAGAGTTCACGTTTCTTTGCAACCAACAAAGTGAACAAACCCTATCTGACAAATATAACGTATAAATTGAAAACAATCACTACTATAGTTTCATCAAGCTGATTGAATTTACAAATGAGCACAAATAATTAATTAATATCTTGAGCGAGAAGAATACAAAAGATGTTAAAAACTACCCTCTTCTTTTATATGTCAATTAATCTTTAAATTAACTTGAGTTAAGACGTGGAAATCACCTTAATTAAACTAATGTGGTAATTAGGATCCAAGCAAAACCTCACTGAATCCCATAAACCGAACTCTGTTCAGGGTAGATAAGGGTTAATGAGTTTAACTGGTATGAAATAAATTAGAGTGACTAAAAACTATTTCATAATCACTATAAATCATTTTTCTTTTGAAATAAATTATTCTTTTAGACCGATGAAAATCATTAATCTTGTCGCAATTTTTTTTACCGTACTTTTGTATTACACTCAATAAGACTAAAGGCACATATAATTCAGGTGGGTCAATGGCCCCAGCTTGAAATTTTTTTTATTAGTTATCCTTTGAAGTTTTAAAATCTTTTTTGAAAATATTGTTGTTTGTCCCATCAAAATTGAAACTATTATGGAGTAATTAAGTATGTTAAATTAAGAGTTTTGAAAATTTTGCTCCATAATATCTATAAAGCCTAGTTCCACCTTTGATACTTAATGTGACATTAATTGAATGATTGATACGATATTTCTGGATAGTGTTCTTTCTGATTAAAACATGACCTAAATCAGGATCCAAATTGGTAAAAGTTTTAAGTTTTTGTTGGCTGTATTTTATCATTGTCAATTGGACGTGAAAGTTAACGAAAATGAGAATCTATTTCACCAAAAGGGAGAGAGAGCCAAATGATAACATTCATAATTAAGTTTAACTGAAATATAATCTATATACCACACTGGTGCAAGAAAGTGGATATGACTAGCATGGACGAAAGTGATTGATTATTTTGTTAGGTAGTTTTTAAAAGAGATTTTGACAACAGATGTAGTTTGCACGCTTCGCCTAATAATTTATGATTAAATATTATCAGTGCAACGTGATCCTAAAAAATATATCTCCACTCTCAAAATAATATTGTGTGTTGTTTAACAAAATAAAATTCATATTTTAATTTAAAATACGACAAAAGATTTTTTTTATTTTATTTTTTCATTTTTTAACGGTATGAGTATTTCCGTTGTTTCAATCAACCGTCATATTACAAGTTTACAACTCATGGGAAGATTGTACATACCAGAAAAAGGAGGTGAACTGTTATTAGTTATTCACAAAGTTAGGTAAATGGTTAATCTTATACATCCATAACCTAACAAAATATAGGTAAGACCGTGAACTCACCGATGCAATTTGTCAATTGAACTATTTATTAGGGTTTTATACAAAAATTTTAGGGTTGAATTGTAAAATTATTATTATTAACGGAGATACCTTGTAAATATTTATTTAAAAAAAAATCATAACTCTTTCTTTAGCACGTATTTTAGAAAAATTTTATATGTATCTCTATCCGATGGTCTTAAATTTTGGCTCTGCTGCCAATTTTCAACTAGCGGATATAATTGTAATTTGTAAACAAAATTAAGGTGGCACAATGCTATTCATTGTTTCTATCATGTGGACCAAACTTGAAACACTGGGAAAAATACAGATTACAAAAAGAAATGAAAAGGCAAGCCCTCCCCCGCGAGAATTTTGAGAAAACAGGCAATCAAGGAAGGCTTATGCATTACTTTTGGATTATGAATATACAACCAGATTTATTATTCTTAAGCACTCAATTGATTTTTTATTAGTAATACATTAGAAATTTTATTATTGTGAAGGGGAAAAGCTACTACTGTATCATTTTCCTTCATATTAACAGTACCGTAGAATACTTTATATGTTCAAAGTTCTCTGCATGATGACATTTTTAAACAACACGTACGCATGACACGTTCACATAAGATCGATAAAATCCATTCAACACTAACAACACCGCGCGACGCGCCTTATCAAAAATCGTCCAATTACACCTTCCACTTAGATGAATATAATCACACATATATGATTCGTTTCTTCCCAAAATAATAATTCATACTACTAAATTAAAAATCTTTATCTTACCTCTCAGGATGTCACAACTACTCCAGTTATTCAATATCAATATCAATATGACCTCACAATTGCTATAGAAATCAGACGTGAACGTGGCTTATCATTCAGTTTTTTCACTAATGCGAATGGTGACTGAATTTATATTACAGAACATTAATGGAGCCATTTCTTACAACTTCGAACCTCCCCATGAACTTGTCCCTGACGTACGTACAGACTGCCTCCAATTGCAATGATTTTGCCCGTGCTGTATGACTTTCATGTAATGTTGTTCATAAAATATACATTGTCGTTTTTAAGCCTGGCTTAGATAATTTAATTGAAAATTTTTTATTTTAGATATATAAAGTATTAACAAAACATTTACTGGACGTACGTGCTGATATTATTCAGAATATTCGTCCTTTACTTATTAGTGTTTTCTTGCAATGGATACGTAACAAAGTAGTAATATAAAAATGCTGATGATAGCACTTCCCCTGTACAAAAAAAATTAAAATTAATTCGTATTAAATTTTGAGATTTGTGCTAACAATTGTACATATTTCAAAACTTAATATAGGTTTCTTTTTGGGATGGAGAGAATATTATAATTTATTAAACCATATTCTCTAGTTACCGGATAGGTAACATTTTTTTTTTAATTATCCTTTTCTTTTTTTTTTTCACTTTATAGAAAAGAAAAAGACAAATGCCTAGTATCCATACCCATGGAAAACCTAATTAACCTTTTATTTGAATTAATCCAATAATTTTGAGGGTAATAGGCACACCATGCTGCGATTACTTCCATGTGGACTATAATCGTAATCAAACCGCGGCAGGCCGTCGGCTCCTCCTACAAAAGTTGTTATCTAAAATTATTATTATCTTAGTGACTACAAACAGAATATAACGGAGATACACATTTTTAAAAAATATATATTAAACATTTAAAAAAATTAAATGTTTGCTAATTAAGTTGTGCCTGATACTCGCATCTTTTTAATGAGAGGAAACCAAATTGGAAGTGTCTCCAAGTTCATTCGAGAAGGCTGCAGATTAATCAAGGACGGCCGCACATTATGACAAACATAACCAGATTTTAAGTCTTCAACCTATTCAATTTTAGTCATCATCATTGCTCTAAATTCTAAATACTTATAATTTTAGTAATCTAGAAAACAAACTTGATTAGTCGATGAGCATTATTACTTTAACACCACGGTTTAAAAAAAAAAAAAGAACTCCGCCTAAGAAAACCCAAAAAAAGGGTTAAGAAGCTTGAATAATTATTCGTCAACTTTTCAGGGGAATTTTTGTATTGCCACCAAAAAATAAATAAATAAATAAATAAAAATATCAAAGCAATTCGTCTAGAATAGAAACAGCTAATTGACTACTTTTCTTGTAGGGATCCCACTTAGATAACAGCTAATGATTACTAGTTTTGGGCATTTAATTTGATCATACATATTTATCTTTAAGGTAAATGATTTGGTGGAATTCTCTTCTTGTTCTTTCGTATTTTTTTTGTTTTGTTTTGTTTTGATGGACTTCTTTTTGATTGGTCAAACGAAAACTGCTTTCCAATTTTCTTCTCATGATGGTTGACAGTCAAAACCTACGATGCATGTACCTTCGATATTCAATTTGGTTTATAGCTATATTGTTTTATGTATACTTTATCATTAGGGAAAAACCGGCTTTAGTCATTATTTAGTTTTATGAGAAATGATATGTATTAAAATAAAGAGTGAAATGGAATAGAGATTAATGTAATATTTATGAAAATATATTATCGTATCATGCCGGTAGTTATTAATAAAGTGGTGTGGTGTACTATCTTTTCATAAGTCTATTTTATTTCACTAAGCATAGTTAATATCTCTATTATTGATGTTATTTTATTAAGTGAAAATAATTATTTTAAGACGGATGAAAGAAAGAAGAAGAGAGAGAGAGTAGATTTTTCAATTTTTCTAAGAAAAACAAAGAAAGACTAATAAAGCGGTGAGCACTAATTTTTGCAATCCCGGCCCAAAGTTGAAATCAAGTACCTCTAAAAATAATCTTTTGTAGCGCATATTAATTTTCAAACATAATTGCCTCTACTGAAATGACAAATGTAGAAATGATATTGTAAGCCAATAAGCCCTGCATTCTGTTTCTTTTATATCTTTTAAATTTTAGAATGCCCAGAAAATCTCAAAAGGAATTTTAATTTGAATAGCCAATGAGACTAGCTAGCTGTTTAATTGTTTTTAAGAGAAGGTACAAAACAAAGAACTATGCATTTGTAGTCTTCTTCCCCTACAAAATACATGGTCAGTGATAAAATTCTTAAACGCGAATTTGCAAAATGTATAGACATCATCATTGATCTCGAAATAATATGCAGTTGCAAGTTTTAGATTCGTAAGATACATTCAGTATATTTGGTAAATTACTCAGATTGATTATTGTTTTCTTTTTGAGTTGCGTGATTATTTTGGGGGGAAAAAAAAGGCTAAAATAGATATTTGATTCTCATGGAAACTTTAAAAAAGAAGCAATTCCATCATTAATTTTATTAGTACTCTTTCTTCCCCTTCCCCTCCTCCTTTCCCTCCCCCGGTAGAGATATGAATAGTTGTTGGGATCTTCAACTCGGGTCGGTTGTACATTATTCTGGATGCTAAAGAACACATTCCGCTGGTTCTTGTGCACAAAGCAGATAAGAAGGACTCCTCACGAATGGTTCCAAGTTGGAACTAGCTCCCTTCACGAGAGATTACAACGAAGAAACAGATTTTTTTTTTAATTTTTCTGTTGTATAAATAAATAAAATTTTAGCTCGATTCAGCTCATTTCCTTAGCGACTTCTTGGTGGAGGACTTGGATTGGTTTCTGTCAAAGTCACCATGGGTTTCCATCTCAAAGGCTTGGCAATGAGTAGAGTGATCTTTCGCATTTATAAACAGGTGACAGATCTTTCACGACACCGATGTAGAATTCTTTGTCCCAATAATTTCAGGGCTTGCCGTTTGTTTTTGCAGCTCCTGTGATGATGAGTCATAATTTATAAAGAGAGATAATAAGGGTTTTTGAGGTTTGAGTGGAAGTCCCAAAGAGAAAACATTTGTGAGAGCATTCCTCCTCCTGGTGAATTACCTTTCTACTAGTATACCCGTTCTTTACATTATCAAACTTTTTTAGGTTAACATCCGAAAAAATTAATAATAAAAAATAATAAGCTGGTTATTCTAGTGGATTGACCACTTCATCAAGGCCAAGGATCCTATATATGTGTTTATTTACTACACATTTCTCTCCTCGCAAAAGAGTATTTTACTATCTTACCCGAAGTTGAATAAGCAGGTGAGACAGGGATCTCAAACATTAAAAGTATATAATATATACCAAAAAAAGGGTAATGTATATACTTGTAGCAAGTAACTAGTGTTTGGTTTAGAATGGAAATTAAGGTAGCGGCAGGCAATGGATCATTCTTTCCTATATAAAAATAACCATGTCTAGCTAGCTTTCTTATATCCTCCAACCGCCATTCCCGTCATCATTCAGTTGACAATCTCTCTCTCTCTCTCGCTTTCTCCATCAAAACTCCCTATCTCTTCCTTTGATCTATTTTTTCATTGAGGGTGAAAAAAAAAATGGAAAATAACCAACACCCCACTTCAGATAATCCCAATGATCACGATGATGTAATCTGCAACTCATCATCATCATCAGAAGAAGAAGAACAAGTCCAAAGTACTCCCACAGCACAAGTAATAGTACATCATCATCAAAGTAATAGTACTACTACTACTAGGTTGTATGAGTGCAGTTTCTGCAAGAAAGGGTTTTCAAATGCTCAAGCTCTTGGAGGACACATGAATATTCACAGGAAAGACAAGGCCAAACTCAAACAGCAATCTTCAAAACCAAGTCATCATCATCAAGCAGCAAAAACCAATATTATTCCGTTGACCCCTTCAAGGGATAATCTTACTAAGCCGCCCTCGGAATTTACCAGTTTTGCAACCAACAAATGGCGGCCTTACAGTAGTTTTGCACCAAATCATCGTCATCATCAAGAAGAAGAAGAAAATGAAGAAGTTTCTACAAATTATGACAGCCGCCAAGTGGCGCTTTCAGACCCTCAACAGCTGCCATTGTTTGTTGAAACAGCTTCGACTTCAGGGTTTGATATTAATGACAGTGATACATATTCTAATAATCAAATCAATCATCATCATCATCATCATCATCATGTTGTGGATCATCATGAGTTGGATCTTGAGCTTAGGCTCGGGCAGAAGCCTTCCAAACAAACAATGGATTTGGGCACAAGGAAGTTTTTCTGATCATATGGTACTTTAATTTAATTTAATTAATAACTTTATATTTTGAGTTGTGGATCCTTTTCTCTCTTTTAGAGTTTGATGATCAGTATCCTTCCTTCCCTTTCCTTTTTTTTTTTTTTTTTTTGGTTTTCCCCTTTTATATATGGGAGCATAGTTTTGAGTTCCCTCTGTCACTTTGTGTGGTGAAGCCCATATATGTATAGTCCTTCTCACTAATTAAGGCTTAGAAGTTGTACTATATATCTAAGGCAATATATAAGATATACTGCATGTTTGCTTATAATAATTCCACAGTTTTTGGAATTTAAACAAAGTTTTTTCATTAATTTTTTTATTCTTTCATATCAAGTGTGCATTCTGGAACTCACGAAATGGTTTCATTAATTCATCACGAAATGGTTGCATTGTTTGTTGTACCATATATTTTAATCATTAGAAAGAAGATGATTTGGAAGGGACGAGTACTCCTGCGTCATTCCATGCATATAGGTACTTACACAACACAAGGAACATGTTTTGTTTATGTCCATTAATTCAGATGATTGAGCTATAGAGTTGAAAATGGGAATGCCAGTCTTGAAAGCTTCTGGAAACCCTCTTTAACTCTTCTCCATCTACAACAATACAACTGATTACAAAACGATTAGAGTGTCTTTTTTTTCCCCCTTGTGGAAATGCGCAGTTCGGTTATGGGGTAAACAATGTTGGATGGGGGGCTCCCGAGTCCCCGACTTAATCTGATATTTTTCATTAATTCGAGAAACTAAAAGTAGTGCAGATAAGTCTTAAATGTTTGTGAAGGAATCAAGAATCACGCCTTTGAGTGCTGATACTTTGATTCCAAACATGACTCATTTCCTGCATCCACGCTCTCCGCATCATCAGCTCAGCTGACTGGAACAAGCAAAGCTGCTTGCTATTTCATCTCTCCGCCACATGAATGGAAGCTTCCAGCAAAAAACGATCAGTGACCTTCATCCACATCATCTACTGGAAGTAATTCCACGTCAGCTTCAAACGTGCTGCTCATGCCAAACGTGATTAATACGCAAAGTCGTTACTGGAAACCGCCTTGAAGAAGAATCAGAAAACAATTCAAGCTGGACATATAATTTATGAATGTATAGATTAGAAGTACTATAAATATACATGTATAGAAAGATCTTAGCCGTAACTTTGACAAGAAAATACAGACGGTTAAGAATTTGATCAATACAGCAAATTTCTCTCAAATTTCTTCGATTAGTTTCTTAATTTTTCTTTTTCTTGTTCTCTGATTAATCGTTTTAGTTTGCTCTTTCCTTTGTATCGCCTGAAAAACAACTTGTGCGTTGATCTTTTTTATCCTAATTTTTACACTTACGCTGCATGTTGATAATTAATCAAGTAGTTTAATTTCATAGGATGACCTAAATGATTAATTGATTATACACAAAAGAAACTAATTCTTATTTGCTAGGTTTTACTTTTTTTTTAATAAGAAAATGTAATTGATGATTATAATTTTTGCACTTTTGCCATATTATTGAGCTAATATTTGAGAAGATTATATTTCTAGAATCACCTTTTTTATACTCCCTCCATCCCATTATTATTGTCCAGTTTGAGTTTTCATTTTTAATTCAAATTGTACTAAAAAATAAGTCTCAAACTAAATAATAATTTTGGGACAGAGGGAGTATCTCTTTAGATTCACTTATGTTCGCATTTCACTGTTTCTTCTCTCCAGTTATAATGAGGATATGTATACATATACTCAAAAGCTTTCTTTACCCGATTACTGTTATGGCCATGTTTATTTAGTTGTTATTGATGCGGCTCTCTCCATCATAAAATAAGAGATTAATTTGTTGAACTAAAAATTACATCAATTGTAATTCTTCATTTGAGACAGTGTACGTCTAAAACCTCACAAGTGTTTCTCATAGCATTGCTGCTATATTTGCATGCTGAAAGATCGATGCAGGATATCTTAATTACTTCCTGTTATTTTTAATTAAATTGATTGAAAACAACCTCGAGCGAATCTATAATTTTGGTTATTTTCCGGAATAATATGTGTGTTACCAATTAACCGTCAGTTGTAAAAAATCTTACTGATCAGGGTCGTCTCAAGTTCTTAATATGAATTTGTTGACGAAGGTTTAAGAGACAATCTGCTTGTAATTTCTTCATCCTTAGTACCTCCACATTATTCATGGGCACTAAAAAAAATTCCAATTATGTCCAAAGAAAAAATGAAATTATTAAAAAAAATCTGTATTTGTATACTATATATATATATATATATATATATATATAATTCAGATGCTTTATTAACATAAAACTCTGCACAACTCCAAGGAGATTTATTTACTTGTAATCTTTTTTGCTAAAAGATCTTTTTTTTATAGTATTCAACTAGTTCTTGATTCATTTGAATTGGACGGGCTTTAGTTGGAATTTGTTTTTCTTCAAAATCTTTTTAATAAGGAAGTCTGACCATATGTTTCTTTCTTTCCCAAAACGTATTTGGAATATCAGCACACACTTTATTTTCTATCTTCTCTAAAAGTGCTTTAATTTTACCTTTTATGTGATCTTCATTTAATTGGGTTTTAATGCGTTTATACTTTATCTCTTCTTTTAAAAAATTTATTTGTTTTGACTTATTTTGTAAAAGATTCAATTCTCTTGTGGTTGGTTTTTTAGTAAAAGATAATAAAGCATTTCCATAGTTTATATAAATAAAATCATCATCCGTATCAGTATAAGGACGGGTTTGAATTATAAAATCAGTGCCTAATATTACTGAATGTGTAATATTTTTAGCTATTAAGAAAGATACTTTTATAGAGCCAGCAGAAAATTTAACATCAACATTTGAAAGTTTTGAATTAATGATTAATTTGGAGTCATTAGCTGATTTAAGACCTCTTTAGTTTTTTCAAAATATTTTGTAGGAACAATGCCTTCTGCCATGCAACTCAAATCTGCTCCTGCATCCCATAAAGCAATTGTTTCTAAAACAAAACTGTTATAAATGACTAAAGTAACTTTAACTTCATGTCTATGTGTTCTTATAGCTGTACAAAGTAAAGGTTGTTTTATTTTTTGGAGGACTTCTAAAAAATCATCTTCTTCTGTTATATCTTTCCCTTTCTCATCTATTAAGGATTTTAATGTTAAACTTTCTAACTCTTGTCTTGCTCTAATTTCTTTTATCTCTTTTTTAAGTTGGACTATTTCATTCTGTGAATCTTGTATTGTTACTTGCTTAGATGGTTTTTTAGGGAACCTCTCAAGTATTTCTGTTAAATTGTAGGTGTTAAGTACTTTAGGATGGTTTGCTATGTGATCAGGACTATTTTTAAAGGTTGAAGGGGTTTCTTGCACTAGTATCTCAAAAATTATCTCATGTATGGATCTATGCCTATGTACCTGTTTTGCCAACTAGTGGTTGATACATCTGGCAGGATAAAAGTACAAGCCGTATGGACCATAGTTGAGAAACTGGTCTGGTTACCAGATTGGTGATAAGCATAAAACAACATTACATAATAGATCTGAAACTTATTTATCATGATTAATCTAAATACATAGTTATAACTCATCGAACTCTAAGGTTTCTGTACCAATCCATGAATATTACAACTTATATTCATTCACGTTTTGTGCTGACTTTCTCTGTTCTCCTATTTATATTTAGAATTTGGAATCATGTCATTTTTTCTATTACTAAATCTATAAATTGGACTCAGGTCACATTGCCAGAATAATGGTTGTTGCCTGATGCCACTCCATCAGCTCCAATTCAAAATATCCAAGTTCCCAGTATAAAGCAATATTCAAGCGGGACTCTCCAAATATCTTTTGATAGATCACTAAAGAGTTCAAATAGCCATAGACCTTCTACAGCTTCTTCTTCCATAAAATTTGAAAAATATGTCTTCAAGCAATCACTAAGACATTCTGTCTCTTCATCTTCTACACAGTTTCACAGAGTTGATAATACTTCTCAAACTCCTAAAGCTAGATATATAGTAGAAACTAGTTCTGTAGATCAAAATCCAAGTGATATAGATCCTCAGTCTCCCACTTACTCTACAATGACAGATAATCTAGATGATATTTTAGAACTAAGAGTATTAACAAATGAATTTCAAATAGATAAGAGTTTACTTAAAAGAGTTTTATTCGGAAATACAATACAAAATCTTTATTATGATTTTTTACAAAACAAAGAATGAAATACATGTTTTATTCTTTGATTGGTTAGAAAATTATACTTCTTTTTAAAAACCTGATTATCCTCTTAATGATGAAAATAAAGTTTTTACAAAAACTTTGCAAACCTTAGAAGGAGAGCCTGTTCGCTCCGAATTCCCACCTAATAAACCTTTTACAACACCTTATAAGTCAGTCAATATTAAAGCAATTCCTTTCAAAAATAGAGAGGTAAAACCAGGAGAAGAAATTTGTACAAAAGATATTCAAAGTATTTATGAACAAAATAATTATACCAATAGGTATTTACAAACAATAGGAGAATATCTTGTTATAAAATCTTTTACAAACAGTCAGTCGTCAACTTCTTTTCCTAATAAGCCTGTTTTTGAACCATATGAAATTCCAACTGATTTAAGTAAACAAATTAATAAATCATTAACTGAACTTGGAAAAAGGATGGCAAAGATTGAAGGATCTTTTCAAACACTAGTCAGTAAACAAAAATCAAATCATTCTGTTTCTGCTTCTGTTAACCAAGGCTCTGTGTATGTTTTGGAAGAAACATTGTCTCCTGATAATTCAGAATCAGAGAGTTAGCCAGAACAGTTTGTAATGCTTTGTTTATTTAATGCTACAAGTATCTCAAAAATTAAAATCATCCATCGAGTTTTGAAAATTTATAATAGTACAAATCTCAAAATTTAATGTAAATTATTTTCTAGGATAGATGGAGTAAACGTCTAATACTTGGAACGGGGTTAGAATTTATGTGCATTACAAGGGTGAATTTAACTCCATTTTGAATTTCCCAAAAAATATGAAGAATGGGGTATAGTATACATCTTCATGTTGGAAAATGAAGGTACGAACTCATATAGTAATGGCCACTTCAATTGTTTTCCCACTCTTTCGTCAATTGATTCTTTACAGAGAAGCTGCCTAGTCCTCTGAGGCTCTGATAGCTGTTAATCTTTAAGCTCAAAGACAATAAAATGTTCTTACTTAGAATGTCGTGAAATACCATTTGCTTGACCTAACGATTGTTGGCGGCTTTTTTTTTGTTTTTTTTTAGTTTGATCAAGAAAATTCACGAGTATATATGTGTCGTCGTGAAATACCTACATTTCTGTCGACCTCATTAAGTCCTCGAAATATATCGACGAGCTCTTAACCAAAGAAGTTACTAAGGTCGTCGTTGATCTTATTAAACAGTCAAAGTTGTTGAAAATGTAGTAGATTATCTGAAACGTGGTATGGAGCGCTCACTTAAAATTCTTCACCGAATAACTAACTGATTTCACATTCAATTTACTGACTCTAAGTCACGAGAAAGTTGTGTTATTTTTTGGTTGTACAATATTGACATAATATCCTCTAATGAGAAGAGATCAAAAGGAAATTACAGCTTTTCCACAATGAGCAAGAAAGAGCTTTGAAGTTCTTGATATATCTGTCAGAATCAATCTCCTTATATCAAGATGAAATTCGAATCCTGATGACATATATAGGCCAAAAGAAATGAAATGTACAGTCTAGTATTTTCTCAATCATCATCAATGTAAATGGTTTCTTGCTTAAACAACCCGCCGAAAACCTTTCTGACTTCTCTGTTGGATTCTGTCTGTTTCGGTGGTGGTTTAGCTGCTGGCTTAGCTGCTGGCTTAGCAGTCGGCCTTGATTTCGGTGGAGTAGGTTTCTTCACCACTGCTTTCTGCGAAGGCAGAGATCGAGCCTTCGCCTGACCCCGAACTGTGGCAACTTGCACTTTAGACTCCTCACCGGAGGCTTCTTTAGCAGCAGTTTTCAGCTGAGAACTCAACTTTTCCCAAGAAATTCCGGAACTGAAGTCTTTGGCTCTGTTTAAGAGGCTCTCAACTGAAGCTCCTGCAGTAGCAGCGCTCTCTTGGGCTTCTTTTGCAAGGTCAGGAGTTTCAGATTCTTCCTTTTCAGTCTTCAGCTGAGAACTCAACTTTTGCCAAGAAATTCCTGAACTGAAGCCTTTGGCTCTGTTCAAGAGGCTCTCAACTGAAGCTCCTGCAGCCACAGCGCTCCCTTGGGCTTCTTTTGCAAGGTCAGGAGTTTCGGATTCTTCCTTTTCAGTCTTCTTCAGCTCTGATTCACGCTTCTTTAGGGCTGCTGCTGCTTCGCGAGCTTCCTCAGTTGCTCTTATTGCCTCTTCCTCTTGTTTGGCTTTTTCCAGGGCCTCAGCATATGCTTTTCTTCTGCCATCCTCTGGAATAGTGCTGCAAAGTAGGAATCAAAGTCAAAACCATTAGAACTAAAAATGGAAATGTATCGGCTTTTATTCTTCCACTGCGGACAAGGCAGAAGTTAGAAAGGAATCATGTCAATGTCCATTACCTGAATAGTTCTTCGATGGATTTCGACTTTGCCTCTGGATCGCTAGAGACTTCCACAACCTGAATTGGCCGGAGGGAAGAACAGGGTTATGCATTGAAATAAATGAACTATCAAAGAGCAACAACTCCTTTTGGACAAAAAGTCAGCAATGACATAAATCAGCTGTCACGCAATTATCAAGCTTCTCTACATTTTATGTCGGGAGGAAGAAAACATGTGAGTTTCGAGGTTCCACACCTTATTTTCTGCCACTGCTGTGTTGGAGAAAACGCCAGCAACTAATGAAGCAATCTGTGACTTTGAAACCTGAAAATTATGCAGCAAACAAGAAATTTGATTGAGATTTGCGAAAATTAGACATTGATGACAAATACAATCTCTGAAACTTAAAATTACTGCAACATTTTGCAATGAAAAGGAAAAAAGAAAATGCATACATTACATTACTTTGTAGTCGGTTGATCCACTAGTTCCTTCAGCCGAGACAACAAGGTTGTAAGAACTCTCAGGAAGATAATCCTCTGTCAGATTGGTTTTTATGAGGGTGTAGCTAAGATCCGTCTCAACTAATTTCTCCAAAAACTCTGGAATTGTCAATGGTGGAGACTTCGAGAAGAGATTTCCAAAGAAAGATGTGATGCCATCCAAAACATTGTAAGTTGAGGTAGAGAATGACGAATCATCATAGACGACCGCCACATGACCGACTTTAGCTAACTGCGCAGCTTCAATGACTTGCAAAGCATCATTGGTAGTGACTTCTGCAGCTGGACCGTCCTCTTTAGGACCAATTGTGACAACAACTTTGGTTGCATTTCCAATAGCTTTAGCTATTGATTCTGCATCCTTAAAGTTGGATTGAACAGCATTTAGCCGCTTGGATTCATCGGTAGAAATAATCTGCCAAACAATAAACAAGTAATGAAACCTATGCACAAACATTTTACAAAAAAAAAAAAAAAAAAATTCCCAGAATCCCATCTTAATGTACAAGCAAATCCACATTTTCGGCTGTTTTTCAACTCCTGCTCTTAATACCAATCAAACAGTTTTTCACATAGTAAAAGATTCACCATATCATGGAAACAAACCTTGTAAGTTGCGGCAAGCAGAGCGAGTTCTTGGGCTGCAGCAAGATCATTGACACCAGCTCTGACTTTAAATCCTTCCCGGAGAAGTGCTTGCGCAATGCGTACTCCGACTTGCCCAGTAGCGCCGGCAACGAATACAGTTCCGGAATCTTTCACCCTTCCCAATGAAAAGCCAGAAGATTGCCCGCTGAGGGCAGGAACCAATGAATTCACATCAGGCAATTTTCCGAAATCAAACTTGAAGAATGGGGATGAATTCCCTGAATCTTCTCCAGAATCATCATCAGCTGATTTTCCAAGCCCGAAACCTGGAAAGGGACCTGATTTCTTGGCAAAGACAGTGAGCCTTGATGATCTCTTGACGGCTACCCTTTGGTGAGGAGTCTTAAAGTTGAGGAAAAAAGAATTGGAAGAAAGAGCTGCAGGCGCCATCAAACTGTCAATGGCTCAGTAAAATCACTGGAGTCTGAGTTTAAAATTCTTCAAGTTCTGCTAGTTCCATTTGGAAGAAGTGTACTGACAAAACTAGAGTGAAGTGATCGTTGAAGGGAAAGGTTTTGATTTTGTTACAGTTTCGATTTTGGATTGGGAAACGAACAGAAGCAGCCAATGGGGAGAAGCCACATAAGATCAGGTATTATCTACAAAAAGGAAAATCCAGAACCAGACGTTCATAAATCCACTAGTCGTACTATGTGAATGATGCAGAAGGGATCTCATATATATTTCCTGCTTTATACGCCGCCAAAAAACCATGTCAGTTTCAGTTAATTTACATTGCATTTTTATGTAAAGATCCTACAATTTACAAACAATGTTGCCATTTTATTTTCAATTTCACTTTGCTCGTCCATTGGAATGATTAATCTTGTTCGAATTTCAGGATCAAGCAAGCGGGTACAAACGGATAAAAGTATAGGTTTGAAAATAATAAAAGTCTATTGTGTATAAACTATGTCAACTATAAAACTATGTTAAGGACCCAATCAGACAAAAATAAACACTCAAAATTGTTAGCGGGATACTGTGGGGTTGATGGTTCCTTCTTCATGGGTTAATACTCCTCTCTAGATTACAATACAACATATATATGCTCACTGTCGTAGCGCACCGATTTATATGTTAATAATTATGAATTGTGTGTGTGTGTGTATCTCTAAACTCTAAATCCAGCTTACTCTTGGATTGACCACAGGTTTCAGTAGTTTAACTTTTAACTTTGGTTTGGAACAGTAATTGCCCAGTATAACAAACAGTATCTTGTCTATTTGTCATATTTCCGAATCACTGGTTATAATTTCCGACCTAATTTTAGTAGTAGGTCAAGCAGTTTCTATAAATATACAAATGAATAGAAGTTATATTTGGAAAAATGATCATGCATCTGTCATACTCATACCCTGATGTTTGCTTTAAACGCAGGACACCAAATTCTATGAAATGAAAATGATACCTCCAAATTAGAGAAACTAATGAGGAAGGTCAAAGTTTCTTGTACGCATCTGAAATGATCAGAGACATCTTGACGTGCATTGAGAAAACTAACCCCCTCCCCTCCCTCAAAAAGAAAAAGTGACAATCCAAGAGGAACTAAAACTGGTAGTTAACCAGTGATTAAGGGTGACCAGAAACTTTCATCAATAGATACGTGCATAAATAAGTTAGCCCCATCTCATGTAAGTAAAAGAGTTTGGTAATCGATCTCTGCTCCTTTTGTTTCATCTTCCAACCTATCTCGAATAAGGAGACAACATCACAGTTCTATATAAAATGGATGTAAATGAAAAAGTATTTGTTCCTTCACCTATCCTCAAATGGGAAAAAAGCTTCATTAACAAGACGTGAAATGAAAAAATTTCTACCAAATTGCAACTCAACTAAGCTCGGTACACCAACAAAACTACCTAGTAACACATGAAAATCCTTGATCACGACCAAACACATCATCTAATACTCAAAATATTCCCCTCAAAGACATCCAAGTCCAATAAGATTGTAGACATACGAGTACATGTCGTAGAAGCAGCAAAAAAAGAATTACTTGCACAAAAAAGGCAAACAAAAGATGAAGTTGGCAGTTGGAAGGGAGGTATCACAAAACAGAATGTCACACAACTACAGTGGTACCACCACATAAATAGACAAACATGCCAATGAGTACAATATCAGATTGTCCTTGTTTACACATTTCACAATTCTAATCGACGGGTTGTACAACATCAATGAATTACATCAACAGAACAAGAAAGAACGGAAACTGATGTGACTAATGAACCCCACAAGGAAATCCAAGCACAAATCATATTGATAGATCAAGCTTTCAAGACTACAAGTCTGCACGACAATAGTACATAAAAGCACATCACTATACTATAGTGCCAATTGAGCCCCGAATCAAAGCATAATGAATGTTTTAACCCTCAGGAAAAAAGGTAAATTTGTAGAGGAAAGAGATGAAAAGGAATACATAACCCTCCAACAGCATTTAAGATGAAATTTACTGCATAGCAACGAATGTGTGATACTTTACAGCAGCTATCAACCGGCCACATGAATGGGTACCTAAATGAACTGTAGAACTGAAAACCAATTCCCTGCGACAATTCTCAAGCTGTTACTCATACAGTGGTATTCAAAGCACATATATTGGTAGTTTGCAAATCTCACACACATGCTCAGCCCACAGTCCTATCTACTACACATGTGAAACAAGCAACGAATGAAAACACTTCACCTGTTCTAAAAATGCAGGTGCACAAGATCTGCTCAACCAAGTCATGTACTTGGACAACATTCTCATCTATCAATTAACCAGAAAGCCAATTTAGTGACAACTTTACCACGGATTAAACTAATAAAACCCATACGGTTTTATCACAAATTCAGAAGAATGCATCATACTATCAGACAAAGCAAGAAAAAAAAGCTCCTACTTGTAACGTATATGGACTTCTTACACAATCATAAACAATAATAACAATCATTGTTTTAGCTGCAGCCTTTCACGAAAGCAACAAAAAATATTCCCAGTGGAGGGAAGACAGGTATTACCAGCAAATTAGCAGGAAGTCAGCAAAAAGTCGTACTCAAGACAATAGCTCAGGAATCTTCATTAATCCATTTCAGCTGCCAGGAGTAAAGACAGACCATTAAATAACTGCCTATGATACAATCAACGAAACATAGAGTTCCAATGAAGTGAAAGGCTACAATTAAAAGACTAAAAAGGTAAAAGTAACATCTTGATATTCCATAAAAATAAAAAATATCAATGGCTAATGCCCTTCTTAGCCATATATAACTCAATGGCCTTTTCTCGCAGCTCAATCTCTAGTTTTTTCTGCTCATTCAGCGGTTCTTCCACGTCATCCAGACCAGAATCACGTTTTTTGACACCTCGGTCATCAAAATCATCATCATGTTTTCCTTCAGTATCTGAAGGTGTAGAAACTGTTCCACCAGACTTCATTTTGTGCCTTCCTGACCGCTTTTCCTCTTTTCTGCGACGTCTCTCTTCCCGCCGTTTACGCTTCTCCTCTTTTCTAGTTTTTTTCTCCTCCTTCCTCCTCCTCTTCGCCTCTTTTCGCTCATCGGCATAAGAATCAGAGCTTGACTCATTATCTGATCCTGATTCTCGCCTCTCAGACCTCTTACTCTTTCTTTTGTCCTTGACTTTTGCTCTGTTCTTATCAATCTCCTCCGGCTCCGAGTCAGAACCCACAGAAGGAATCCAATCATCTTGCCTGCCTTTCTCTGGCAACTCGGGTACACGTTCAAGATGGCGATCACCCGAGCGAGAAAGAATCTTCTCCTCTTTGTTTCTCCCTTTAATAGGTGATTCCCTTTTCTTCTCGCTCAAAATTGCATCCTTAACCTTTTGTGCATCATGTTGGTCAGGTTTCCTTTGGTGCTCCAACTTTTCAGATTTGTTTCCCCTGTCATCGAAGTGCAGATCAAGGATTCAATAGGATCATACATGTTTAACGTTACCTTAATTTAACAGGTTAAAGGACTAAGTCCAATGAGACAAATCTCGGTAGGACTGGATACATATATTTCAAGTCTAACTTATCAGCACAATTCTGAGTTTGAACTAACCTTTCAGGAGAAACTTTCTCATTACCATTGGTCTGTGAACGCTTATGTTTATATTGTGACGACAGTTTTGCTGAAGAATTGTATTCCATTTCAGTAGACTTCCTGTACAAAGTGAAACCACGTGTGATTCAGAAAACTCCACGAATTTCAACGAAGGATACAGTTTAAAAGAGCTATTCAATTAGAACAGACCTCTTTCCAATTAGATTTGATTCTCTTTGAACTTCTGAAATGTAAGAAGATCTGTGTGGTGAAGGCGTCAGTCTTTTCAATGCTCTATGTGAATCCTTTTGATTCCCACGTTCCATTGAGTTGGATCTTTCACGAGCATCAGTTCGGCTGTCAATTGCTTTTCTAGTAACAGTATCACGAACTGGAGAACGTTTCTCAAGTCCTCTGCAATAATGCAGAAAATTCAAATAACTTTTTAAAGTGCAGACGCAAGAGCCCATCCACAGGGTGGGACAAGTAAGAGACAATGCACATATTATATGTATTAATTTTGCCACATATTCTAAGCCTTCATGATACCTCGATATCAATCAAAATAAATATCCCGAGAGTTAGAAATTCAACAACTATGTGGATGCTAAATTTAACATATAAATTACAAAGAAAAAAAATATAGATAGCCATGCAGTTGCTAAATACCTAGTTCTTCCTCTAGGAGATTGTGACGGTGACCTTCCCAGCCTTTTTGGTGATTTCCTCCCAATTGGAGATCGGGACCTGTGTAGAACTGGCGAGGCAGAACTCGAGTCTCGCGATGAAGGAGATTTGGGACTGGCTAGTCTTTGAGATCTTCTAGGAGACTTGCTCCCACTTAGAGATCTTCTAGGTGACCTGCTCCCACTTAGAGATCTTCTAGGTGACCTGCTCCCACTTAGAGACTTTGATTTGTCCCTAATAGGAGAAGCTGACATATCACGAACAGGAGACAAAGACTTGCGCTGAATTGGAGATGGTGAACTCCGTCGAATAGGCGATCGCAACCTACGCTGAACTGGAGATCGAAACCTGCGCTGAACGGGAGAATGAGACCTGCGCTGGACTGGAGAACGCGACCTGCGCCGGATTGGAGATGGAGACCTACGCCGGATGGGAGATCGGGACCTGCGCGGGATTGGAGATTGAGACCTGCGTCGCGGTGATGGAGATCCTCGATACTTTCTCCTTATTGGAGATGGTGAACTGTGCTTCACAGGGGATGGTGATTTTCGTCGAATTGGAGATGGTGATCTGCGCCTGGTTGGTGAACGAGATCTATTCCAAGGAGAAGATCGACGAGGTGAGGACCTTAGCCTACGCCAATATGGAGATCTTGATCTACGTCGAAGGGGGGAACGGGATCTGCGACGCATCCTATAACGTCCAGGAGATGGTGATCTACGGTCTGATCGAGATGATGATCTCCTTCTTGAATAAGATGATCTGCGACTTGGAGAACGAGAACGACGGGGAGCATGCCTTCCACGAGGAGTGATAGAACGTCGAGGTGAATAGCGACGAACCTTTTCCAATGAACTCGACCGCCCCCTTCTCTTATTGGATGCAGATGGACTTCTTGACCTGCGCCTTTCACTATAACAAAATCATTTCTACACATCTAATCCAAGAGAACTAACTGACAAGGTATCAGAAGTTTCTTGTACAAACATATGCATATAGTACGCCAATTACAAGCTCAAAGAAACTAGAGATTCATTTAAAATAATAACTTACTCTGAATTGGAATTGGACTTGCTAGTTGACCGTGAACGTTTACCCCTGCATAAGGAAAAAAATATACCAGTGATTAAGCCACAAACAGGTGGTCCCAATTTAGGAAACGAACCCAAACTACATAATATAAATAAATTTCCGGTTAAAAGAACACACAACATGATTCAATAAGATACGTAGGTGAAGGGGACTGGTCGGCAGAATGAGGAGATCTAGAGACTCTGTAGTTGGTAAAAGTCACTTCATTGTCCAGTCAATAGAGCACAAAAATGCATTGTACTTACTTAACCACAAAATATGAGGATGATGTGGTATAAAATAATGATGGTTGGGAATCCGTAAGCTATGAAACCCAATTTAGTGGAGTAGGACATATGAAAATTCAAAAGCTTTTCGGGTGCAAAACTGACAAGTTGAACAGGGGCTTAAAAAGTTTTTCATGTAATTAGAAGAGTAAAAAAAGATTCCTCGACTATCTCTAGGTCTTATAGATGATAAATTACAATGACAACGCATCCTGATTAAGATAATAGTGCATCCCATAATTCTCAAATATAGAGCATAAGAAGACTTGGAAGACAGACTTACACTTATTGCTGGAGATGTCAATTAAATGTCACCTAATATGCTCCATAAATATAAGCTAATCAAGAATATAAAGAACAAATTAAAAACAGGCAGCGGATTTGTAATGAAGTCTACATTGCTTAAAAACCTTCAAAACAATGGGCAAGCAAATGGTCAAAGAATTGGTAAAAGTTAAGGTAACAACCTGCTTCGTCCTCGGGATCCATTCTTATCCTTGAACTCTTTATCCTCAACTAGCCTGTCAGCAGGAGGTCTACGTTCATGCTTTGAACTGGGCTCCACACCGCCATCAACACCTTTCAAGTTATATCCACGGTCCTACAGTAGTTTGAGGTAAAGGACATGAGCCCAAATTATTGCAGAAGCAGCTGAATTCATGGAAACACAGAGAAAGTTAAGCAGGAAAGAACCACTGCTATAAAACTAACTGTTGCATGGAAACAAAGAGTGGTTACCATTTTCTCAGATCTCTCTTGTTCTAGTTCTCGACTCTCCTTCTCTTTCCTCCTCAGTATTTCATTCGCTAATCTATCAGACTCAGCCTGCGAAATAATTAAAACACGTCAGGACAACATAGAGTAGTATGGAACAAAATGAAAATACACATCATAATTCAAGGCAATAAAGAGAGACCTTCTTCTTCTTTGTCTCTTCCTCCTTGGCATCCAAAAACTGCTGAGGGACACCACTTGCATTACTCTGAGCGCTCAGAAGTAATACCCACAGCTCCTTCATAAACTTGCCAGTGTTCCTCTCCATGAAACCAGTAAGCGAAATCTGAACCTCCTTCCCATTAACTTCCTGTAGTCGGATAAGTGAGCCACTCAAACCACATAATGATGCTTAGCCCACAAAACTTTAAACAACTTAATGAAGACAACCCTATAAGACAGGAATCTTCCAACATAAACTATGAATAGAAAGCAAGAACGAAGCTAATCAATGGGAGCGTTTAAAATTGCAGCAACCAAAAATCATTATTCATCAACATGGAATCACGATGAAGTTGAGAGTCAATCACCTTCCCATCAAGAAGACCGTAAATGAAGTTGATAAGCACTTCATCCTCAAAGCCAATAAGCTCAGTCACCCGATTTGCAATCCATGGCCTCATTACATCCATCTTCACCTTTGTCATGTCAACCTAAAATTTACGATAGACTTAAATGAGTTAGGGCTAGTTTTAACCTAATCTCAGCAAAATGCTATGTTCTCATCACAGGAAACTCTAAAGGAACAAATGAATCACCTCGTCTTCCCAATTCTCCCTCCTCCCCAGCAACCAAAAATAACAGCAAATAAAATAAGCAGGTTTCAACATGCATCATCCACAGTCATATATATCGTTCTTCTACTCCTCCTAAACGTGTAACTAACAAGGACAAAATTTCAAAGAAACTACAACGAGATGAGCTAACAATGAAATTACTTAATCCAGAAAAAAAAAAAAAAAAACGCAGCGTTCAAACTGAAAAGTCATATATCCGTGTAATAAACAGAATACGAACCAGGTGTTCCAATTCAGGAGCAAACTTCTGAGATTTCAACAGTTTAGCTTGCTTGTTGGAGAACCGAGTGTCCTGATCGGCCGAAGTGCCCTAACATCAAAATTCAAAATTAATCAAAACAGATAAGAAGATAGCATCGAAAAAGAGCCTCGTAAAAAAATTTTAAAAAAAAAAAAAAAACCCCGAAGATCTGATATAGTTCCATCGAGTTTGAAGCTCCTCTAACGCATAATTAAACAAAGATTGACAGAATTTATCCGAATTTATAAGAGACTGATGAGATAAAAACTTACCCTGAAAAAACCGCCCGACATTGTTTCCTAGGGTTTCTGCAGAAGGGCTACTGCAGCGGAGTCACCGATTGAACCGAGTCGATGAGTTTGATAGGCTCCAATTACAGCTTCTTTACGAGTTCAATATGGCAGGAGAAGATGAATCGATAGCATGAATTTGTGTGGACAGATAACTGAGGGGGAGAGCTGCTCAGTGTGGAGAAGTGAAGCTAGTGCTATTGAGCCGGTTCTGTTCCGCCCTCGGCCAAAATAAGCCCGCCGTAATGATAGATGTGGAGTATTATACGATGGGATTTGTTGGTTCAAAAATATTTATAACACTCTTTATTTCGAAAGAAAAAAATAGTTTCGACAGAAAGAATGATTCTTTTTCCCTTCTCGTCACTATTAGATTAATTATAAAAACTCAGTATTTTCTATATTCTAAAATAATTATCAATTTGAAATTTTTTTAATACAATAAGTGTTAAAAGTGAAAATCCAACTTGAATAATCACTTAAGCCCTGAGAACATTAAAGTTACACAACATTCTGCACATTGGGTTAATCATTTCCCATAAACCTAGTTTGATATTCCATGTCATGGTTTTGCAACCAAAAGATAATTTGAATTGTATAAAGCCCCAAACTGATTCTGTCAACCAAAAAGAGAAGTAACACAAAAAAAGCGGTCTCAAGATATTTACAATACTTCAACCACAATTCATTATTAAAAAATAAACAAAGCCAAAACCTGAACTTTCAAACATCTTTCACATAATCAATATTCTTCAGGAAGAATATCACTCCCTAATTTCTTACTTCCAGTTCTAGATATTCTTCATTTCAACACAAAAGGAACATTCACATAATCACCTCATTTTGAGATAAAGACACATACAAGACACTTTTAGAGGAAAATAGAGGAATAGAAACAAGGAGAAGAAACTCCAATAGTTGTTAAAATGCAAATGCATGTGAAAAACCACACTAAAATTTATTTTTGTTTATTTTCCTTTTTCTCCTTTGAGTTTTTTTAATTATACTGAAATTCATTTTTGTTTTCGAATTTACACCAACCTCTACCATAATTTTCATATTGTAACGAAACATTGAAATGTTCAATGTTTATCTATCAATATGAGATGTATGTAGTCAGTAAATGAATACTATATATGAAATGATAAACTCATAAGTTACATAAATGGATTCACTTACTATAAGAGGTTGGTGTAAATTCAAGAACAAGAAAGAATAATTATGTAATTGAGAAAAAATATCATTTTCGAATTAATTTTGTTTTAGAAAATTTTATTCGTGTTCTTGGTTTTAGAACTTAGTTTCTTTTAAATTCAATTTTTTCTAATTTTTAGGGTTCGGCCTTAAGGGACAAAAAACAAAGTTTCCAAAATATATTACATATACGAAATACAACCATACAGAAGGACAGACGAATGAAATATGTAAATATGCATATGGTTTTCTGTTGGATTTATTTTCTTTTTCCTTTTGAAATTTTTCGAATCACAGCAAAATTCATTTTTTCTTTTCGAATTTACACCAACCTCCACCACAACTTTCATATTGCGACAAAATATAAACAATTTTAATGTTTGTCTACCAGTATAAAATATATGTTCTTAGTACTAGGGCTGCTAATTCAGGCGGTTCGGTTCGGTTTGGTTGAAATTCGGTTTAGATCAATCGGATTTTTTTTCCTCACAAGACCCGCCCGAAAACGAACCGAAAATTACATTACCCCAAACCGAACCAGATAAACAATCGAATTTTCAGTTCGGGGACTGATTAAACCAAAACTAATACAAAAGGCCATATAGACCATATTTAATAGAGAGAATTTCCGAATTCAGATCAATCATTCATCATTCATGAACATTAAAATTATAAAATTACAACAAAACTTACCAAATTGTCATCCAAAAATTTCAAACTTCAAAGATCACTTAAAAAACAAAAAAACAAAAAAAAATAAAAATCACAAAGCTGACATTCGAGTTTCGACATTCAACATTCAATACACAAGACACACCACAAGACATCCAACATTCAATACATTTTACAATCGATTTGCTTCGACATTCAAAGTTCAATTCCAGTACTTCACAGCACAAGACACAAGTCTAGACATACACAAGTCCACTGTGACCAAATAATCTAAACTTCAATTCTCAAAACTAACTTATATACAGAAAACAAAAACAATCTATAATGAATCATAAAGTGGTGACGAACCAATAGGCAAAACTAACTTTTATCACAAAAAAAAAGAATGAATCGAATCGAAGTGAGGAAGGTAAAGGGCAGAGTCCGGTGAGGTTCAACAGTTCAGCTTCTCTTCGAAACCAGTACTGATTCAATGATTTTTTTTTAGATCGAATCGAATGGTAGCCGGAGTGTACATTCACTCTTCAGATTAGCAGTTTTACCCCTTTAGCCTTCAAATCTTTTATTAAAAAAAAATTCATGTAGAATTTTGGATTAGTAGATCTGGATTTTTAATTTGGAATTGGTGGATTCAATGGATTGTGGGGGTGAGGAATAGGATATGGAGTCGTATAGGTCAGGTGAAGGAACGATTGTGGTAGGAACGGCGATCGGCGGTGGTGACTGTCGATGAGGTATGGCTGAAGAAACAGGGCTGAAGAAACGAGGAATGGAGGAAGGAGATAGAAAATAGAAAAAAAAAAATGAAGACAGAACTAAAATCCAAAGTCCAAACCGTTCGTCCAATATATATATATATAAATAATAAAAACAATTAATTATTCGGGTTAGTCGGGCGGCCCGAAAAGTAATTCTGAAAACTGACCCCGAACCACATAAGCTAATCGGTTAATCGGGTGGAGCCGAAATTCCTCCGATTAAACCGATTAGCCGACCCGTTTGTCTGAATTCATTTCGGGTCGGGCGGTTGATCGGGTCCACCCGATTAATGACCAGCCCTACTTAGTACATGAATGAATACTATATGTGAGATAGTAAACTCTTCAAGTTACATAAATGTATTCACTTACTATAAGAGCTTGGTTTAAATTCAAGAACAATAAAGAATAATTATGCAATTGAGAAAAAAAAATCATATTTCGAATTAGTTTTGTTTTAGAAAATTTTCTTTTGGTTATTGGTTTTAAAACTTAGTTCCTTTTATTTATTTATGTATTTTATTTTTTTTTGGTTCAACCTAGATAACGTGAGAAAAAAGAAAGATTACATGTACGGAATACAATCATAAAGAAGAACATATGAATAAAATATGTGAGAACACATGTGATTTTCCTTTGAGTATATTTTTTTTTTCTGCTTTTGGGTTTTTCTGAATCACAGTAAAATTCATTTTTGTTTTCGAATTTACACCAACCTCCACTACAACTTTCATATTGTGACCAAACATAAATAATTTTAATGTTTGTCTACCAATATAAAATATATGTACTTGGTACATGAATACTATATGTGAGATGATAAACTCTTCAAATTACATAAATGTATTCACTTACTATAAGAGGTTGGTGTAAATTCAAGAACAAGAAAGAATAATTACACAATTCAGAAAAAAAATCATATTTCAAATTAGTTTTGTTTTAGAAAATTTTCTTTTGGTTATTGGTTTAAAACTTAGTTTCTTTTAATTTTATTTTTTTTTGGTTCAGCCAAGATGACGTGAGAAAAAATAAAGATTACGTATACATAATACAATCATAAAGAAGAACATACGAATAAAATATGTAAGAATGCAATGTGGTTTTCCTTTGAGCATATTTTCTTTTTATCCTTTTGGATTTTTCCGAATCACAGTATAATTCATTTTTGTTTTCGAATTTACACCAACCTTCACCATAACTTTCATATTGTGACCAAACATAAATAATTTTAATGTTTGTCTACCAATATAAAATATATGTATGTAGTACATGAATACTATATGTGAGATGGTTAACTCTTCAAGTTACATAAATGTATTCACTTACTATAAGAGGTTGGTGTAAATTCAAGAACAAGAAAGAATAGTTATGCAATTGAGAAATAAAAAATCATATTTCAAATTAGTTTTGTTTTAGAAAATTTTCTTTTGGTTATTGGTTTTAAAACTTAGTTTCTTTTAATTTTATTTTTTTAGTTCAGCCTAGATGACGTGAGAAAAAATAAAGATTACGTGTACGGAATACAATCATAAAGAAGAATATACGAATAAAATATGTAAGAACGCATTAGGTTTTCATTTGAGTATATTTTCTTTTTATCCTTTTGAGTTTTTCTGAATCACAGTAAAATTCATTTTTGTTTTTGAATTTACACCAACCTCCACCACAACTTTCATACTGTGACGAAACATAAATATTTTAATGTTTGTCTACATGTAAAATATATGTACTTAGTACATGAATACTATATGTGAGATGGTAAACTTTTCAAGTTACATAAATATATTCACTTACTACAAGAGGTTGGTGTAAATTCAAGAACAAGAAAGAATAATTATGCAATTGAGAAAAAAAAATCATATTTCAAATTAGTTTTGTTTTAGAAAAATCTCTTTTGGTTATTGGTTTTAAAACTTAGTTTTTTTAAAAAAATTTTATGTTTTTTTGATTCCGCCTAGATGACGTGAGAAAAAATAAAGATTACGTGAACAGAATACAATCATAAAGAAGAACATACGAATAAATTATGTAAGGATGCATGTGGTTTTCCTTTGAGTATATTTTCTTTTTATCCTTTTGGGTTTTTTCGAATCACAGTAAAATTCATTTTTGTTTTCGAATTTACACCAACCTCCACCACCACTTTCATATTGTGACCAAACATAAATAATTTTAATGTTTGTCTACCAATATAAAATATATGTACTTAGTACATGAATACTATATGCGAGATGGTAAACTCTTCAAGTTACATAAATGTATTCACTTACTATAAGAGGTTGGTGTAAATTCAAGAACAAGAAAGAATAATTATGCAATTAAGAAAGAAAATCATATTTCAAATTAACTTTGTTTTAGATTTTTTTTTTGGTTATTGGTTTTAAAACTTAGTTTCTTTTAATTTTTTTTTTTTTTGGTTCAGCCTAGATGGAGTCGGAAAAAATAAAGATTACGTGTACGGAATACAATCATAAAGAAGAATATACGAATAAAATATGTAAGAACGTATGTGGTTTTCCTTTGAGTATATTTTCTTATTCTCCTTTTAGGTTTTTCCGAAGCACAGTAAAATTCATTTTTGTTTTTGAATTTACACCAACCTCCACCACAATTTTCATATTGTGACAAAATATAGATGATTTTAATGTTAGTCTACAAATATGAGATGTATATTCTTAGTAAATGAATACTATATATGAGATGGTAAACTCATAAGTTATATAAGTGTATTCAGTTACTAGAAGAGGTTAGTGTAAATTCAAAAACAAGAAAGAATCATTATGCAATTGAGGAAAAAAAATCATATTTCAAATTAGTTTTTTTTTTTAAAGAAAACTTTCTTTTAGTTTTTGGTTTTAAAAATTAGTTTCTTTTTCTTTTTTTTGTTGGTTTTGCCTACATGATATGATAAAAAAAATAAGAGAAACTACAAACACGAGTATTATTAAAAAGAAAAAAAATAGAGAAGATAATTTGGTCCGGGCCGGGCCTTAGTGAAGTGATATTTTCTTGTCGGCTCAAATTAAATGAAAACAGCAGTTATCAGGAAAAAAAAAGATAAAAAGGAAAAAGAAAATAAAAAAGGGAAATAGATCATGACACGTGGCCGAGAGACGAAGGAAACGGATGCAAACCTATTTATATTCCACCCTTTATTCTTCTTTTCTGTTCCGCCTCTCTCTCTCTCTCTCTCTCTCTCCTTCTCTCTTCTGCTTTCTCTCTCTATCTGCGCAGAATACAGACAGCCTCACTTCAAACCCTCACTACTCTCCAAACCCTTACCCCTTCAATTACATCCATCCGTTGTTGTTAATGGCCAATTGAGATCGATTCCGTTCTGTGTTTCGTGGATTTTTTTTCAATTTGAATTCAGATTTCGAAGTTTTCTCCATTATCGAATTGGTCGGATTTTATTTAAAAAAGGGTTTTGGAGATGGCCACATCCAGTACGAGCAATGTCTACATCCACGTCATCGAAGACGTCATCAACAAGGTCCGCGATGAGTTCGTCAACAATGGCGGGCCCGGCGAGAGCGTCCTCTCTGAGCTTCAGGGGGTATGTTTCTGGCGGATAATTTGAATTTATATATGAGAAACTCCTTTTATCGTTTTGATAAGCTTTCATTCACGACTTAGGGGTTTCGTGTTTCTGAATTGAATTATGAAATTATCAGGGGTTCTTGGCGTTTGGATAGGTTTTTTTTGTATTGTGATTTGATTAATTTGGTGTCCTGTAATTTCCCCTGCCCCCCTACAGTTATGGGAGATGAAGATGATGCAAGCTGGAGCTATACTGGGGCCAATTGATAGGTCCGCAGCTGCTAAGTCCGCCCCCGGTGGTCCAAATCCTGTTCACGACCTTAATGTACCCTATGAAGGCACCGAGGAGTACGAGACTCCCACAGCTGATATGCTCTTTCCTCCGGTAAGTTCAACTGTTTAGAGCTTATACTGCCAAAATAGAGGCTTTAAGGTTTCGGATTGAATAATCATGTATTTGGTTGCAGACACCATTACAGACGCCTATGCCCACCCCATTGCCTGGGATGGCACAGACTCCCTTGCCTGGAACTGCTCAGACTCCCGGAACCGCACAAACTCCCTCAGACAGCTTTTTGTTTAATATTCCTACTGGTGGCACTCCTATTACACCGAATGAGTATTCTTCAGGGAATGATAATGGGAGTGTTCCTGATGTGAAACCAGGACCTGGCAGACCTAGCCAATTTATGGTATTCTCCTGGTTCACCTTTGGTATCTATGGTTGCCCTGTTCAAAAATTTTCTGTTATTCCTGGGGCTACTAGGTTGGGGTTTGTGATGGATATAAAGAGAATTGGGTTGGGTAGGTTATTGGAGATATCCTTACGGCAGGGTGTCTAAACAGATATTTCTTTATTGATGATATGTTACTATTGTTTTTTTACTTTTGGGGATGAAAATGTATATTGAGAACCTCTTGTACGTGTCAAGATTGTTAAACCTTACAAAATATTGAACTGTGCAGCAACCGCCTCAGACTTTGGTGAATCAAAGGCCTCGGCTCGATGTTAATGTCGGTAAGGAAATTAGAACAGGAGGTTACTTCTGAAAGACAAATCTGAGTTATAATATTAGTTTCATAGATTAACTGTTGTGTTATTATTGTTTTATGCAGCTTATGTGGAGAATCGTGAAGAGGGGGACAGAGGAGGTTCTCAACAGCCTGCAACGCAGGTGATTGTTTCTAGATTATCTTGTGATTTGTTAATGTTATCTAAATGCTAGGAAAATGAACACTCATACACATCGGTTTCTTTGATGTTCTCAGTACTACATGACTATACAGTTTTTATGGTCCTTATATTCGGCTAGCATGACTTTGTTTGGTGAAATAATGGTGAAGACAATTTGACAGTTAGTATTCCCGAAACAATGAGCAATGGAGAAGTTTGCCATAAATATGTACCTTATCGAAATTTGTAGAAAGTTCTTGTTACCTTTTACCCTGTTCAATGCGGAGAAAGTGTAGAAGCTGGGAATGGAGGGCATGAAATGACCATGTAAGTGCTGAAACAAGATGAATTATGAGTGAACCTGCATAAAATCAGAAAAGTGAAACAAATTGGTTGATTGCAGATCATAATAAGGAATAAAAATCATTAGTTAGATCTGAGGATAGATCACTGTCATGAAGAATAGATCTGAGGATATGCGGTAAGTATTAGATTGCAGGATAGATCACAGTCATGAAGAATAGATCTGAGGATATAAATGTAATACCTATGGCTGATCGGCTTAATGAGTAGAGGAATCAGCAGAATTGTCTGCTACTCAATTTATGTAGCTGCAGAATAAGTATATCTGATTTGGTTTCGCAGTTGATGAAAATGCAATTCTCTCTGCGTTAGTTTTTCTAATGATATAGGAGGGTAACTATTTTATTGGCTGAGTTTTGTGTAGATCTCTTTGAAGGTTTGTATATTGGTTCTGGAAGGAAAAGAAGATTCAGGTGGACTGGGAGCTTCTCTGTACTTCCTTCTTTTTCTTTATAATTAAAAATGAAAATAGAGGCAGAGGGAGGGAAGGAGGGAGGGATAGAGAGAGGGCAGAGAGAAAGGGAGGGGGATTAGGGGAAAGTGTGAAGAGTGTTTTGAGCATGGTTGTATGTGGTCTCTACTGTCAAGATTGCTTCTATTTATTTCTGATTGCTATCCTCGTTTTCGTCGCCTGATTGATATCCTTGTTTCTATCGCCTTTTTTTTAAGTGGTCAAGATTACTTTCTCTTTTATTTTTATATTTCTGCTTGTGATCCTCATTTCAATCGACTTTTTGTAGTGTTAGCTTGTTCTTGAGAGAAACTATTGTCCAGTACTGCCTTCGGTTTCATGAGTTGGTGGTGGGGGAGTGTAATACGTTTCCTACTATATAATCCAAATAGATGTTCGTAATCTCACTTGTATGAAACGACAAATTTACTTGAAGCTCAGTTCTTTTCATGCATGCTTGAAAGACACGTGCAAGTTGGCTCTCCAGGTCACACCATTTGGGGAACCTCAATTTAGAGCCTGATCTGAATTTCTCTCAACTGTTTTTTCTTGTTTGTTGATTTTGTGTCTCAGTCTTAAAATGTTAAAACTGGTGAAATCAATTATAACCTTTGTTGCTTATTTTAGTGGTGTGATTGGGAACCTGAATATAAACAGTATTGCCGGTCCAATCTTAAAGTGCTCTTTTTGTGGGCTTATTTTTTGGGCCATATATAGTAAGTGAATTTTATGAACGACTAGATACTTCTAATAATTACTATAATGGTTGTATTAATCAAATAGTAATTACTGTAATGGTTGTATTAATTAAATAAACTATCTGTAGTAACTTCTTCTTCTTTGTAGGATTTCTTCTTGATGGGCGGGGGGAAGCGGAAAAGGGATGAGTTTCCTTCACAATACCCCAATGGTGGTGGATACATACCACAGCAAGATGGGGCCAGTGGTAGCATTTCAGATGAAGTCAAGGTTGGTTTGTTTGTTTTTTCCCCCCTTTCTCTTCCCATAGTATGTTATGTTTTGTTACGTGTAATTTTGAGTAGTTTGCGTACCATTAAGTTTTCTAATGCATCCATTTAAAGCAACTTAAAGTTAACAAAGTGAAAAATGTTTGGGCAGATAATGTCTTAACTTCCTTTTCTGTCAAATTCTAGGTTTCACTCATATTAGTAAATTCACTCTATGTGCTTGCATATTTTTGAATCATCAGACTATCTGGCTGTTAATAGTGTAAAGTACCCGAGTCTAAATAGGACTGTTGGCCCTTATCCAAAAAGGTCTGTCTCTTATAAACTAGTAGTAACCTTGTGTGCACTTGGTGATAAAATGCACCACTAATTTCACATTAAAATAAAAAATAACTTTTCTTTTCTCAAATCATGGTGTTACTCTTAAGAGCTCCTTCATTGCCATCAAATCTTCTTGTTAATTTTATGTTCTGTAGTAGTTGAACTAATTAACTTTCGTAGTTACTGTAGTAGTTGAACTAATTAACTTTCGTAGTTAGTGTACTGAGTTTTATACATTTGTAACTTTCCACTTCTACGGTAAGTGTCTGTTGTTTTCTCGAATCATGGTGATACATTCAGAGCACCTTCATTGCCTGTATTATTCCTTTTTTTCTTCTGCATTTCAATTTGTGGAGGGAGTTGTTAACTTCTTAATTTTGCTTTATTAGTTCCAGTTAATTTTGCTTTGTTAACTTCTTAGTTTTGCTTTATCATTAAATGTTCAAATTGGTGTTCATATCATCTTAGGTTGGCTTTGGGAACAGTGCTCTGAGTCTGGGCAACAGTGCCACTTCTGGGGCAGGGACATCTATTCGAGAAGGAAGATTGTTTTCAAACGCATCTCAACTGGACGGTCCAATAGCTGATCCATATGATGATGAACTCTCAACACCTAGTGTAAGAATTGATTCCTGTCTTTCAGATATTATATTTTATGTTGGTAGAACGGATGTTATATTTTCAATACAAGGTCAGGCTTACTGTTAACAAACATATGTGGAGTTATATTTGTAGTTTCAGCAAGATTAAAATCTAGTTCCGGAAACTTCAGCTTTTTGAGGGTTTCAGTTCTTATATTGTTGGCTTTTGGATGTGAATATTGTGGTATTTCATTTTTGGTCCTGCTGGTTCCCATTACTGAGCATATTTATGAGACCTCTGGTGTGCAGAATGATTGTTGGATAATCTTGTGGTAAAGTCAATGATATTGGAAATCAGAGAAAGTTAGGGGTTAATTGTTTGAATAAGTGACAAATGTAATCGTAAATGTGGTTAGCGCCTTCATAATGCATCATTCATAGAACTCTCTGACGAATGAATAATCTTTCCAAAGTGCTCTGTCTGTCTTCTCTATATTTTTGTTGGAATTGTTGCTCTTTTTTGATACTTTATGGTTGTTTGCCGACTAAAGAACTGTCAGCTTTTTGATGATTACCATAAAATTGGTGCAAATTTATTTTTGCTAGTCTTCTTCACTAGGCATTATTTCGAGAGTGAATTGGACGTTTTTGTGGTGCACATCGATGTTTGCAGAAACTGCTTTATATTGATTTTTGTAGTGGACATTTTATCTTGTAAATGGCTGAAAAGAAGAAAACCCGCATGCTAGTCTCATATCTTCTTATTAGATGTCCTACTCATTTCTCTGGAAAAATTGTCCTGTCTTCTGCTGGTAAACTATCTCTGTCGAGCATTTCTGCATTCTCTCTGAGACATAAGCATCTGTAATTTACTGGTTGCTGTTACTTTTAGTTTTTCCATTTCAATTCTCCACCTGCTAGGTTTATATTCACTTGACATGTTTGATTATTCCTTTTCCATAGATATACAATTATCAAGGGGCTGCCAATGAAGATTACAACATTGTGAATACACCTGCAACAAATGGTAACCTGAAATTCTTAGTGAACCAAGTCAGAAGGGGTTGTCTTCCGTATCTGATTTGATCTTTTTTTTTTTGTTTGGTTGACTCTTTTAGAAATACAAGCTGCTACTCCTGCTGCTGCTATCCCAAATGACATTCCTGATGATGACGACGATGAACCATTGAATGAAGATGATGATGATGATGAGCTGGATGATGTGGAGCAAGGGGAGGATTTAAATACAAGTCACTTGGTGTTAGCTCAATTTGATAAGGTATACTTGGCTGGACTCTTTTTTTTTTCCCCTTGGTCGATTATTTATTTATTTTTTTGGTTAATATGAAATTGCGATGACAGAATACATTACGATTCATGTTTGATCTCTTCCAATTATCGATTCCTCTGATTTTCCGTTGTTGTTATATTTGATTTTATAGGTGACACGGACCAAGAGCAGGTGGAAGTGCACTTTAAAAGATGGTGTGATGCACATTAACAACAAGGACATACTTTTCAACAAGGTAAGTTGCGGGCATTCAGGATATAGATGGTTAATTTTCTCCCCTTTTGGTACTCATGTGTACTCACATTGTGGATATTTTTCTTCTTAATTCAGGCAACGGGAGAATTTGAGTTCTGAGTCTGCTGTTGGCAACAACTTCCATGGGTTTTCCCTTGAACAAAAGCAAAATCAGAAGTAGCTGGTAGTTTTGCTCAATATATGTCTTTGGTGTTGTTGCTGTTGTTAGGTGGTTAAAACTTGGGAGAGGAGAACGATGTGTTTGTTGTTAGGGAGGCCTTTTTACTACTTACTATATGAATGTTTATCCGTTCTTTACTGGATATAACTTCGCATCTTTTTTCTTGTGAAGAACTTGTCTGACATTTTGGTCAATCCCATATTAGAATTCGTAAAACCCTATGGTTTTCCAAATTTGTGGGCGTGCAAGGACCTATTAGATCTTTTTTCCTGTACAGCGAAATGCCTTTCAAGAGCGTTTTTATTTCTTCTCACAAGTGTCTCTTGATGACAATTTATAAGCTTTCGAATTTATAAAATATTAACCGGTCGTTCTTCTTTGCGAATTTCTGGTTTCATTAAGATTGAAATTAAAAAGAGCAAGGTAACGACAATACAAAAGTGATAAGAAGGGGATAAACCAAGGACAAAGCAAAATGATAATCCTAGTATAAATACACGTTTTCAACATGAGCAAAAGAGTATGAAGCTGAGCGCTAAACTGCGCGCTATCGAGCTGGTGGAATCCTGTTTTCACTGAGTTGGGTTAACAAGCGAACATTGGGAATGGAAGAGGGCGAACAGCTTTGGAGGTTCTGCAGATGCCGCCGGGTGTTGCCACGCACCGAAAACCGGCGTGGGAGGGCCCTGCACCTGATCAACCATATCTTGTGCTCCCATTATAATGTCGGTTGCTCTGGCAAACACCGGTGCTGCAGAATCAGCTTCCGATTCAAGACGCGGCGGCGGGGAGTCGAGGAAAGGGGATAACAGAGCAATGGGAGATAACAAAGGGATTGCACCGAGGGAGGAAGGGGAAGAAGAGGCATCAGAGGAAGAACCGGAAGAAGAATGATGCCCTTTGGTGGTGGAGCCAGTTCTGATGGCATCAAGACGAAGAGCTGCCGGTGCACATTTCTGTAACCTGGATGGCGACTTCCCTGCAGCCATGGAAGGTTTAGATTTTGATTTGGGCAGGTGGGTCTCCATTGCTTTCCTCTTCCGTTCCCTGTTGGCAAAAACCCGGCAGAACAAAGGTTGGAGAAAACGGAAAAAATGGAATCAGAAGTAAGGTTGGAGATGATGGAAGGAGTGCGTGTGTGTGTGTTGTGGTTTAAGGGAGGTAGAGAGAAAATGGAGGATAATCACACAGATGATGAGGGAAACAAACAAGAAGAATATAACTACAAAAAAACGTTGGTAGGAAAAGAAGAAGAAGGAAAAACAGAGGTGATGAGGAGATGATGAGATTCTTGTCTTGAGGAGCGCAAAGTATGGGGATCGGTTACGCTACTATTAAGACAACGCACGAGACAGGTGAGGAAGGAGTATGACATTGTGACAAAATAACATTACAGATAAAAATTGAAGGTGTAAGATTAACATTTCTTTAACTACATCCGTTTTCTTTTACATGTAATGTAACGGTTGTCACGTTAACTGTTTTAAGCACTTTGAAAGTAATTATCCAGTTTGCATGTAATGTAACGGTTGTTGTAACATTATCCAGTTGTAGAGTAATATGAGCACAATAGCATGCACTCCTTCCATTCCAAAATAAATGTCGTTTTAGCAAAATAAAGAAATTCCAAAATAAGTGTCGTTTTCACATTTCAATGCACTTTTTGTCAAAAATTTCTAAAATTATCCTCAATAGAGTTGATGCTATTGGTGGACGATTTTATAATGGAATTGGTTGAGGATATTCAAGTAATTTTATTACCCTATTTAAGAGTTTATTAAACTATGTGTAAAGTGTATGATGACACTTATTTTAGAATGGAGGGAGTACCAATTAAATTAGAAAATATGGTCTATTTATTACTGTATGTGATACCTCTCACATGAAATGTTATTTTAAAACAGTCTAAAAATTCAAAACTTTGTGAAGCACTGATTCAATATCCTAAAACCAATAAAGCACAAACTTTTGACTCTTGAACAATAACTAGACACAACATTTTTTATGTGTCCAAACATCTCTCCCCTATTATCGTTAATCGGACAGCCTTTGAGAATTAAGATTGATTGTGGTCTTATTCAAAAAAGATTGATTATGATTAATAAAGTCTATAAAATAAATATAAAAAAGTCACACAATGAGGAAATGAGAGATATGTTGGGTTGGGTTACTACTGCACAAGCATGAATGCACAAAAAAATGGGCTAGGCTCTCACTCTGCAAGCCCAATAATTGGCCCAAAGAAAAGTCAAACGTAAAGTTTCTATCACAAAATCAGACCACAAGAATACAAAAATAAAAATGAATGAATCATAGCGCTAATTCTTGCCTAGTTCATCTTTCTTCAGTCTATCTGTATGGCTGCAAATTCATCATCATGAGGGGGTCAATCAACCCATCAATCAATCAATCGATTCATTCCCACTCCCCTTTTCGGACACGAGTATGCAAAGTGCGTATTCATAGCAAAATGACGAGAAGAACAATCTTACTGTAAAATTTTCTACCCAGAAAACTGGGCATTTTTCTTCTAACACTACTATAACAGTTGCAGTAGTTCCACTTCATAGTTCATACCACTGATCATCTTATACAGTTGATCGTCATTGCGTTGAATCTGAATTGAGAAATGTCCTGTGCCACTTTTATTCATCCTTTGTTCAGTGCCAAACTTTCACATTCACCATGGCAACTAGCTTCTTCATCACTTCATCCTTCCAAAAAGTCACGTGCACTTCTCTGTAGCCAATTGAATAGCAAAAAACCCTCTTCAGAATGCAAATCTATTTGGGCTAAGGGTTCAAGATTTCCACCCAGTCTTGCGGTAAAGAGAGTGACTTTGTTGGCCACTGAGAATAGGTTCAGATCAAAGGTATTTTTTTTTCATTATTTTTTTTTAACTAGGGAATTTTGTGGTTATTGCCATATGATCGGAGTTAATTTTGTGGTTATCGTCATGGGATGTTTGAAATTCCATGGATAATGATTAATGGTGGTGTTTCTGTTGTTGATTTGGGTATCATATGAATGGAAGGTTGGAGCAACAACAGGGGAAGGAGGACAGTCTCTTGATTCAGAAGCTGCAAGTCAAGAGGATTTTGCTTGGTCTTCTGTTGTTTTACCGTAAGTCATTTGGTTTCATATTGTAATGCATTTGGATGCTCCATTCTGGTGCATTCTTTTGGGGTGATTGCTTGACATTGGACTCCTGAATTTGATGCATTTTGCATCCTCTGATGGGAGGAGAAAGTTTTTCTTAGTCCAACATTTTCAGGTTACAATGGGAAAAAAGTTTAAAATGATGTACTAATATAGTTTACATTGCTATGTGATTTTAGTCTGGGCAAATCAGAACGAGTAGGTGGAAACAATTCCGACAACTATATACTAGTTCATACAACTAACATGTTCCTGAGATCAAATATGTCGAAACACAGTTGACCTTATAAAGTTTTATCTATTACAAGCTTGTCGCATTTGTGTCAAATGACAGATTCTTGTTCCCAGCTCTGGGGGGTTTGTTATTTGGTTATGACATCGGTGCAACTTCTGGCGCGACTATCTCTTTGCTGGTAACCTTTTACTGTCATCACATTCTTCAGCTAAATCTATATACTTCTACTAGTTTTTTACTGTTCTAAACATCTCTACTCCTTTCATTGATACTTTTTTGCAGTCACCTGAGCTCAGTGGCACCAACTGGTTTAACCTTTCACCTGTGGAGCTAGGCTTAGTGGTACACTTTTATACTCATTATTCTGTTTCACATTTGAGTGTTCTTATCCTATAGAATCGAAGTGCGTGGTAATTTCACTTTTTTCTAAATTTTAGGTCAGCGGTTCCCTATATGGAGCTCTTCTTGGCTCTCTCCTTGTTTATCCGCTGGCAGATTTTCTAGGTATGCTTCTAAGGTCATCATCCATCTACTTAATTGGTAATTACTGAACTGTCTTTGTTGCTTTTATTCATGAAGGTAGGAGGAGGGAGCTGATCACGGCAGCCATTTTGTATGGACTTGGTGGTGCTTTAACTGCATATGCCCCTGGTTTAATGGTTCTATTATTTGCACGGCTTGTGTATGGCCTCGGAATAGGCTTAGTAAGCTCTTTGACATTGAACTCCTGAATTGTATTCAAGATTCCTAATATGCTGAAGTTTTTGACACACATTCTGATCAGTTTGTTCTGACAGGCAATGCATGGCGCTCCTCTGTACATAGCAGAAACTTGTCCATCACAAATTCGTGGAACATTAATATCTTTAAAGGAGCTGTTCATAGTTTTGGGTATACTGGTACTTCTGCATTGATGACTGGAGAAACATTTTATATTTGCTAAAGAACACTGGTGGTGCTTAATTGTTTTTCTTTTTTTGCCTGCAGCTGGGTTACTTTGTTGGCAGCAATTATATTAACACCATCGGAGGGTGGCGTTTCATGTACGGTCTAAGTGCTCCAATTGCTTTGTTAATGGGGTTTGGTATGTTGTCGCTTCCACCATCTCCTCGGTGGTTACTTCTGAGGGCAGTTCAAGGTAAAGGGCTTCTGCAAGAATACAAGGAGAAGGCTATAAATGCTTTGGGAAAACTAAGAGGGCGACCTGCTGGTGATAAAATTTCTGAACAGCAGATAGAGGAAACCCTTGTCTCATTGAAAACGGCTTACACAGATCAAGAATCTGAAGGGAGTTTCCTGGAAGTGTTTCAGGGTCCTAGTCTGAAAGCATTCATCATAGGTGGAGGTTTAGTACTGTTTCAGCAGGTGATTGATCTAGCCTTTTAGCTCCCTTAGCTCTATAACCAATATCTGATACTCCGTATTTGGTTTTAATTTTTTCTTAATAATGAGAATTCCTTATTAAAATTCACTACAATGTTTTTCATTTTAGATAACTGGTCAGCCAAGTGTTCTGTATTATGCTGGTTCAATTCTCCAGGTAATTTAAACTGGTGATTAATATCTCTATTCTTGTTCATGCAAACTCAATATCTTTTCTGCTCTTCACTCTGGATCCTATTAATCATATATTTTGTTTCAAGACGGCTGGATTTGCTGCGGCTGCTGATGCTACTCGAGTTTCAGTTGTTATTGGTCTATTTAAGGTATCTTTAATCTGGTCTTAGAAAATAATTCATTTTTCCTGTGGAAAGGAAATAACGACCTCCATCTCCTGCTCTTTTTCGCAGTTGCTGCTCACTGGAATTGCTGTTCTCAAAGTAGATGATCTTGGACGTAGGCCATTACTAATTACTGGCGTTGGTGGACTTGTAAGCTTTAACAGCCATGGCAAATTTTCCTTGTTGTTTTTCATCAGAATGCTATTCTTCGTCCTTTACACCTGTGGTGATTTATATTTCTTTGTGTCAAATGGACCTCAGACCTTGTCGTTGCTGCTTCTTTGGGCTTATTACAAATTTCTAGGGGGTTTTCCTTTAGTCGCTGTGGCGGCTCTACTTCTATATGTTGGTAGCTATCAGGTAAACATAATTTCGAATTTTCACTCATGTTAAACGGGATATCTTTCTTATGAATGCAACTCACAATGCTACTTTCCTATCTTAAATATCATTTGACATCTCTTGGTAATTAGCTCATTGACTTTTGATGTAATTAGGTGTCATTTGGGCCTATCAGTTGGCTTATGGTATCTGAGATATTTCCACTACGAACAAGAGGAAAAGGGATTAGTCTTGCTGTTCTAACAAATTTTGGTTCAAATGCTATAGTCACATTTGCTTTCTCTCCTTTGAAGGTGATTAAACTGTTAACCCTCCTCCTCCCCCGCCTCGCGCCCCCCCACACCGCAAGAAAAAAAAAACCTCTGAAAATACTTTTCCCCGCCCCTCACTTCTGAAGTCATTTAGGGCTTTAGGCTAACATTCTCTCTTCCTGCAGGAACTTCTTGGAGCTGAGAATCTTTTTCTTCTATTTGGAGCGATTGCTTTGCTATCACTTTTGTTTGTGATTGCTTATGTTCCGGAGACAAAAGGCTTAAGCTTGGAGGAAATTGAATCAAAAATCTTGAAGTGAAAAGCTTCAGGGGTGACACAACTTTATTTCTGCAATAAGCTAACTTTCTGTTTCTTATTTAATCTCTGGTCAGATTGCTGCAGTGACTACTTGGAACCCATATGTGGCTGTTTGCATGTACGTCTATCTTTACACAGAGCATGTCAACGATTGCATTGTGTTTTCTTTAATGTTGCATGGATTAATTCCATCCAGTAAGCGAGAATTAAAGAAACTTTGGATAATATGGTCAATGTAAACTTAAGAAGTCAACTCTTATTTCAAGTTTTAGTTGATAACAGAAATTGATGCATTAGCAGAGTAAATTATACAGAGATCTCCAAGTGGTCATGGAGATCAGTTCATTCTGTAGTAATGTACATATGCCACATGAAAAAATTTCCCTTCGGCTAATTGCTGCTTTGCTCTTTACTAAGATTTTCATTCTCTAATGCCTAAGTTGATACTATTCATCATTTATTGTTTAATCAACAGTTGCATCATAAACTAAGCCTAGAAATCTAAATAGTTCTGTTCAGCTGCAATCACTGGTTACTTACCCAGTATGGCCTAAGACAGAGATTTATCGACACTGAAGATTCCAAAATTCCTACTTTACTTTTTTTCTGTTTACCATGGACTATATAAAATTTGCTAAAATGTGGAATGGGGAAGTATCAGAGTGAGTAATCTGTAGCTGGTCGACTTAGAGTTGGTTGTCGTCAGTTAGCCTGGAGTATCCTTCCATGAGTTTGTTCTTCATCAACTACAATAAGAATGAACTGGTTAGAGATGAAGAACGACATTATCAAAAACATTACAAATAGCAATCATTTTTGCAACATTGGTTCTGTTAGTGGAACTGGACAAGTAGCTAATGTTGAATTTTGTCTCGAGAAGCAAGCAATTGGAAAACTTCCTGCTCTTATTGCTATCATCAATTTCCAGAAGCCAACATCCATAAAAAAAAATGCAAGGTGTGTTTAGAAACTAACCTTCTTGTACATTAGTGGATATTGGAAATGAAGGTGATGAGGTTGCATTGTTAAGGACATGGACATGGGCTGATAAGCTTTTACTGCGAGCCATGGATGCATTTGTCGATCCATTGGCTTTGCTGGAGAAGATAAAATTTGGTGTTTGAACTCCTTTTTTGGAGGAAACAGGAGTGTTTGATGACGATTTGGACACCTTGGATTGTTCTCCCAAAGAGTTTGTGATGTGAGCAGCAGGGTTACCTGTGGACGAATGTACTGTACTTTTTGTTTCTGGAGTTAGAGGATTGTGATATGATAAGTTTTTGGCCTTGATTGTCTCAGTAGAGCTAGAAGTTGAACTAAAGGAGATGGGGATATAGGGCGCATTCTGATTTCTTGAGGAGACAGATTTTGGTGATGGAACTTGTTTTTTGAGAGATCTTGGAGAGCTTGATGAAGAGGATGTTATCTTAATTGCCCTCACGGAGGGCTTATCGATAGAGCGCCCTCTTCCAGGAACGAGAATGTCTGCCAATGAAGGTGCGTTGGCAGACGAGATTGAATTTGATGATACAACTTTGTTATTTGTAATAACTCTGAGATTGTTTGATGATGGATCTGTTTCCTTAATAGCCTCTCTAGGAGAGGTTTGTGATGGTGACTTTGACCCATTTGGCGATATTTGCGATGGTTCATCATGTCGAAGAAATGAAGTTACAGCCTCCCGTACTTTCTCCACCACACCCATTTCACCAGGGGATTTCTTTGGACTAATTGCCTCAGAAATGGCCAGAGAAAGTGCGATGTCATCTTCACCAGGCTCCAACTTGTTCATGAAGTACTCCCTCACAGAAACACCTTTATCCCATTTTTGTGGACTTCTAGTAGTACCGTGGGGACTAATTTGTGAGCTCCTGGAATGTTGTTCAACATTTGGATGTGTTTGTGGTGGGTGCTCCTGATCAGGGATTGAAATAGTCAGGCCTGCAGCAATCTTAGAAGCAATTGTATGAGTTGCATCAGAGACTGCAGCATATGCTGGTGCTAATTTCTCTGACATGGTTTCGGTTATAGTCTTGTTATGTACAACAGGTTTATCTTTATCTTTATCTTCATGTCCAACTTCATAATCATCTTCATGTTTAATGCCTTTTGGGGATATATGACTAAGAGAAAGGACAGGATTGGCCCGTGGATGTTGCCTTGCCGCTTCTTTCAAAGATTCTGGAGCTAGTTCTGATTCATACACTGAAGATCAAAGCCAAAGGATTAGGTGCAAGGAAGCCAAAACAAGGAATACATTTGGAAAAATGTGGAAAATCAATCAATATGAATGCATTTAGATGCAAGGAAAAAAACACAAGGGCCATTCGCGGTCTTACTTGGAGCTCCAAAATATTCAGGATCTTCATCGATTTCATCTTCTTCATCTTCCAAACTAACACCCCAAGAAGGTGTACCATGGCTGTCAAGCATCTCATTTCCGTTCTTCTTCTTCACGATGAACGACTGGCGGATTTTCTTAGCCCTCTCTCTCACTCTTGCGAGCATTGACTTCTTGCTGCTGTTAGGGCTCAGAGCTTCCTCATGGTCGTGGTGCCTTGCAACAGGTGAGGTACTATATTGGCATGCAGCCTCACCTAAGCGAAACGTCAAAAAGTATAAAAATCGAGCGCCACCCGGGTGGCGATTTCACTAGCACATGAGAAACAAAACCAGGAACAAAAAAAGAGGAAAAAAAAAAAGACGATTGCTTTGTGTTTACCTTGAAGGAGCTGTTGAAAGGTTGGAGAATAAGGACTTTTTGGAGTCCTCTCAAGGGATTTTCGACCTCTTTCCAGTTGGGCCATTTGCCAAAGAAGCTCTAAATTTCCCCTAAAAGGTTGTAGTTTTCTTTTTGATGAATTCTTCTACCTAATTCGTATTCTAGTTATTTGTTTTATCAACCATACTTTCATTAAAAATGGCAAATGTATACGTTTCACAGACAAAGTTATTCGTCAATGCATGTCTTGCGGATTCCTTGTGGACTTTACAAAACCATAGTAAGAGGTCACCAGAGATCATGTAACCACCATCAAAATTTGACTGAAGGGAGTCATTTTTCCACGTATTACTGCTCTTTTGTGTCTTTCGGCTCCAAAATTGGTTCATCAAATATTGACTCCTTTTCCCAAAAAAATAAAATAAAATAAAATGAGTCTGTTACTATTAAGACGAGGTTGCGAATTGGCCAATGCAGATCAAAATCGGATTTAATGAGAACGAATTTGATATAAAAGATTGAATACACTTAACAAGTCACAAACTTGTGCAAACATTTTATCAACATGAAATCATTGAAGAAAATAAACCAGGTTAAAATTTAACCAGAAATCCTACCCTACAAAGAAAAAAAAAGAAAAAAAAAAAGAAGCTATCCAACCTTCTTTTGGCCAAATCATTCCATCAACATAAAAGTTTCAGATGTTCTAGTAATGTCATATCCAGCTAGAACCAGGCTTTTTCATCACTTGCCTGTCAAACATCAGCTTGCGCACGCCTTCAGCATCATTCCAATTACCTTCCCGGGCTAAGATATTTGCAAGGACTACATAAGTGGCAGGGTCAGACGGAGAAATCTCCACAAGCCTTCTTGCACATCGCGTGGCAATTTCCTTGTTGCCGTAAACCTGGCAAGCACTTAGTAAGGCTTTTAACATGGGAGCTTTGGGGTTCATTGGCATGTCATTGATGAATGCCTCGGCTTGTTCAAGATAACCAGCCCGGCCACAGAGATCGACAATGCAAGCATAATGCTCTAGATTAGGCGGTGGAATGGAAGAATCATTCTTCATCAGCTCAAAATACTGGAGCCCTTTCTCAACCAACCCGGAATGGCTACAGGCTGAAAGCACGATTAGGAATGTTGTTAAATTTGGTCTAACCCTGCTCCTCCTCATTTCTTCAAAGATTCTAATAGTTTCCTCGACAAACCCGTGATGAGCAAAGCCTGATAGAAGCGAGTTCCATGATACTACATCATGTTCATCCATCAGTAAGAATACTTTCTTGGCATCACTAAGATTTCCGCATCTTGAAAACATGGAAATAAGTCCATTCCTTGCACATAAATCTGAATCGTACCCTCCCTTGATAAGAAGGCTATGGATCTGCTTACCTTCTTCAAGAGCTGATATTGTTCCTGTTGCTTTTAAAACACTTGCATATGTAAAGAGATCGACAGAAATCCCTGCTCGCCGCATTTGGGTGAAGCAATTGAGGGCTTCCTCACCTATACCTAAATTAGAGAATCCAGCAATGACTGCATTCCATGAGATTTGGTCCCAAAACTTTATAGTTGAACAAACCTTAAAGAAATCACCTGTGCTACAACCACACTCTGAATATGCAGTCACTAATGTACATGCCACAAACATATTAGCGTCAAAACCTTCCTGAACTACACGACAATGGATTTCCCTGCAATGATCCAGGTCACCCGGACCACAAAACGAACACAACAAACTATTATACGTGACGTAGTTAGCCTTAACACCAACCCGGAACATTTCCCTGATCAAAATCATGGCGTCAATCGGGAACTTGTTGTGCGCATAACCCGTGATCATTGAAGTCCAGCTGCGAACATTCTTATGAGGCATTCCATCAAACACCCTTCTCGATGCTTCCAGAGAAGAACATTTCGAATACATATCAACCAAACCAGTCCCAACGACCACATTATCCTCAAAACCATTTTTCAAACCCAAGGCATGCAATTGAGCTCCAAGACAGCCATCTTCAAGCTGTGCACTTCCAACCAGAGCCGCTGAAATTCCGTACGGTGTAATAATTTCCCCAGATCTCAGCATATCAATGTATAAGCACATCGCCGTGGTCGGACAAAGAGTTTCCAAATAACCGGAAATCAAGGAATTCCAGGTCACGTGATTTCTTTCAGGCATTTCATCAAACAAGAGCTGACCCATCTCCACCTTGACACATTTACAGTACATATCGACCAAAGCGCTATTGATGTAAACGTTTGAAGTAAATCCCGCTTTAATAACGTGGGCTTGAATCTGAATTCCGACGAAATATGAACCCAATTTGGCACAGGTGGAAATGACTCTGTTGATTTCACGGGGGAAGCATAAAAACCCATTTCGCTGTAATTTAGCTAAATGTCTTAAATTTACATGAGAGTTCGATTGATCGTCGTTTTCGTGAATCTTGAAGGCTTCAATGGTAGAGGGAGGAATCAAAATTTCTGGGCTGTGGATATGGTGATGGTGAAGGATCGTAAAAGCGCGGGAAAAGAAAAGAGTGGCGAATTTCGGAGGGTGGGTTAAGGTGCACCGGAGATGAGATGCAGGTGATCCCAATCTCATTTTCTAACCCATTTTTGCATTCTATGGTGTCATTTCCATGCTTTACTATTCAATCACTCTCACAAACTTATTGTCACGTATCCTTTAAAAAAATTAATAATAATAATTTACTTTATTGTGTCATTTATTTCGTACAAATTATGTCATTTTTTTTTAAATACTAGTGAGAAACGATAATATATTTTGGGTCCAAAAGAGTACAATGACAATACCACATTAAATTAATAATCACATTTTCATTAGTGTCAAACTCGTCCCCATAAAGCAATATGTAAATGATAATTATTACTACCGTCTTGTAAAGTTTTCGGTGAGGTTAGTGTACATGAGTTGTAATCTAAAATTATTCATCATAAACTAAATTTCATGTACATTTCATAATCAAACTAATAACAACAAAAAATTTATTTCTAAAGTTCCCAAACTTGGAAATTTAAGACTATTTTCGGAATTTTAGAAAACTTATAAAATGAGTTTCCTCTCATTTTATTATTTTTTTTTTCATATTTCCAACCCAAAATTTTTACTTTTTAATTTACGCTAAGGCTCCGTTTGGTTGGATTGAATTAGGATTGAATTGGAATTACAATTGCAAATGAGATATTAGGATTATAATTCAATATAATTCCTTTGTTTGGGAGATCTTAAGAATTGAGTATAATTAAGATTTTAATACCAATTCTTGCGTTTGGATGTTTAGGAATTTAGATAGTTCTAGAATTGAATCTAATGTTGGGCTTGCATATTTTGAACAACGGACATTGACTTTTTTTTATTGACCAATCATACTACAATGAGTTAGATTTCGACTCTGCCACATTTTAATACTAATGTTGGGCTTGCATATTTTTAAAACAGTGTCTTCAAAATGAAAACTAGAATTTTGCCGAAATCGAAAAGCTAAGCGGTGTCAAAATGAAAACAAGTGTCGAAGGAAGACATAAAGCAAGTTGATGAAGAAGAAAAGAAACAATTGTTGATCGTTGACAACCATTAATTACCCTTATGGAGCTGCACCATAAGCCATCGTTGTTTCATTTCAACTGTTGACAACCCAACAAACGTGTCATATAATCTCGATTGTCCATCATCAAATCTAGGGCTTTGAAGGTTTGCATCTCGTCTAAGGAGACTACCTTCAATGCTTCAAGTATATCTTCCGGTGTAGCTTTTTTGTAGCAACCAATATTTGTCTCTCGATCACCATAAACTCACCAAAGTTTTCAGCAATTTGCTTCATGAAACCACACATTATATTTGATGAACTCGGTTTCTTGTTCATACCTTGAAAAGTAGAAGAAGATGCAGCTTCTTTTCTCTTTGATATCCCATCATAAGTCTCATGATCTCATCTTCCTCGCAAGTCTCAAATGGATCTCCCAAATTAACAGATTCCCCTACTGTTTCTTCAAAGATTCATCTCCCTAAGAGTGTGGCCACCTTGCCCATTAGCACGGTCTTGTGAGAAGATTGTGCAAATTTCTTCCCAATTCTCAACTATAATCTTCCTTCTATAGGGTGCAAGTTTAGGGTTTGCCTTCAAAAGAAAATTTATAAATCGAATGTAATGAGCAACCATGCATCAAACAACCACACGAAATTGGAATTGCGGTTTCTTCCTTATCATGGCCTCTAAGTTGTGTACATTTTCGATCATTCCAAACAAAATCCAAATTTGTAGCTTCCGGCTAGCCAAAAAGCAAAAGTATATATAGACTCTTTATTCCATTATTTCATATTTTGGGTGTCACTAGTGAAAAGCAGCCAGAAAATAAAGCGGAGAAACTACCCTAAACAATTATATCCGTTCATAATGCCATTCAAAAGTGAAACATCCAAGAACAAAAAGCGAGAAACTATCAAAACTTATGCCTATTAGATTATGCATGGAAAAAGGGATGTCATACAAACCGAGACCTCAATATTGAAAATAGAGTTACCTCTACACGTTCGTTCCACACATTCTCATCATGGACCTCAACTCTTCCCTTTGAGTAATCCCATGTGATTGCGAACCGGAGTTGCAAGAAACCAGTAAAGGCTGCAAAGTCTCATAATGCTTTTCCCAAGTCTTCGACGAGACAAAATCTTTTTCTTATCTACTCTTACCTGTAACTTGTCGGCAAGCGCATTAATAGCAGTTGTCCAGAAGTATTCTTCCACGCACATTTCCCATCCAATTTTTCCCTTGTTTCATTTGTTCAATGAAACACTCCCCAGAACCTTATCCATTTCGGGGTCCATGTGAAGTATTCTTTAACCTTTCCTTTCCCTTTGGAAGGGGATGGTGCTTGTGAATGAGGAGCCATCTCGAGAGCTTGTATTACTCGGTGGACAACAAAATTAGCAACAAGGCAATAGTGTTGAGACAACCTACAAATGTAAGGAAGAGCAACACGTTATCATGCTGGAACAAAAGAAGAAACTAGTTTTGCTTAAAGAAACAAAAGTTCGATCATAGGATTATACGATTGCTTACGCTTGCTTAATTAAAAATGGTTATGTATCCTAGTCTTATACAGATTGCCTTGTTTGATATGTTCCTAATTTCCAACTGCTACCGTCTACATCAACTAAGATCATTCAATCCTACACTTAATTTAATAGCATGCAGATGCGTCTTAACCCAAGACTTCTCATTGGGATCAAATTGGATCTCCAAAATTTCCATTATTGGAAGAGAATACATCAAAGTAAAAGCAACGCAAAGAACTCCCTTTCCAAGTACAAATGGAAGATAGCAGAAAGGAAAAAGTTTCACATTGTTAGTCTCAACCACTACTATCACATTTGCGAAACAAACTTTTACTCTAGAAAAGAAATGGAGAGCTAGAACCTTAAAACAGCTTAATAACAAACAAGACAACTCAATCTCATTTTAAGCTATCCGACAAAGGCGTGTTCTCTCAAAAGAACATCCCGACTCCGCCCTTACAAATATTCAATGGAAGAAAGCAATACATTGCATCTTATACATTACAAGCAAAGTTCAGTCTTTGCTCATTCAAAATAATTATACACAGTGTCCGGCACTATGTTTGAACTCATCAGATCTGCTCTGTAAGTTTAAAGAGAATACGAATCGATACTCATGCAAAGAACATATTTGGAGCTGATTATCATTACAATATCAATAAACCAGGGAGGCTGAATGTAGCCAAATGTCATTCAAATATTCACTTGCGATGCCGCAATTCAGTTTAACTATACGAACAACAAAGACATTCTTATTACTAGCATCTAAGATTGCTTGTGTGTCTTGTTATTCCTACCTTAATCAGCCTATACATATATCCTGAAATGTAAACTAGAATCCAACGAAAAGCGGTGACCTTATTAAGAGACAAAATTGTAGAAAATACGATTTTTTTAACTGAAAATTGTTAAAACACTAAACAGTGAACAAAATTCCTAGAAACTGAGCACAGATATGAATCATATGAGAGTTCATCACACATCAGAAAGAACACATCTTTACGCAACATCTATTAGTGTCTCAATAACCATACAATGCTCAGTAATATCACAAAACAAAGGTACCATTCACATTGCAGTTAACAGTGTACTATTCACTATGAATTAGAGAGAGTGCAACAGCCAGCATTGCAACAGTATTGCATTGCAAGTACAATTTAGTAACAATTACAGGATACATCTATTTTGATAATCACGAAACATAGCTTCAGCTAACGAATCCCTAAATCGGCTCCATTCATAAGTAGATTGAACTACGTGAATTGGCCGGAGTTACGTGCAAGACCATGCACATGTGGACTGCCTTCTTCATCCTCACCACCATGCACAAAGTTGCGTGTCTTCGCCATCCTCACCACCTTGAGCATCATCATCTTGGTTATTTATAGTAAGAAGCTCCGCATCAACTTCATCCAAGATCGGATCATTCGGAGCTTCTATCCTAATAAGGTTATGCAGCACGATACAAGCATTGATGATTTTCACATGGGTTTTAACATCAAAAAAGGAGACTTCTCTCATGATTTTCCACCGCTTCTTCAACAAACCAAAAGCTCGTTCAACTACATTTCTCGCGGTTGCATGTCGGAGGTTAAACAGCTCTTTGGGAGTTCTTGGGTTGTTACCTCTAGCGGACCACTCGTTAAGATGATAACGAACCCCTCTAAACGGAGCTAAGAACCCTGGTCCATTTGTATATCCCGCGTCGACAAGAAAATATTTTCCTAAAGATTTAAGTGGAGAATTTATTTCCCAATAATCTAAAGGTATGTAAGATAATGAAGAAAAAATGGAAAAAAGAAATCTGTAAATGCAACTTACCCTTGGGTACTACAAAAGGGTCAGTTCTAGTTAAGGAATCGCGCAATACTCTACTATCAGCTGCGGAACCTTCCCATCCCGGCAAAACGTAGGTGAATCTCAAATCACGGGCACACACAGCCATAACATTTGTCGTTATCTCACCCTTCCTATTTCGGTATCTTCCTTGATCTCTTAGTGGAACGGTTAGTTTGATATGAGTGCCATCTAATGCTCCAAGGCGCTTCGCCACCAAAAACCAAAAATGAATCTTAAGATTAATATACTAACTTCTAAACTAACCAAAGAAACACGAACTATGTTTACCTCAAACCACATCCATTTTTCAGCTTCGTGCCCCTCCATTTCTATTTCTTCTTGGTTAACATATTTGATTCCCATTCTTAAAATAGCATTTAACACCATGTTAAATTGACGACTGACTGTCTCCCCTGATCTTATAAAATCGAAACTCACTTTTCGATTCGTCAAATTGAGAGAAAGGACATAGAGAAACATAGCTACTGCTTCTTCCACAGGGACATGAGCTGAATCTCTCAATCCTCCTAGCTCTTTTAGATTAGAGCATAAAACAAGAAACAGTGCTTAGTTAGACGAAGTTGATCCTTACAAACTCTATCACTCCCATAATAGAGTCGCCTAAGGTATATTTGTCGTGCTACAGAGAAGTCCAATCTTGGCTCTTTCACCATATGCTTTTCGTGCCACATAACGGCTATAGCAACTGCAGTAACAACTTGGTGTACGACGAATATTCTTCGCCTCTTTCTTGCGTTATCCTCGTCATCATTACGGGAGAGTTGATAATCCATGTAATCTAATTATTAACCAATAAATAAGTACAACTATTGACTTTTCTAAAGCCATGTAAATGATGCAAAATATATCAAAAGATTCTCTAACAGAATTGCTACAAAAAGCAAAAAGTCTACCATTACAGAAGAGACAAGGAAAGACAGCAAAATCACAAACGTAATACAAACCCACGCTTAAAACCCGAACTTAGACGTAAGACGAACCCACATTTAATATTTCCTATTAACGTAAACAATTTACTGATTAAACCTCAGCAAGCAATATAGCTTTTCAAATGAGCATACATTACCATCAAGTAAAAAATATCCAAGCAACCATGGAATCACAATTAGAGTTTTATTACTACGATCATTTGCCTTTCAACACTTGCTTATGGAGCTGTTCTTCCTGCTAATGAAGGTACATTTATTGACTTGAGGGCTACTACAAAAATGATGTTTTTGATACTATTTTTGCGCACCTCACTATTTGTTTTAGCAAACCATTAAAACAACATTAAAGTACAATAAACAGAGAGGATTTTATCAAAAGACTTCAGAGAAAAAGGTCCAAAAGTCAAGCAAAACAAGCCTCCCAAATCGAAGCTTAAACCAGATTTTATGACAAAAAGTTTAATGATTTCCAGCGATCGATAAGCCGATTCAAACTCAATTTCTGGACAAGCCATAAATCCATTTGACAATCCAAGAAGACTACATTAAACTACACTCAAATTTGAAGAGTTTTCCAAAAAGAAATTCTGAAAAAGAATCAAAGAGCAAAGAGAAATAGGCATGTCAACAGCAGGGTTCTGTTCAGGTTTTTCTGTATTTTTCAGCAGGATAATGTCATCTTCAAATCGAGTTTCCGGGCAAACCACAACTCCGATTTGCATTCCATAAAAACTGAATTAAACCATGTTAAATGAAGATGATTTTCATATAAAGAGATCCTAAAAGAGCTAAGGAGCTGGGAGAAAAGGGCTGACAACGGTGGGTTGCAGTTCTGATTTTTCTGCACTATTAAAATATAATCAGCAATCTACGTTGTTGAACCCACATTTTAAAAGATTTGCAAGGTAATTTGGAGAAACATGCAAACTAAAACAAACCTTACTAACCCAGGAAGAATCAGGTATGAAATCATGGAGAGAAAGAAACTTACAAGATGACATTTGAGCGGTTCATTCAAACAACTTAAATCTGGATTTTTTAACTCCGTATAACCGAACTCTTTAAACTCATTCATTCTCTTTATTTTAGTTCAAGCCTGCGTTTATATCTTTAGACCATCAACAATCATTTACATGCTCCTTATAACAACCTTTAGCTGCTAAGCATGCATATAATTACATGTCACAAGAAGTTCATGAATCAAAGATAGACTACATAACATACCAAGTCAAAGGCAAACTAGTCATGCAATCAGATTGACCCTTCAATAATTTCCCTATTCATTATTTTTAAACCGATTAAACATCCAAAACTGAAATAGAACTCAATAATTTGCCTTTCAAGAAAAAATTTCAAAATTACAATCAATGCCCTTAACTGAACAAGAATGCTGCAAGAATAAATGTCAACATACCTCAATGACAGTTCTCAAATACTCCAGAACGGCAGGAATCTTGGCTTCCGCAGATTCAGTATATATCTATGCAGTCATTAAATGCCCAGTAGAACACATTCAGACGTTAAAAAAAAAAGGGAACAAAAAATAAAAAATGTATAACATAGCTGAACCCAAAGTTAGAAGAGTTGGCGTCTACATATGTGTATGGACAAGAGAAAATAGCTAAAGAAAACGAAGCCTCAATCATTCTTACCTTATTAATGAGATTCTTCTCTGAAAACTTAAGTGATTCAGCTTCTTCTTTAGATTTGCATGCCTTAATTTTGCTCTTAATCACCTCCAACTACAAAGATAGGAAAGTACATAAATAGATTACTCTTGAAACTTTATAAATGATTAAGCAGCAATAACGACCGTTAAACTGAAAAACTAATTAAGCATATGAAAGGAAGAAGTTCATATTCAAATTTTAGTACTGGTTAGTTCAGCTCAATAAGCGAAAATGGCAAGAAAGCAATTCAAGCTGCGTTTAAAACCAAAAAATCTGCCAGAAAGACAAAAACAACCAGCAAAGGCGTTATATTTGATCATCTCCTATTAATAGCCTAAGTATATAAGATGTTTTTTTTGAGGAAAAGTATATAAGATGTTAAATATTCATCTCCCTCACATTCAAATACAGTTGGCACCCATCTCCTAGTCTCTTGTGTTTAATCAAATAAAAAGAAAGATATAGTTTAAGCTAAAATTTAGAATATAATGATCTTTTATTTCATCAAATCTAAGAATACAAAACCATTCCACAAACTATGTAGGAGAATTGATGGTAGCAGATTCGTAGAACGTGCATAAATTACACCCATCACTACCCCAAGAAAAATTAGAGGAATCATTCTCTGTACATTAAAATGTGCTAAAGCAAAAGCCACCGAACTCATTAAAACAGCACACCAAACAGGCATATATACTTACTTAGGGAAGGTAGAAGAAAACCCCGAAACACTATTTCTTCCCATAAGGGAGCACACACTACAAGTACTAAAGCGTATAACCCCATCGCCACTGGAAAGGCACTACAAGTACCTAACTTATCCAATTCCAGACGAGATTCCATATAAACCCTCAACAGGTACGAGATTCAATAAAACCCAGAAACATGGACTTTAAGCCAAACCCACCACATCTGATTAAAATTCAGTAGAAAACAAGCCTTAAAACGAGATTATTCACCGAAGAAAAACGATTGCAATTATTGAAAGACCAAAAACAAAATAGATCTGAAAGAACACCGAATCATCAAATAAGGTACAAAAATCAAATATTCGGACAACCCAAACTTAAAGTAGAGCCACCATGAAACAGACGGAAATTCCGTTACCTTACCTGCTCAAAATCGATAGAAAACTAAAGAGCTCGCGAGCCGGCAATTTCAGACGGGCTTTGCCATGGGAGGAAAAAGGAAGAAAGAAAACTAAAGAAACGGTAAATGTGCGAAAGAGACGTCAATTTTATCCGAACCCGGAAAAAATAAGTTGACCCGGATTCATGACCCGCGATTTTTTTAAAAGACCCTCGAATTCGAATTGCAATTATTTGCTCCCACAAAAGAATTGAAAATAAAGAATTGAACCCCATTATGAATTATAATTCTAATTCTAGAAGTCTATTTTTATCAGCCAAACACAAGAATTGGAATTGGAGGCCTCCAATTCCAATTCTTGGGTCCAATTCAATCCAACCAAACAGAGGCTAAACATGTTTCACAAATTAAGAGTAGTACTACTAATTACTAATTGCAGGAAAAAAGTTACACTGCAACGGTGAACAAAAAAGTTACAAAGTATTGTTTTACATAAAAGGGTAGTAAAATATTGTTAAACCCTTGTCTCTCACACGCAGTCACGCACAAAAAAGAAGAGAGGGGTACTAAAATAACAAAACCCCGTCTGCTACACCTCTCTCTTATCCCCAAAAATGTCGACCATGGCCGCTCACGGGGTTTTCTACTCCCTCAACCTCCCGGCCCCTCGTAATGCCCGTCGAAATTCCCCCTTCCCCTCCTCCGCTTCGCCTTCTCCCCACTCCGCCGCCGCTAACCATCGTTTTACGGTCCCCCCCAGCATCAAATCCACTCACCCTACCCACTCCTCCCCTCCTACTTCGAGAAACCCTAAACCCTCCATATTCGGCCCCGGCGCCAATGCCAACCCCAATCCCAACTCTTCTACCAACCTGGGAAAGATTTTTAAAACTTCCTTGGTCGTCGGCGCCACCGCCGCCCTCCTGCTTGGTGGAGGCGGGATTTCCAACTCCGGTGGTGGAGGCGCAGGAGGTGGAGGTGGTGGTGGTGGTGGAGCGGGTGGTGGACATGGTGGGAATTTCTGGTCGCGCTTTTTCTCACGGTTTTCTCCATCGCCGGCCACTGCTAAAGACGACGAGAGCCCAACGAAGGATTGGGATTCGCATGGATTGCCGGTCAACATTATCGCTCAGTTGAATAAGCTTAGTGGGTTTAAGAAGTACAAAGTCTCTGATATACTCTTTTTTGATCGGCGCCGGAATTCAACAACCGAAGGGACAGAGGATTCCTTCTTTGAGATGGTCACCATACGACCAGGTGGGGTGTACACTAAAGCTCAGCTCCAAAAAGAGCTTGAAACTTTGGCTGGCTGCGGTATGTTTGAAAAGGTTGATTTGGATGCCAAGACAAAGGCCGACGGAACAATTGCGGTGCAAATCGCATTTCTGGAGAGTACTTGGCCCGCTGCTGATAAATTTAGGTGTATAAATGTGGGATTAATGCCCCAATCCAAGCCCATTGAAATGGACCCTGACATGACTGAGAAAGAGAAGATTGATTTTTATAGGAGTCAGGAGAAAGATTACAGGAGGAGGATGGAGAGGTCCAGACCTTGTTTACTTCCAGTAGCTGCACAGAGAGAGATTATTAGCATGTTGAGGGACAGAGGTGCTGTGAGTGCAAGGCTTCTGCAGAAGATAAGGGATAGTGTCCAGCAGTGGTACCATGACAATGGATATGCCTGTGCTCAAGTGGTCAATTTTGGAAATTTGAATACCAAAGAAGTAGTTTGTGAAGTTGTGGAAGGGGATATCACTCAATTGGTGATACAGTTTCAGGACAAGTTGGGCAATGTTTGTGAAGGGAATACACAGCTGGCTGTTATAAGGAGGGAATTGCCTCGCAAGGTATGCAAATGCCTTCTCAATTTGGTTTTAGAGCCTTTAGCATTATATTCATTATTGCTTATCCATGCAGGAGCCAGTGCCTTTTGTGGTCTTAAAAGGCTTTCTCTTTGCATGTTTAATCTAAATTGCCTCATTATGTTATACTGCCATTTAACATGGGGAATATGCAATAATGAAAATCCATACATAACTTGAATATGTGAGATGTTATAGAGGTTATTTCATCACAACAGGATAATTAAGAATAGATGTACATGTGGTTTCTTACAATCACCCACTAGTTGTGCAACTGGTTATAGGAGTAACTTGAGCTAAAGTGAAACTTATTGGGGCTTTCCAGGAATACCCTTTGTCTTTTTATATAAGGATGTACTGCACTATATTGTTATGGATCCTTACTTAAGTTGTTACTTCTGGTCTTTTCAGCTCCGCAAAGGAGAGGTATTCAATATTGAAGCTGGAAAACAGGCACTGAGAAATATCAATTCCTTGGGCCTGTTCTCCAATATTGAGGTTAACCCACGCCCTGATGAGAAGAATGAGGGCGGTATCATTGTTGAAATTAAGCTGAAGGAGTTAGAGCAGGTTTCCACTGAAGTTAGTACAGAATGGAGTATAGTTCCTGGACGTGGAGGTCGTCCGACATTGGTATGTTCTTTTCGTAGACATATATTGACTACTTTTGAATGTCTCAGACTGTACATATTAAGGTTGTGATTCGTGAAAATTCCTCATTTTATTTTATTTTATGATATTGTTCAGGCTTCAATCCAGCCTGGTGGAACTATTTCTTTTGAACACAGAAATATCAAAGGGCTGAATAGATCACTAGTTGGTACTGTTCAGACTGGCAATCTACTGAATCCGCAGGTAACTTTATTCTTTTCCCGTTCTGCCCCAATGAACTTGACATTATTAATGGTCTTTGACCGAAAGTTGTTACATATAGATTGATCCTGGGTATTTTTGCAGGATGATCTAGCTTTTAAAATGGAGTATGCACATCCATACTGGGATGGCCTGTATGATCCACGGAACCGTACTTTACGTGCCAACTGCTTTAACGGCAGAAAATTGAGTCCAGTCTTCACAGGCGGGCCCGGAGCTGATGAAGTCCCCCCTATATGGGTTGATCGAGCTGGATTAAAGGCGAACATTACAGAGGTATGGTGGTGTTTGTGAGCGTTCTTAATCTAGAACCTAGTTCACTTGCTCATTGTTAAGTTATTCTGTTCTTCTGGACCTTGCATTCATGTGAATTCGCTGTCAAGTAAATTTTAGAGGTTGTATAGTAACTCACTCTTCTCTTAGTTCACTTTCTTCTCTAGTAATTTTTGGAATAGGTTGATGGCTATTACTGAATTGTAGGAAATAAAGCAACATTGTATATTGGAATCTTGTCATTCTTTTTGGTAAGAGTTGCTGATGAGCGCATTTTTTTTCCGTCATTCCAGAACTTCAGTCGCCAGAGCAAGTTTACTTATGGTCTTGTTTTGGAAGAGATAACCACTCGTGACGAAGCCAGTCATATTGCCGCAAATGGACAGAGAGTCTTACCAAATGGAGGAATCAGTCAAGATGGACCTCCAACAACCCTCAGTGGAACAGGCATTGACCGAATGGCATTTTTGCAAGCTAATATAACACGTGATAATACTAAGTTTGTTAATGGAGCAATTGTCGGGGATAGGAACGTGTTCCAGGTATGTCATTTTTGGCTTAACTTGTATTATGCCGTCGATGTTATATGATTGTCTGTAAAACTACATGGTCAATAGCAGTACTTTTCCCCTGAACCAAGCCAGGGTGGGAGAAACTGGGGGGATGCGGAGCCGGGGGGGGGGGGGGGGTAACTTATCCTTATGATGTCATTGCTACTTCTTAATTGTGCATTTGTGCTGTAAGGAAGTGCTTGCGTTTTGTCAGTTAGTCTTCTTGCTGCTCGCTTTTCTACATTTTGTGTTGCTTTATGGCCAGCCAACCCCAGCCCATGATAGGGGAAAAGTGTGTGGTTGGTTTAATTTTGTTTGGAAGCTGTTATGCATAGTTAGATTTGCATGTAATAAGTTTGATCCAATCGTTGATCCTAAGGCTTGTTTATGAACTATGTTACTGTTATTAAGGCAATTCATATAGAACTGTAGTATTTTTTACTTTACTCAATGGTCTGTGGATGTGGCGCATTTCTTGAATGATTTTTTTTTCCCCCTTTTTTTTGGTTGGGTCTGTTTAAATTACAGGTTGACCAAGGAGTTGGCATTGGAAGTAAGTTTCCGTTCTTTAACCGTCATCAGCTGACAATGACACGATTCATCCAGTTGAAGGACGTTGAAGAAGGAAGTGGTAAACCGCCACCTCCTGTCCTGGTTCTCCATGGCCATTATGGTGGGTGTATCGGTGATCTTCCAAGCTATGATGCTTTTACACTTGGGGGACCTTATTCAGTAAGGGGTTACAACATGGGAGAAATCGGTGCAGCTCGAAATATTTTAGAGGTACATTCACTTTGGAAACCCCTGTTTTTTTCTTTTTCTTGAGACAACCTAATTTGGTGTGAAGCTAATACATTTTATTGATGCAAAAGTCAAACAGAGAACAATACTAAAAGGACTATGTATTCACATTGTTTTGCACATCGACTTACAAAATGTGTTATCTGACAGCTGGCTGCTGAGGTCCGGATACCTATCAGAAATACCCATGTTTATGCATTTGTAGAACATGGGAATGACCTTGGATCTTCAAAGGACGTGAAAGGAAATCCGACGGAAGTTTATAGGCGGGTGGGCAGTGGTTCCTCGTATGGTGCTGGGGTTAAGCTTGGTTTAGTTAGAGCAGAGTATGCTGTTGATGCCAATGCTGGCACTGGCGCCTTGTTCTTCCGTTTTGGAGAGAGATTTTGAGAACACGAGCTACTGTTATTTATTGGCACAATGTTTAAAGCTTACTCGAGAATTTACAAGTTTTGCTCTGAGCACCCCTAGTCTTTAGTTTTTTGCAGCTAAAGTGATTTTAAATTCAGGAAGTTCAGATACTTGTGAAATTCGTATTTATTAGGATACTTGAGGGTTTGTTGACAGTTTGGAGTCTTTCGGAAGACGGTTCCCCTGCTTTCATATTAGTGCATAGCTTTCCGTGTCATGACCTATCATTGTTTTCATATGTATGACGAACTCGAGTTAAGAAGTTTCATAAGAGATCACTACGATGATTTCAACGTACTCTTCAGAATACAGAAGGATAATTTGTATGCTGCCAGATCGGGTACTTCAAGCCTCACATAGAAGGAACCAAAAGTTTTTCACTAAAAAGTCGTTCAATGCAATAAGTTATCTTTCTACTCAACTTGTATCTTCTATTGAATTCAGAGCAGCCTTTCAAACTTTATACTGTATTTGATACATTTTACAGTGTAAAATTCTGGTTAAGAATCAACAATTACAAATGACACACTGGCAGTAAAAAAGGATTCAACGTAACAGGAAGGATTGTGGCAGAGTTGAGGATTCTAACAAGCTCAGATTATGCCAACAAGAACATATATAGGCAAAATTCAAAGCCTAATTCTTCAAAGACCCAGTTCCTTCTTCAGTTGGGCAAGAGTAGCCTCAATATCATCAACAATATCTTCTTCTTTGCCAGTTTTCCTTGTGTTTGTTTCACTTCCACTTCCCGTTGTCTTTGATCCGTCGGACGCATTCCATTTCTGAGACTGTTTATTGTTAGTTTCCTCTGTTCCAACGTCAGGTATGTTTAGTTCTTTCTCCAGGAACTCAACAAACTCTTCTCCAATTTCCTGCCAAGCATAAAAGACTGGTGAAAACAGATGTAACGTACCCATTAATCTGCTTACTTCAAGAATTAAAAGCATCTAAACTTGAAAAGGTTGTTGCTTCAGCCCCCAAGATAACAAAGAAAGCAAAACAAAACGAAGATGATCAAAGGGTAGGAGCATTTCCAGTAAAAACAAGAAGACCATCAAAATAAAGAAATGATCAGTACGAGTCATTTTACATGAAAGAGGAGCACATAAATTTACTCACCGCCAGTTCCTCCCACAAGCTCTTTGGCTTTCCTTGTGAATTGACACCAGCCTCCCAGTTCTGAAACTCTTCTTGAAGATCCTTAAGGAAGTCCCCTGATGCAAAAGATTGAAATTTGAGTACCTCAATGTGTATAATTCCTTCCAAGACAAAGCAATGATGGCTGAATTAATATGAATGCATGCCTACGGCTCTATCGAAAGTGCAAAACATCTACCTATGGTTATTTGGACATCCCTCACAAAGTTACCTGCAGCATGAAGGTGTTGATCATGATAAGAAAACGACGGAAAAGGAAAACCAAAAAAAAAAGAAGAATAAGAATGTGACTACAAAGGCTTATGAATACGCTGAACTCGAATCTCCTGACATATACTAACAAGAAGAAGAACTAGATAATATTATTGGAAACCATATAATTAAGAAAAAGGGCACAAGGTTTAGTTGAAAAGGCCACTTCTCAAACTATAGAGAAATTGAGATGAAATAACCACAAAATGCAGCAGAAACATTCCAAAAGACACCATAGTGAAATGACTTAGAATTGTAAAGGAAATGTACAGTAAAATCTTACCAAATCCATAGAACTCTTCATCATCCTGAGAAGTCCTACTCCGGTTTCTCTCAGATGTTGAGTAAGAAGAAGATTCGGACCGTCTCTCAGATTGGTTCAACAAAATATTGTACGCATGCTTGATTCTCATAAACTTTTCCTGAGCATTAGCCTGTTTGAACATCAAACAGAGACAGATGCGAGCAATCATGCCTCCAAATTTCACACCACATCAACCCTCCATGAATTTTTCACATCTCAGTCAAGAAAATGAATGGATTGCAGTTGCAATGTAAAGTTCATAATTAGTCTCAAACTGCTGCCCAGTGTACTCATAAAAAATCACTAAAAAAAAAAAAAAGGAAGTTCAGTGACTCTTATTCACCCGAAAATTGAACTGAAATTACCTCCTTGTTAACATCAGGATGGAACTTGAGAGCCAGTTTCCTGTAAGCCCTTTTGATTTCATCGGGAGTGGCAGATTCCGACACCCCTAAAACTTCATAAGGCGATTCCTTCCTACTCGCCCGCACAACAATGCTTCTGCAATCTCTCTTCCCTCTGAAATTATAATAATAGGAGCTGCAACTCTGCGAAAATCTCAATGGTGTAAAGGCCACCGACTTCGAATTGGGGATAAACCCAAACTTAATTCTACAAAAGGGAACCAAAACCAAGGGCCGAACTTGAGATAATGGGTTTAATACAGAAGTACTTGAATTATTCATAAGCTTTCCTGAATGTGTGTGGCTCTGTTGGGGAGAAGCATGTGGATGTGGCAAAACTTTTCTTTATGGCTTGAAATCCAAGGTTGAAGGTTCATTAACCAATCAACATTAATGATTGCCATTTTATTTTCTTTTTATGCCCTTCTTATTTTTTTAGTTTTTACTGTGTTTCCCAAATAAACTAATAACCGAGGGTGAAAAAGAAGTAGAAGAAGATTACACTTATATATTATGTTATCAAATTGAGCTCGATGGCCTTGGCTTTTTTTCACTTTCGTGTTATATTTGCTAGGTATGTCGTGAACCCTGTTAAATTCACCCTTCTGAGTTCCGGGAATGACTCTAAGATGCTTGTAAAAATTCCCCAAAGAATCGACTTTTATGTCTTAGGTGTTGGCGTAGCTCAAGGTGCAAGAGGAGGCAACTTGGAGGTTAAAAAATGGGCCGATGTGGTGTTAATTCATTAATTATTGCACTAGAGAAGGAAATTTTGGGGCAGGAACCAGAGGTTTGTTTTGAAGCAGTAACTTTTACTAATTTTTTTCCATGTCATGTTCATGTCTTAGAAAGTAGCATTATTGTTTATGTAGAAGTTTGATACAGTAACTCAATATCGCGCAAAAGATGGAGGCTTGAGCTTTTTCAGAGATATAGCGCTTGTGCTTCTTGATGAAGTTCACCTATTGAATAATCCTAGACTCCTAGTGGAGCAGCTTTAGAAGCAATAGTTATTCGACTTAAGATGCTTGCCTGCAAATCCGAAATGAAATCAAGTTCGCTGGCCCAAGTTCGATTTCTTGCTATTTCAGCTACTATTCCAAATATAGGCGATTTTGGTAAATTTTCCTTTATTATGTGCTAGAGTACAATATTATTGATATCTACTGAACTCTGTTATTGTCATTACTCATTAATATCATTCATTGTCCCAGCTGAGTGGCTACTCATGGAATTAAGAGTTACCTGATGCAATCGCTGTAATTATCAATGCCAGCACCTCTCGGATGATATCTGACTGTCCATCTTTCAACAGGTTTGGGGGAAGAAATGAGACCTGTGAAGTTGACTACGAAGGTTCTGGGTGTGTCACATATTTCTTATGGCCCAAAATATGTATATGTTGCATTTTCCTTCACGATTTTGATAGATTAAACTACAGTTTGCAGGATGTACTCCAGCTAAAAATGATTTCTTGTTAGAGAAGGTAAAGTTATTTGTAAATCTGCCTTGTGTACATTATCATGACGCTCAAAGGTTGTTTCAGAAACTTCTTGAGAAGAATGTTGTATCTTGTACCACATTTATATCTGAACTTTACCAGAAGGAAGCATTTGAGGAGGCCTTATGGCAGTTGTGTCTGATGAGACAACAGGGACTGGAGCCAAATGAACATACTCTTAACTCTGGCCCTTCCATGCTGTGGAGGAACGGGGCAGTGTGACAATGGTGCACTCCAAGCTCATCTCATCAAGAAGGGTATGGTTTCAGGAGTTTTTGAGGTACTGCAATTATAGACATGTATGGTGAACTTGGACAAATGGACAGCCCTGATGCTTCAGGAGATGGGAAGAACAGCATCAGCTGAATCATGGAAGGCTCTTATATCTGGCTTTGTTCACGATGACAGATTTAAAGCAGCATCATCGGCTTTTCAGGAGATGGTGGTCGATCAGGTGCAATATAATTAACGAATACCCCTCATTTTTTTTTGGAAAAGATGAATACACCTTATTAATTAGTCACAAAATAAGTTCTTTCCCATCATTATCCATGACTAAGCAAGTACACTGTCGGGTTTTAAAAGCCAACTATAGTATCAACTTGGATGTTGCAAGCTCTTCACTTGAAGCTTATACCAAATGTGGCGACCTAGGCAAAGCTGAGAAGGTTTTCCAGCGTTATGGATCTGCATGGTCAAACCTTACTCACAGCATGGACATTTTAGGAAAGTTGTATCCCTGTTTGAAAAGATGATTGAGGAGGGAATAATGTCAACAAATCCTACTTTTGTTGCAGTCCTTGAAGCTTGCATCCACTGGGGATTAGGTAACGAAGATAAAAGATTCTTCAAATCCATGTCAATTGTCAAGGAACTACAAAATATTGCCACAGGAGACACATTACGGCTGCATGGTAGACTTGTTCAGCAGATCCCCGCGACTTCAAGATGCTCTTGATTTCATAAAGAAATTGTCAATCAAGGCCTCTGATTCAATTTGGAGGCAAGTATCACCACCACAACCTTCAATTAGGAGAACTTGAAGCGAATCGCATACTAGAATTAGAACCAAATGATGCATCTGTTTACGTGACACTGTCTAACATGTACTGTCAAGTGGGAAGAGTGGCTGATGCAATTAAGCGAAGGGAATTGATGGCATTGAGGGAGGTCAAAAATGAACCCGGTTATAGCTGGTTGGAAGTAAATAGCCGAAGTTACAAGTTCTATTCAGGTGACAGAAAATCGCCCTCAAACTGCAGAAATACAAGAGTTACTGCATAAACTGTTGTGAGACGACAATGATACTGATGATGGGGAACCGAAGCCATACAGTGAAATTAAAGTTTTGTATCACAGCGAAATTAAAGCTTGCGGTTTGCCTCAGCTTGCTAAACTTGCCTGCTGATGTTCCAATGTGCATTTTCAAGAACATTCGAGTTTGTTCATATTGCCCATTCGACAATGGAACACACATCAAAGATCACAAAGCGGGAAATCATATTGAGAGATAACTACAGTTCAAGCAAGGTACTCATGTGGCAATTTCTGGTGAAATTCATCGTCCACTCATATAGCCTATAAGAAAGACTAAGTACTCTCAAATTAGCTTGCTTCAGCTTGCTTCACTGACTGTTGTTCATTAACCGAAGGAACATTATTTTTGGTCCTCATTCCTCTGTTGGAGGGGACTAAATACTCTCAAATTAGTATGAAAATGGAGCTATCTCCACAATGTCGTATCATGAATAACCAAACATAGTCCACATATTCAGGGAAAAAAAAAAAAATTGTGCCTCGCCTTTTTATCATTGTCATTATATTTGAGTCGCGTCATTCCTCACCTTGTATGAAACTTTTGATCCTCATTTTTGTGGTTCAGTAACTTCTAGAACAACTGCTGTCGAGTTGAGTAAAAAAAAATTAACTACAATTTAGAGGACTGAAGCTGCAATTGTGATGAAGCACTTTCTTATTGAGAAAAGAAGAAGAAACCCTTTTGACATTCCCCACAAAAGCAGGTTGAATTTTAGTCCCAACACGTCCGGCGAAATTCTTCTCACCTTCACAGTCACCCAGCCACTGTCGTCTCCGGCGATATCCCAAATGTAAGCTAACTCCTCCTCAGCTGGAGTTGGGATACTGTCTTTTGTTTTCTTGGGGAAAACTGCTTTTGTCCAAGTTGCTGAGTTTTTCCGACGACTGGCCTCTCAATGCCAACAATTATTGCTCGGAAAAGGTACGATTCTTACTCCAACTAACTCAAACCCTTTTAGTCCCTTTTCTGATTCTTACATTTCTACACAGCACCAGCTCTGTTTGTTCATTCCTTTTGTTTTTGTTATTTTTTTTGGTTCCTTTTTTCCTAATGAGAAGTATGGCAATTTCCGGCGCAAAATCGATGATGATGCTGCCGCGAGAATTGGTTTTGGAATGTTTGATTAGGCTTCCGGGTAAGCAACTGGGGCAGTGCAAGTGCGTAAGTCTTGGTGTTCCTTGATCGGAAGCCTCCATTTTTGAAGGCTTACCGGAAACGCCCACCGACCATGCTGTTAATGTGCTCGCCAGAAAGAGCTTATACGGCGGATGAGAATGATTTAATCTACAGACACTTTGGCTCCACCCTCGGCGACCTGACGAGAAGCTCATCGAAAAATTCAGTCCTCTTGAGTAAATTTATAATTCGAACAAACCCTCACTGCGTCGGACTGACTACTGAAGTCCCGGTTGATGGTCTCATTTGTGTCTTTGATGAAGCAGATGGTCACATAACTCTCCACAACATTTGTACTGGGCAAAATATGAGGCTTTCTGACCCTGCTGGATATCCGGGTGATCCAATTTCGAGTTATCATCTTGGGTATGACCCAGCAAGCTGCAGCTACAAGTTACTGAGATTGATTCATCCCTCTCACTCTTACTGGGGGTTTTCATCCAATTGATACATTTGGATGTGCAACGGAACTCGATATTCATTCGAGCAAAATAAAAAAACAAAACACATATTCCGTGTTAAAATTATTATTCAGTTTGAAATTTCACTTAAAAATACAATTTAAATAAAAAATAAAAGTTCAAAATGGACGAGACCAAGGAAGTATCAATTATTATTATCAATAAGTTTCGATGTATTATAAAAGGAAAAAATTCGAATACCGTACTAAAGGATAAAAAGAATTAATCAAGGTTTAATTAAAATCTAATCCTAAAAAAAGAACATAGTAGTAGGATTTTTTGTCAAAAGAAAAACCCCTCAATATTTCCTGTGCCTATTCTCTTTTCCGGTTCGAATCTGACTGAATAATCCCAAAACTTCCCCTTCTGCCTCTCTCCGGCGATCCTAAGACTAAGAAAATCCTACACTTACTCAAGTGCCGATGGGAGAGTAATCTAATTTTTGGGGGAAAACTGGTTGTGGGAGCTTTCTTCGCAAAAGGGCGACCCGATTCAAACTTACGGTTCGGAAAGGTACAATCTTTGCTGCAACCTGAAAATTTTTGCTGTATTTTCGTTCCTTAGTTTTTCCCACTAATTTGAATAAAGTCGGGTTTCTGCGCAAAATCGGTAATGATGCTGCCGGACGAGTTGGTTTTCGAATGTTTGATCAGGCTTTCCGGTAAGCAATTGGGACGGTGCAGATGTGTGTGTAATTCTTGGCGATCCATGATCGAAAGCCCTCAGTTTTTGAAGGCTATCTGAATCGTCCGCCGACGCTGCTTCTGAAGTGCTTTCCAGGAAACGTTAACACGGCGGCCTCGGGTGGAAAGAATTTACTCTTAAGAAACTATTACTCCACTCTTCGCCGTCCTAAGGAGAAGCCCTTTGAAGAATTCAGTCATCTAAGTGATGTAAAAGCTGATCGTTGCCAGGGCGAAAAGGCCACCGAAATGGTTAATGGTCTTGTATGTGTCCGGGAACTTGACAATGGCTTAACTATTTACAATATTTGTATTGGGCAAGGAATGAGGCTTCCTTTTGCCCCTGCACAACATACGGCCGAACCAATTTTGTGTTATCATTTTGGGTATGACCAAACAAGTAGGATGTACAAGCTATTGCGATTCGTACTTCCTTTAAACCCCTCTGATGATGGGGACTCTAACGAAGGTGATCGAGTGTTTCAGGCTGAGATAATGACTTTGAGGCCCTCTGATTCAGCAGTATCCACATGGAGGAAGCTGAACCCTGATCGTTTCAGTTATCTTGTTATAACTGGTAACTCATTGTCAGGTGATGGCTTCATATGGTGGTTCTCATTATATGGATTTGTCTATTTTGATCTCAACAAAGAGAAGTTTCAACTTATTGAAACTCCGGAAGATGTCAAAGATGTAATAACATTCAGGAAGTGTGTTTTTACGAAGTCCATGGGACACCCAGCCATATTGGCGTTTCATAAGGAACCTAACGAATCACTATGTTCTAAGCTTCGCGTGTTTGAAAATGACCAGAGTAACATCTGGAATAAGTATCATATTCGATTTCCTCAAGAACTTGGGAATGCGGAACACAGAATTATTGATGCTGGAAACCTCCTCACTGGTGAGATTTTGTTTATGAGTGTTCATGAAAAATATCTGGATCACTGCAGGCCTGTTTATTCTTATAATCATCAAACAGGTAGGTTTGAACGTTTCTTTGTTGGAGAGCTTCCTGATTTGCCGTTCCCTGATAGGCCTCACGATCTGGTGTTTTTCCGGGATCAAAGTTTTAGGTTTAAGATATCGTGTTTACATGATAATAATGTCCTCCACCTGTTATTGGTTGATGTGCTGTGTCGTGAAGATGCAATGAGATAAACTTATGATAGAGGAATTTGCACGGCTGGTTGCTCTCCAGGATCATGGGTTCTGGTCTCCCAGTTGAACTAACAATGCTGCCCCCTTTTTCTTTTTTTTCAGTTTCATCAGTGGGAGATCACTTAGATTATCCACTTTGAGGTTGAGATGGTAAAATTAGCCAATTGTCATCATGCTTTTTTAGGTGCTTGCAGTGAAACTGATCCAATGCCGAAGGCTCAAGTATTATGTATTTTTTCCTAAGTTTTAACCATCTCTTCTTATTTAACATTGTCCTAAGGCTCAAACTAAGGAGTAGTATAAAGTTGCATTTATCTACTATATGAATTTGTAAGTGGATGCAATATGTTATTGTGAGAAATTTTAGTTAGTTTTTTTCGTTTTTCCTTTTGGTTCACATATTCTGTTCCTCGCTTCATGTTTTATCCTGTTTTCTTGTTCTCAACTCTGAAATAAGTTAAGTATTGAGATGTTCAATATGTGATTCTCAAAAACACAGTTATCAGTGATTTGAATATGCCATAAAAGTTATGGGCTTTTGTTGATAGCTAAATTTGGCTCAGCTCTACTGTTGGGTTGCAACAGTTGTGTCTTCCATTCCTCTTATCTGTGGCCATCCTCTTTATATGTCAATATCCTTGAGTTTCTCTCCTGCGTTACTAGCATGTATCTTGTTGTTTTTTACTAGTATGTTTTTATAAGTCTTATTCATGCTGCAAAGCAAAACGTTAGTGTTTGTAATTTGGTGTAAGCAATTTGCTAGTAGCTCCATTTTGGATAGATCTGTGGCCTCTATTTGGAAATTTTGTTCTTGGCTTCTGGATCGATGTATGGACCTGTTCTGGAGCAATATGCATCTCCGACATTGATTGTTAAAGTTCACACTTCATCTTCTGTTGCTTCCCCAATTACAGGGCATGGTTGTTAGGTTGAAAGTCTTCTTTCTTCACAAAAATCCGATATGTTCAACTAATGCAGGAGGCCTCTTTCAATTTGTTAGATTGTGTGTTTGGTTAGCCCATCTTATTCCCCCATCTTCCACCATCTTTGAATGTCACATGCTTAGTCGTAGCATCTGCGAATTTGTTCCCTTCGCTATGTTGGTTGGTGTATGATTAGTACACTCCACTCTCGGCTAAGAAGCTCCCCATTTGATTCCTGATCTCGGAAGTTTTTAGGAAGTTTCCATCTTCATCCTCTGTTGGAGGGGATCAAAACAAAGACTCTCCAATCAGTATGCAAATGGAGCTATCTCCATTTTATTGAAAAAGAAGAAACACCCTGTTCATTTAGTTTTTTTTTTTCACTTTTCTGACCAGTGGCTACACTGCGTCAGCGTCACAGTCTTTCATCTTTTTCTTTGTTGAAAAGGGTTTTTAACTTGTAACTGTCTTCAATCTATACATGTAACTGTATGAATTCTCAATCTTTTTAAGTACGCGTGTTAGTGTTATTACTACGTCTCATTTTCTGGTGACCGATGATCTTCATCAATGACTCAAATGTTTAAAAGGCTTATGGCAATTGTGTGTGGCGGCTCAAATGATATGGGCCATATGGCATCTCAGACTCCAGAAAAATGACTGCTTCTAGAAATTAACTTGTACGCTCAGAATGACTTGGTGTTGTTAAGGCTCAAACTGTACGGAGTAGTAGTATGTTTTCTTAGCTTCGCTTCTTTTGAAAAGTGATGCAATAAATATTGAACATGTCAGTCCACTCATCCGTGATATGGATATACCAAAACCAAGAAACCTGCGACATTTCTCTTCTATATCTAACCAAATCATTCTTGTGTTACGTTTTCATTGCTGCATCTTCACTTGCACGCTACCTGAGGATGGGTGAGCTTAACGCTGAACCTGGTGGTTATGTAAGCGGTATGTTTGATCCCTCGGATTGCTTTGCTAAACCCCCACCCCCTACAAACACACACACCAAAAAAAAAAAAAAACATCTTTTATGCCATTTTACGTTCTGACGAGTGCCTCTCTTTCTTGTTTCTAAGGATACTATATCAGAGCCGATGGGTTGAAGGAGAGCTTCTACAATATACCTGTCCGTCCACCTGGCCTTTTCACGTTGTATCTGAATGAAGATTTTAATTTGGCTGACTTGGTTTTGGGAGATGTTTGGTGAACAGCATTACTCTTATGTAGTTTTTGGCAGCAAATCTCTGTATGGCATTTCTAGATCAGACTGGTTTTTGTGGGTTGTTTGACTCATAATTCATATGCGTTTTCCAACGTGTATGGAGTTCAGGAAATGAGCAATGTGGAGATCTGAAATGAATAATCTTTTAATTGCCAGTACGTAGTACCTGAAACAAATCGGACATTTCTTTTAACTTGGGAGTTCGTTCTTCAACTTTAATTTGCCTACCTAATTATCTAGAAATCAACCTTAAACTGCAGAAATGCACGTACTGCACGATCTGGATATCAATAATATTGATGATTCGGAACTGAAACATTACAGTGAAATATACTATTCGACAATGAGGTACATTTCAAAGATCCCAAGAGATCATTACAGGTTCCATCACTTCAACCAGAGTTACTTACTGCTCATGCAGTCATTGGTGATATATCTGCTGATATTCATCATCACTTCAAGCAGATGAAGGAAAGCAATAAATATAGTTTTATTTGGAATTGGCTATCATTTTAATACTAGTTTTTTCAAAAGCCTGATTTCGGCATTTTGTTTCCTTTTTCCTTTTCGGTTTAATATATTCCGGTGTCCGAAAACCTTGCTCCCACTTATCCGGATTCAAAGCCAGATCCCCGGGCATCATCTGAATCACACGTACTAGGAGTATAATATAACAGCAAGCTTTGGTTGGATTGCACACATTTGATAAAGACTTAAGAATTCACGTACACATAAAAAAAAAAAAAAACTCAACTAATCACTTCCTAAAGAAAATCCCTTTTACAGACAGTCTTTTGTGTTGCCGATTCCCTTTTTCCGAGATTCCCCAAATCTCAGTACTCAAATCAGTCCCATCTCCGGCAGTCCCAAATTTAAGATCCTTCTCAGATGGCGGTTTCTTCGACGATGACCGACCCTTCACCAACTCACAGCTCAGAAAGGTACCATTTTTTTATTCTTCACTAGCGCCTTCTACATAGGACTATTTCTGCAAGTTTATTTAGTTAATTCCTTTTATTTATTCATTCCTTTTAATGAATGAATCTGATGAGAAGAATGGCAAGTTTCGGTGCCAACTTGACGATGATGCTGCCGGACGAGTTGGTGTTGGAATGTTTGATTAGGCTTCCCGGAAAGGAACTGGGACGGTGCAAGTGCGTTTGTAAGTCTTGGCGATCAATAATCGGAAGCCCTTCATTCTTGAAGGCTTACCGGAATCGTGAACCGATCCTGCTGTTAATGTGTTTGCCGGAAAGAATTCGAACCGGGATAATGGGCCGTCAGCATGTACTCTTCAGATACTATTCCTCCACTTTGTGGAAGCCTGAGCAGAAGAAAAACACTGAGAATTTCAAATTCAGTCACCTGAGTGATGTGAGAACCGGCCATAGCCGCCGCGGCGGAAGCATCACCAAAATGGTTAATGGTCTTGTGTGTCTCCGTGTGTGTGATGAACCAAATGATGGCTTAACAATTTACAGTGTTGGTACAGGGGAAAGAATGAGTCTTCCTTGCCCTGCTCAATATCCTGGTGAACCAATTTCGACTTATCATCTTGGGTACGACCAAACAAGCTGCAGGTACAAGTTATTGCGATTGATTCATCCATTTAGCCACTCTGTTACTGGGTTCCTTCGTCCAATTGATCAGCCACTACAAGCTGAGATAATCACCTTGAGGCCCTCAGGTTCATTATCCACATGGAGGAAGTTGGATCATGTTGAATTCAGTCCTCTGTTTATAACAGGGAATCCATCTTTAGTAGCCGGTGACGGCTTCATCTGGTGGTTCTCACGATTAGGGCTTGTCACTTTTGATCTAAACAGGGAGAAGTTTGATAAAGTTGTTCAACTTCCGCAAGTTGTCTTGGATGTGATACAAAATCACGGGTATGTTTTCACTAAGTCCATGGGACGGCCAGCCATCTTGTCGTTTCTTAAGGACGCTGACACGTTTTCGTGTTGTGTACTCTTAGTGTTTGAAGACGAAAAGAGTAACAAGTGGAGTAAGTATCATGTTCGACTTCCTAGGGAACTCGGGGATGTGGAATATAGAATTGTTGATGCTGGAAACCTCCTCACCGGCGACATTTTGTTTACGAATGTTCACGAAAAGTATCCGGATAGCTGAGAAGAAAATAAGAATTTGAATAACATAAAGAAAATAAAGAGAGAAATATCTAAAGGTTACATTGTGATTGATTCCATGTTTTGGACAAAAAAAGACTTGAATTTATTGTTAGATTTTGTATGATAAGTCAAAAACTCTTCTTTTATGACAAGAAAAGACTTTTGCCATAATGGAGATTTTGTGGATTGACTTAGAGGTGACTTTCCTCGTTGTCTGAAATTTGTGGATCAACTAAAGTTGATTTATGGGGGAAAAAAAAAAACACAAAGTCTAGGGTAGAAGACTTTGTTTTGTATAGATTGAATGATTTGTAAGTTTTGTGGACATTGTTGGGAGAATCAAACAAGAGTTTGGGATTAGCAGTAGAAAAAGTAAAAAAGAGTGATTTGGGATGAATTTGGAATTGAAACATGACACAATTGTAAATATTTATGACTGAACTAATCATGATTTTATTTGTTGAAAGAAGAAAAAAAAATACGCGGAAGCATGGCACAGAAGCAGGATGAACCTGCTCTGATACCAAGAAAAAAAATAAGAATTTGAATAACATAAAGAAAATAAAGAGAGAAATATCTAAAGGCTACATTATGAATGATTGACTCGATACAATATTCATATGAGTAGCTCGTTATTTATAGGAGAGCTTTTTTACAACAACCTTATAAGATAAGGCTAAACTATTTTAAGTAACTATTGGAAGCAATCAATCCCCGGGATTACGAGATACTTTAGGAATTCTTGATAGCCAAACATATCTCATCATTGATGAGTGTGATCAGCCTTGTTTTGGAAATGACATGATCTCGATCTTGAGAGATTCTGTTAACAAGCTGCAGGCCTGTGTATTCTTACAATCATCAAACAGGTAGGTTTGATCGTTTTTTGGTCAGAGCTTCCGGATTGTCGCTTTCCTGATAGGTGGCATCATTTGGTGCGTGTCCAGGGTCGAGATATTCCCCTCTTCAGAGAGTTTGATTTTATGATATCAGATTTACCTGATAACAGTGTCCTCTACATGCCATTGGATGATGTGCTAAGAGATGGAGATGGCGAAGAGATAAATTTATGATAGAGGAATGTGCAAGCTGGTTGTTCTCCAGATTCAAGGCAAAATGTTGCTCGTTTTCTCTCTAGCTTCATCCGTGGAAGATGGCTTCAATAAACTATTTAGTGGTCGTGATTGGCGGTTCAAGTAAGAGTCATCTTTTGGCTCAAACTATGGAGTAGTATATCAGTATGCACTGTTTCAAATTTCTAAAATTGGATCTCAATAAGTATGTTTTTGTGAGCAATTTTTAGTTTTGGCTGGTACCGTTTGTTCTGTTTTCTCCTGTTTTCTTGTTCCTTAACTTTGGAAAAAGTTGAGAATAGAGATCTTCTATAAGTTAATGTAATTCTGAATTCCTAAATCTAGATATTGGTGATATTAATATGTCCAAACGATTATAGGCTTTTTTTTCTTTTCCATCTATCTGTGGTCATTTTTCATGGTTAATGCCAATATTCTTCAATTTTTTTCGCCCATGTTACTCGAGTTTTTCGATTGTTGCATTTTGTTCATCTACGGTAGTATTGTTATGTTGCAGATGATGAGGTTGGTTGATAAACATGAATTTCACTACTGAAGAATCTGGCATTTACAACTTATAACAACACCATGCCCACTCCCACCCTTCTGTTGGGACAAAAAGAATCCCACATCGGTGTCGTGAAGGATCTGTCACCTGTTTATAAGTACCAAAGGCCATCCCACTCATTGTCAATTGATTTTGAGATGGGAGCCCAAGGTGACTTTGACATGGTATCAGAGCCCACGATCTGTGGACCTGTGATAACTATAGACCCGTGTGTGCGGGCTTGGATCTATGTGCCTTGGACCCACGTGTGCGGGCTTGGATCCATGTGCCTTGGACTTGCGTCAATTGCTTCTGTGCACTGGGTGGGCTTGTTACTGATCCGACAGTATATTCGGAGTATGTACCCGTGTGTACGGGCTTGTTGACTGACCCACCAGTATATCTGGTGAATTATGTTGTGTTGTGCAACCCCAATAGGCCAAATACCCAATTGGGCTTGAGGAAGGGTGTTGGGACAAAAAGAACCAGAATTATGTTGTGTTGTGCAACCCTACTGGGCCAAATACCCCATTGGGCTTGAGGAAGGGTGTTGGGACAAAAAGAATCCCACATCGGTGTCATGAAGGATCTGTCACCTGTTTATAAGTGCCAAAGGCCAGCCCACTTATTGCCAATTGGTTTTGAGATAGGAGCCTAAGGTGACTTTGACACCTTCCCCTCTTTAGCTTCTTTCTATTCAAAAGTTTAGTTTTCGGGTTTGACTAATTTGTTTATGTATGTGAATTGTATTGATACGAACAACTGCTGGGCTTTTGTTGATGAATGCTAAAGTGAAAGATCAAGAAGATGACTGCAGGCCCTGTTTATTCTTATAAATTATAATCATTCCACTAATAAGTTTCATCGTTTTGTGGTCGGAAAGCACCTTAGTAAAGCCGGATGCTTTTGTGTGATTTGGTCTAGTCAAATGCTCATCTACTCTAAGAGATGTAGTACTTAGGGGTTTACATGATATTAATAATCTTCATGAACCATTAGTCTTTTTGCAGAGAGATAAACTTATGATTTGAGTTGAGGAATTTGCTTATTCTACTTGTTACCATCTCATTCGCATATAGCTATGTATCAAATCCTTTCCTTTATTTCTAATTTCCAATCCTTCCGCGACCATGTGAATGTGTTGATCATTACTACCCTCAGAAGTATAAAACCTTGTTCATTTTTTGACAAGAAGTTTTCTCAAAATTTTGAAATAAATCATTTTATTGCTGCATAGATTGCTTCAATCCTTTAGTAAATATCACTGTATCATCTGCAAAAGAACCTGCCGGTACTCCATCGTTTGCTATCTTACCTATTAATGTTAAAAGAATTTAAATTTCTAGACATAGCCTCCAAATCAAAGTAAGAAGGTAATGGGATAAGGGATATCCATGTTTGATGCCTTTGGATATCTTGAAGAATCTGGTTGGACTGCCATTCACAAGAACTGGAAACCAGCTTCCTTGTAAATTAGACATGATAAGTGAAATGAACTTGTCGTGGCACTTGATTTTTGATAGAGCTAAACTTAGAAAATCCCAACACACATGACTGCAGACTTTCATCATGTCGATCTTAAGTATTAAATTCTCTCCCACTACTGAACGATTCAAGAATTGACAAAGGTCTTGAGTTAGGAGGATATTATCGGTGATATCTTGACCAGCTAGGAAAGCAGATTGTTCCTCAGAGATTATCTTTGGAAATAGTGGCTTAAGTCTCTCTGTTAAAATTTTTGTGAAGTTTTTGTTCACGAAATTGCAAACATTTATTGGCTTATAATATGCAAAAGCTAAATACCTAATTACCCTTAGGCAGTAAGGAAATCAGAGTGCTACCAATAGCCTTTGGTAATGGAACACCAATCATGAATTCCATGCAAGATTGAATTGAAGGAGATCATCTTTAATTATATCCCAACACTTAGAATAAAATTCTCCATTAAATCTATCACTGCCCGATGCACTGCCACATTATCAACTCCTCTAGGGTAATTATTTTCAGTAAGTTCTCATTATCTTGTTCCGAAAATTGTGATACACTAAGATATGCTAATAAATTATTTTTGCTATCTAAGCTAAATATTTTATTTTTATATGGAATATTATTGTTGTTTTTATCTAAGCTAATAAATTATTTTTATTTTTATTGTTTTCAAAAGGGACTTCTTGTTATTATTATACATTTTAGGGGTTACTTTTATAAAATTTTAAAACTGTTGGGATATTTTTAAAGAAAATCTGTTATGTTGAACGGAAAATGGACCAATTAGACAAAATTGGCCAAAATTTCAATCATATTGGTAGAATTGGTTAACTGAAAATCTGTTAGGTAGCATTGACAATAAAGAAAAGTTTTGGATAAGAACTCGAATTTTTCCCATGGAAAATTTGACCTATGAAAACTTCAATTTTCTTGAATCTAACATAGGCCTTACCTTTTTGCTCTTCATCTGATCTGAACAACTAGTTCCCTATTCTCCCCTAAAATTTCTAAGAGCTTTGACACAATTCCCCAATCCTCCACAATGCCACAGTATTCAAAACTCGAGTTGTCCACCATCTCATTTTGCCTTTTGTTTTTATTTTCTTTTTTAAACACAAATTACAATGCAAAGTAAAACACTATCCAAAGAATATTTAAATTACCATTTAAAAATTATTTCAAACATTATTTTTACACAATTTTCATCCACTACCACCGGACCACCTCCACCACCGCCCTCTGCCGCATGTGGACAACTGGCTGGCCGGGTTCCAGCGGTCCGGCGGAGGGGCGGTGGTGGAGGTGGTCCAGTGATGGTGGAAAAAATGGTATTATTTTATTTAAAATACTACCCAAACAATTTTTTAAATTTTCTCCCAAAACACATTTTAAATCTTCTCCTAAATCCAAATCAAAAACAAAAGCGTTGTTCATACGGCCCAAAAACGATGTCCACATTTTAAATCTCAAACCACATTATTTTTCTAAAAATTTTAGGGTTTTGAATCTTTTTTATGATCCATATAATTGATCCTTTATTGGTGTTTAATGTAGCAAATAGGCTGAGACTTTGATTTTTTGTTTTTTGGTTCTTTTTGTGTCTCTTAAGTGATTATAAGTTCAAGTTAAAAAAACGAAAAAAGACAAAAGCGGTTATGTTGAAGTTATTTTTGCATATTTACCTTCACAATCCATGAATAAAGTGGACACGACAAAACAGTGATGTTAATTTGGAAAATTAATTTTTATGTTCAAAATTCTAATTCTTGAATAAGATTAGGATTTTGATCATACTCGTTAATAAAAATTAAGCTTGTGAATTCTATTCATACGATACACATATTGTGAGCAAGGAGAACTGGATGACGAAAAACAATCAATTATTTGTCGATAATTAAAAAATGCTAAAATAGTCATTCCAGAGATATAAAGATATTAACATTAATTAATGTTCCTTTAAATGAATAAAAGAAGGCTCTTAATCATTTTTGTCTTTCAAATATCCTTGATCCAAATTCTCCCAAAAAAAGAAAAAAAAAACTGAAGAAATAAAAATAACTCGTTTCAGCGCATGTGCTAAAATCTCATATGACAAAAATAGAGCGGAAGGCCCATCCTGATTCGGCTGAAGTAAGACCAATCACCAACCCTATTTTTCTATTTCAACCATTATTAACAGGGCTACTGGTACAACTTATTTTCATCGACAT